TTTCTTCCCTTTGAGCAGGCGTTTGGGGATCGAGAGCGAGGATAGCCCGAATTCGGCGGCAATCCCAAGCTCGCGAAGGCCGAAGTAGTCGTCGCCTGTATAGTCGAGGAAGTCACCACCCCTGCAATTATAATGGCGTTAGCTTTGTGTTTGGTTGAATATTGGAAGATGAGAGCGTACAGAGCCAGACCACCTGTCTCTTCCTCCTCTTCCTCCTCGAACAGCCCGGTCTCATCGTCTCCTGCTTCGCCAGCAGTTGTCTCGCGGTACGCGCTGACCAGCTTCTTCTCCAGCTCGCCCAGCCTCGTCCCATATCTCTCAATATCGTCAGAGATATACCGCTCGAGGTCTTGGATCTTGGAGGTACCGCTTTCGAACAACGTGTGCAGGATAATTTCCTACAGAAAGCAAAGGAATCGTGAGCAAGCAAGCCAGAAAGATGCATCATCAAGACAGCTAACCTCAGGCGTCATCGTCTTCCCAAACTTGTCCGACAAGAACCGTATCGTCCGCCCAACATTCAACAGAAACTCGCCCGCACATCCGACAGGACGTCCAGCGCACCTTTAGACGTGCCCTGAAACCCAACATGCTCCAGCACCTTCTCCGTCGCCCAATGCATACAGTCGCTGGCATTGCGCTCTCCCACACCCACACCAGTTAGTCGTGTCTTGCCCTTGCCCTTTAGCTTACCCCGCCCTAATGACCACGGGGCTTCGTCGATCCTGTCATCCACGACGTCGTCGTCCAGTCCCAGTCCCACACCGAAGCCCATCCCCTGTTGCGTTGGCGGTGGTAATCGACTCGTACCCGGGCCTGCCCCACCACCATTCCTGTACCGTACCCAGGCGCAGGCGTCTCGCCATTCTCGTCCTCCTCTGGCGGCGCAGTCGCGGCATTCATCGCTGCGAACTTCGCATGCGTGTGCCGTACCCTCCGCATCGTCTTGATGTTCGCGTTCATCATCACCAGGAGAGACTTTGGGTTCGATGGCGGCTCCTCCTTCACTCGCTTGGGCGGCTTGGTGCGTTTGGCCTTCCGCTTGTGCGAGGTGCTGCAAGAGGGGCCGAATGGGATACCAGGAAGGCCGTTGGCGAGTAGGGCGTCAGACTGCACGGCGCCCCACCATAACTGCGAGACGTCGTTCCGCTCGTCCGGGATGGGTGTGGCATAGGGTACGGTGTAGCGAGCGCGCTTTCGTGGGCGGTGGTTGGCGCCGTTTCTGGAAAAGAGATCAAGAAAGAACAGTAGGAGAAGAATAATAGCACGCACGACTTGCGCTTGTCCCCCGCTGCCTGCCCGTCGACCGCCATAGAATCATCTACCGGCGTCTCTGAATCGCTCTCGTACTCCACTGTGATTGCCATGTCTCGCAGAGTGCTGGCAAGGGTGTTCGACGGCTGAAAGGAACCAGTCTGGGCGTCAAGGTCACGGAAAGTGGCCATTCCTTCAGGAGTTCGGACGATAGCAGGTGAGTCTTGGAAGGATGTCCCATGTCGAAGGCGGCTACCAACGGTATACGAATGCTTAGCCAATGCAGAGGTAGGTGTAGAGGGTTGGGGGAGAGAGGGAGAGCGGGTGTGCGATGAACGGCCGTTCATGTGGCCGTTGGTGCCATTTATCTTCACTCGAGCAACGCCGGTAGGAGAAGGCAGGTCGGATGGTATGGCTGGGTCCCACCTCTCCTTGCGATCGGTGATATGCATCAATAGCCTCTCAGCTTTGACCCTCAACCTGTTGGCACACTGTCGGAGGGGATGATTCTGAGAAGGTGTAAGTGCGTACGAACGCCACAATAGGTCTATTGTTGTACCTCGGAGGCGTTGTATGTGTAGCAATTCGACCAGATGAGGTCGAGGTCGTCCTTGAATTCGCGCTTCGACTTGTACTGTTTCTGCTTGATTTTCTTGAGCATAGTCTGAAAGTCCATAGGGTTTGAGATGACTGCGTCGCGTCAGTATGACATTACAAACGACCACAACCTGCACGCACCATCATAGTAGTCCGGCACTTCCGCCCTCGACACAGGTTTGAGAAACGCCTCCGCATCCCGATTGTCCTAGTTCCGAAATAGCATCAGACGCGTCCCAGGCGTAGGCGACACGACGTACGATCGTGATGGTCTTCAGATCGACCAGGAGGCCCTCCAACGAGTCGTAGAACGGGTCCGCGAGCTTGGTGTCATAGCTCTGACGCTGGGAGAGCAAGTTAGGCGCCGAATCCGGGTCAAAGCACTTCCACGCACCCGAGCCTCCTTCACGGATGTCAGCAGCAGACGGAGGTCGGCCGCTGGCTTGACCTGGCTCTCTGTGAGAGTCCTCAAGAGGTTCTGGGAGAGATGCGGTCAGTTGTAGGCTGGATGCGCTCACAGGCCACTCACGTTCATCCTCCAAGGCCACGACGATGACGGTGGTTGCAATAGATGTAACACTTCAAACTCCGATGCCGCCAGTCCCAATCCAGAACAAACAAAGGAGGCCGGCCCGGATTGCCGCTTGCCTAAGCAGGTTGCGAGAAACGGGTAGTTTCTTCAAGATTCTACGTGCATGGACGTCTGCTGTTAGTCACAACACGTACCTGACTACCCCCGCCCCTGAAACCCTATCGGCGTCACGGTTCATGTGTGCGAGTGAAAGAGAAGGTTCAAGGAACTCTCATTCCATTCTCGAGAAATTCCATTACCGTGTTCAATCTGTGCCCTTGGGGCCTCTAGCGACTTTGGAGGACGTCCAGTGCAATATCTCAGTTAAAATTTGAACATCAAGGACAGTAGTAAGATGGACAAAAGATGGCAAATCACAATGACGACAGAATTCAGAACCATGAGTGAGGGCCGATAATGGCACCTGGCCTAGAACAAAACATTTGATATTTTTACGCACTTGTAACGAACTATGCGACGGTCATATCTTCGTAATCCTTGATTTCCTCTCCAAACATCTCCTTGATCATGTCCTTTGCTACTTTGCCCAAAGTGATTCTAACATTGTGAGTGGGACCGCTGTAGGATGAGCAAGCGCTGCAGGAGACGCCAAATGAATAGAATGGGCTCCCTGTGCCGCATTTGCCGTGCTGTATTGTCCTGAACATAACCAGACGATCAGTGGTTCCCGAGGTGGAACCAGGGCCAGGGAAGGTCAATTCTGCGTCTGCAGGCACGGCTTGCCCACAATTATAGCAGTTATGGTTGACATTTATCAGACTCGATGGCGACGAGCATTGGGCGCACTTGATGTCGTCTCGTCTGAAACGAAGGATATTCGGGGTGCTTCGAGAAAGACTGGATTTATCCCTAATCCAGAGTATTCGAGCGGCAGTCTCCCATCCAAGCGTAGCTATATCCTCGAGTTCTGGGCTGGGGACATCGTTCACCAAGCTGGTGACTCCTTCATTCAGCCATGCGGCGACTTTATGTGCCCTTGCCAGAAGGATCTTTTCCATCGGCAAGAAGGTTACTTGAGTCGACAACCTGTGAATGGCGTACGTCCGGATCTGATGAATTGATATCGGGTTAGTCGATGGAGTAATGGCAGAAGCTACATTTCGGCTATGGCGCACCCTTTTCATGTTCCAGATCGTCGACAATTTCAGCACGCTCACCCACTCCTCCTTTTCCAAGGACAAGTCGAGGTTCGTGCCGGAAATTAGAGATTCGGCTCTACGAGAAGTCCACAGGTAAGAAGGAGTACTAACATGAAGATTATAAAATATGAACTTACGTGGGATACATCACTTTCAGCAAGCAAGCAAACTCGCCCTTCTTATATCCTTCAAGTACGATGGGATGTTCTCTATCCCGACCTTCCACCGCGCTGGCGGGACCAGAAGGCAGAAGGAACATGTCAGCGAAGACCTCAGAGGACTTTACAAATTCGCATCGAGGGACACAGAAGAGCTTGTCTTCAACCTGGACGTCGTTCGATGAACTGATGTAGATGGCGACCGATAAGCGCCCGTAATGGCGACGAACCTTGATAAAAATGTTGTCCCAGTAGAACTCGCTGCTATGCATATCTTCGGCCATGGATTTGAGAAATAAAGTTCAAGCTAATAGTAAGGGAGACAAATGAGAAGGAATCGAGAACTGTGATAGGGAGTTGATGAGAGGAAGGATTGAATAGGGTCCTCTATCGATGATAGCTTTTTATAAACACTAATGAGATTTGTCACGCCGCATTCCATTTCCCACCTTCAAGTTCCCATATCACTGATCGAGGAAAGTGCACGAGATTTGGCGTCGGCGTTCGCGTGGGGGATTTGGTGCTCCCTCAGAGGTGAGGGCGGTGCAGGGAATCGGGAATTCTCCCCCTCTCAACTCATTCTCCGGGTGATCACGAGTCAGGCAAGCAGTGTACTGCGAGCGGCAGCAATTCACTCTAGTCTGGATACGGGAAGGAGATTTCCCGCGTTTTAAGTATGTCTGCGGGGTATAGATGCTTGTATTTTCATCGAGATCCTCTACTCTACAATCGCATTGTTTCCTTCAGTGTTGTAGTTAGTATTACTGAGGAACAAGAGTGTACACTTCTCAATACATAGAGCCGTTGATTTATGACGACTGCAATTTTTTGAAGCATCGGAAAGGAAGATGGATGGCTCTAACGCGGTCAGAATCTTAAATATGACATTCTAATATAGTAGTTGTGGCGGCTAAGCAACTCTACCGATCTGGCAATCATACTAACTCCTGAGATGGCCTACGCACATGGCTGTCTACTGCCCTTAGAAGTTCGATATGTCACTCAAGAGCCTGTTTGACTGCTTGGCCACAAGGCCCCAGGAAGACCTCGACGAAGCATATTAATATAACCCATCCACCAACTCCATGGAGAGATCACTCCTGCATATCTCCTTCGGGTCCCTCAATACTCTTGTTGGTCCTGAAAATTTCCTCGACCTCGACTGGACGTATTTTGAGACACAAGGTCAAGCGGATATCAGACGGGAAGCGCCTCCGTGTCGATCTCGATATCCACGGGTTTTTCTGTATTGGAGCGTACACTGATGGAGGAAGTCCGCAACAACGTTCGAGGGTGGTATTTGGGAAAGAACTTCGAGCACGAATGATGAAATTCATCCTGTTTGTTCTGAACGTCGACCACGAGGTCAAGTTCCCTCCCCAACTGAAAGGGGCGTGCACGATTGGATGTTCGGGGAATTATTCGAGCCCTTGGGGCTCGCGCTCAGGCGTAGCCGAAGCAAAGTTCGCATCGGTGCTTAACCCATCCCCGCCGTCGTGATTCCGAAAGCTTCAATCCTTGTCTCGTATTCTGCTATGTACGTACAAATGAAACTCTTATGGTTTTGTCGTCTGTTTCGTGTACTGACCACTGTCTGCACGAGTCTTCAAAAAATACTCCGAGTGCGGTCGAACATCCATGCCCATCTAGAGAAAAGGAAGGAGTGTTAGTTCCAGATTCTGGTTACCTCAACGTAAAGAGATACCTTGCTGTAGATTTTCTGTAGCCATGCCGCTTCAACGACGGAGTCCTCCTTCGAATACCACGTCCTTGGTTCGTTGGTGAGCACTCGATCGCGGAAGGCTGTCAGTTGATAATGGAACGTCGTCCACCACTCCTCGCCTCTCGTCAACTCGTCGCCGTCAGTGAATCGGAACGCCTTCTCAGTGCGATTGTGTCCACCAGTCTCTTTGACTGTAATTGAGTGGAAAAGGCTGGGCGCCATGAAGTTGCTCATATTGATCGTGCCGCGCTCGCATTCTATGTGGACGCTGAAGTCGAAGTTCGGGATGAAGCCGAGAGTGAACGGAGTGTCGATGTTGCACGTCATATCTGCCGTTATTCCGTTCGGAAACGAAAGCGTGCTGGTGGCCAGAGTGTCAAGGTTCTCGACACCGGGCCATGTAGCTTCGCAGGAAGCGGAATCGACGGAAAGAGGATCAGAGGACGTGAGAAAGCGCAAGATTTCGAGATTATAGCCTAGAGGGCATTAATTACTGCGTACGCGTTAAAGCATATAACCACGCACATCCAATGTCCATAATACTTCCCTTTCCCAAGTCAAAATCAGATTCCGAGTACTTGTTCAATCCTTTGGGTAAAAGCAATTTCGTGGATATCTTCTTTATTGGACCATGTTCGCCACTTGTTACGAGGGATTTGACCCGTTGGATGGCTGGGTGAAATCTGCCCAATTGACGGAATCAGTGAAAACAGAGCGTCAGCTACAAGTTTCACGTACCGTATATGCATCGCCTCCAAGAGGACAAGGCCCTTCTCTTCAGCCAGTTCATGCATCCTGAAGGCCTCTTCGGGAGTGTTTGCAATAGGTTTTTCGACCAGGACGTGCTTTCCCCCGAGGAGCGCCTTTATCGTCCACTCGTAATGCAGGGTGTTCGGAAGCTGCTAAAGTGAGAAAACCGGAGAGTGAAAGCCAGATCGACGATCGGACCCACAGGGATGTATACAGCATCAATATCTGGATCGTCTACCAAGTCTATAAATGCGATCAGGCAAACTCGAAACCCGACGAAGAAGAAAAAATGACTGCTGGACGCACTTTGATAGCCTTCAGGACCTGAATGTATCTTCCTAATCCCATGCTTCTTCGCGAACGTCTCAACTTTCTCTTTGCTCCTTCCTCCAATCGCTACAACTTCAATGTCCGGAAGACTGTGCGCAGGTTGTATCAGAGCTTGGACGCAAATGTCCGCTGTAGAAAGTATGCCGAATCGCAGAGGCTTAACCCCTGGCGTCGGTGGCGCCTTTGGTGGGTTCATCGTCTAGATCATAGGAGAGGTTGTTGAGATATAAGTATCGATTCAGGTTGAGGGGTTCAAGGACCCACCATGTACATTCGTTTGATGAAACCAGCCATGTTGGATCTAGCGGGACCCTCATCTGCGTACTGTACTGCGTCTTATATATGTCCGCGCTGCAGTGAATGTTGTCGGCTGGTTTCGCGACGCTTGCAAGAGGGAACTGTATTTGAACTGTATCATTCCTCGACCGTCTTAGCCGAGTATGAATGGCTCTGACAAATCTCACACCGCCAATGGCAGTCGGCAGAAGCATACGCAACTTGTTGGCCGCGGGAGCTCAGGAAGATAGTACCTTTTGGGGATAATCAAGCTGGGTGGATGACGAACCCATTTGATGACGAACAACACCGGCAGACGTTGCAGGAGTTGACAATGAAGGTGAAATAATTGTATTCCAGAAAATTACTAGAGAGGAAGAAAAGTGAATAATTACACCTTCAAACTGAGCAACAGATCCAATGCTAGTGGACCCACGAGGCGAGAAAGAAGAGAATAATTCACTGTGGGAAGCCAGGGCATTTTTAAAAACTATGCCAGGATGCAGTTAATTCTCATAGCCCGCATAAGTGTTTGAAATAACCACCTGTATGGCAATATATAAAACTACACCTGGTGGTTTTATGCCCTGCCGGAAGAAAGTGAAAATAACCGCCGAAAGGACTCTTTTGGCGGTTAATACAACTAAGCTCTGGCGGTTTGTCTGCCTTGACTGAGCTAGGTTTTATTTACGTTGTTTCTGGGTGTATGATTTTCTGCCGACATTCATAGTAAATTTCATTGCCCGAGGTAATTACATGGCTTGTGCTAGGTCTTGCGCCTCATACCTGTATCGACCCTTGCCCTCCCTATCTTCTCCGGCCGTCAATCTCGCATAGGCATGGTCTCTTGCGTCGGATCTCCATCGATTGTGCGTCGGACTCCTGAGATCGTTACAGCGCCAGCGGTGGACTGTATTCCGGCGGATGCACTGAGTGGGGGACCTTTTGTGCATAGAGATGACTCACCGTATCTTCAGCCTTTCCTGCTCTTGGCCGCTCGCTTACATCTCAACATTAGGAGGCATTCATTCTAATGCACAGGCAGGGCTGCAACAAATCAACAGAAGGCAAGTGCATGATACGCTCGTGTAGAAATGGGCACTTACGCTCGTTGCAGTCCTTCACCGTGTTGCCAAGCCTGACAAGGTGGATAATCCTCAGAACCCCTCCTTCAACGAGCAGCGTTAGGTTTCACATTCCGGGTGGTATTTCATGGCCCAGCATCGGGAATTGTGGGATAGCAGCGGCGGTGGGCTGTGGGAGGAACACGGTGATAAATCATTTATCTCCTGCTCAAGAATATATACGCACCGAAATATTGAGCGCGAGAGTTCACGAAGCCAACGGCAGCAACATGCTACGCCGAAGGGAATGCCGAAACATGAAAAGAGGCCCGTACAGTTGCGGTGCAGGTGTCAGGGGGCGATTTAGGAACCGTGTACTGCGCCTTTTCCACGTCAAACTCCCGAACGCCCACCCTGGACCTGAGCTGAAGGTCGACACCGAGGACGCAGGTGGTGGAGAGGTGTGTACGCACACGAGATGGACGACCAGGTATCGTGCGGGTGAAACGAAGGTAGTAGAGTAGACGAGGCGTAGGGCGGAGAGCGACGTCGCTGATGCAGAGGGGCAACGGGCATGTCACAAAACCTGCCCTGGTAGCTCAGGGACAGGAGCCGCATGGAAAAGAGATGGCGCAGATCGCACCTTTGTAAACAATTGGGAGCTGCCTCCCGCCCGATAGGTGGACGCAGTTGACGAGGAGCATATATATGTGAAGTCGAATGGGAATGAGCGCATACACTCAACAAAATTGGAACTCACGTTCCCAATTGGCTGCGATCAGCCCATCGGAGTCCGGATCAGCCAGATCGGAACCGTAGTTTAGTTCTACAGGTGAGCTAGTCAAGTTTTCAGCAAACGGATGCCCATCTTGAGCCTCAGATGGGGGATCGGGACAGAGATGTGGTAGACATGGAGGTAGGAGATGGTGGTAGGAGGGAAGAAGGAACATGTCGGAGGCAGGAGTGACGACGGCAGCATCACGTGGTCGCCGTATGTTTGGCAGCGGCTTGTTTGTTCCAATAGGCAACCAAACAAAATGAGGATTTTTCGCTCATTTTGTTTGGTTGCCTATTGGAACAAACAGGCTGCTGCCAAACAATGTTGGGAGAAACCTGTAAGTCCGTTGAGTAAGTGACTTCAACACGAAGTTGTGCGCGATCGATTGGCGTGGTCATGAAAGGCCGCGGCCTGCGCGTGTAAAAGTGTCACGACGTCATGATGATGGGGAATTTAACTCCCGATTGGCAGCTATTTCGCTATTTTTAGACACGTTTAATTTTACATTTCCTCAAACGGTTAAAGGAACCGCCATTCCCGGGCAGTTTCGGCCGATGCAGTTGTAAAAACCGCCAACGCTTCCCACAGTGAATTAGGACTGAAGCAGAATCGTTAACTCAGTCAACAATTCGACTATCAGGGTCGAGAAACGCATTCCTGGAAATTGAAACGATGTTAGTAAACGAGATCTTGTACGTAGGTATGGTACGGATACGTAGCGGTAGCGGTATAGGTCGTGTATGTGTGGGAGGGAATCTGATGAAGAGATGAGAGGTTCGTAACGTATGGCACAATGAGGGAAATGGAGAGGATGGATGGATGGGAATGGGGGTGAATTGGGGATTGGGATCAGATTTGAGAAATTGAGGTAGTACGTCCATTTGATGGAGGATTTTGGAATAAAGATAAGGAGAATGAAGAGAAACGAGACGAGATGGAGAGAGACGGAAAGACATAGAGGTAGAGACACGAGGAAGGAAAAGACAAATCGATAGACATTTGGACGTGTTGGACATCATGAATTCAAAACATTTGACTAAGAGGAAGGGACAAAACTGGGAGAGAGACAGGGAAGAGCATATACCATACATTCCGAGGACGACAAAACATGTAAGAGGCGAAAAGGTTTGGGTGCCTGTTCCGGAAAGGCGCGCCGAATGGCAATCGAGTTGACGTTGACGACTACTGGTAGGCTTGTGAGAGGGGGAGACGAGATCGGCATGAGCATAGGCGTAATATTAGGGACGTGGGCTTGAATGTCAGACAGTGGAGAGGCATTTAGGGCATTGCGTAGATGGAAGGGTCATATTGCTGGAGATCTAGGTGGGAGGAGGACCGAGTCGACGCGGAAGGAACTTCGAGGTATTGAGATTCGACGACGCTGATCGAGTAAAGCATGTTCGACAATTGTCTGAAACGTCGATCATCGAATTAGCCTGCCATAATCGAGCTTGCTCTCCCGCTCGCGTTCGTTCTTCTCCTTCTTGGGGAAGGCGTTCCAGAACCGCAGCGTCTCGTCACCAGCACCTGTGACGATGGTCTCCCCATCCGGGCTCATCGCAAGGTACAACACGCGGTTGGTGTGCCCTGTTAACGAGGCGACCATATTGAGGGTGGGGTAACGCCAGATGCAGATCTGGTTTTGAGCGGTGGTAGAGGAGAAGCCGTGTGTCGAGACGAGCTCGTGGGAGGTTAGGGACCAGATGAGGTTGCAGACCTATCGAGAAGACATATCAGACAAGGAGAGAACGACACAGGAAAAAAGAAACGCACCTGGCTACCCGTGTCCAGCTCATGCAGCATCGTCCCGTTCTGCACATTCCAGAACCGTATGTGCTTGTCCTGCGTACCACCACCCGTCGCAAGCACTCCAGGAATATGTGGATCCCAAGCAAGGGCCTTCACCGCTGCGGTATGCTCATGGAACTTCCACAGTGGTAGGTCCGCAGGTCCATCCTCACCTGTCACTCCCGATGAGCTCCCAACACCAGGCCGCCTCGAACCCCGAAGGTCCCAAATACAGACCTTGTTGTCGTTGCCGCCACTAGCGAGTGTGGCTCCGTCCGAGGGCCCGTTCTGCCCACTCCATTTCAACCCACACACCTCCTGGCGATGGCCTGTGCAACGCTTAAACGGTCGTGTCGTCGGCTCTCGAACGTCGCGGTGGTGCACCTGTCGATCCCGTGAGCCCGATGATAAGACATGTGTGTTCCAGGCGAGGGCCCCGATTCGTTGAGTGTGTGCTTGTTGATACGTGCGCTGCAGTGTGAGTGTTGTGGCGTCGTAGATGTGCAGGCGTCCGGCTACGGTGCCGACAGCCAACGTCGTCCCTTTCTGGACCCAGGAGACAGACGAGATGGTGTCGTTGGATGGGGCAAGGTCGCATAGCTTCGACACCGCGGCGTTATGTGCTGTCCAGAGATATACGCATGATCCGAGGCCGACCCCAAGCACGTTTGTACTCGACCAGTCGACGAGGTTGAGATAAAAGTCGTCCGCAAGCTCAGGGGCATCGAGGACCCTGTATGGTGTCTTGCACACACTGCGGGGCAGTCTTCGTGGGGACTCCAGGAGTTGCCGGCTCTCCGCCCGTACTGGGCTCATCGAGTACGCCTCATCGGTTGGGGTGTCCAAGCGGCGGGTTGGAGTGTTGGGATTGGAGCGTGATGGGGAGCCGAAGGTAAACAGACGCTTCCGAGTTGGTGTCGACGGCGGCGCACCAGAGGTGGAGGCAATGGGGCGTGTCGGAGATGAAGGTCTGTGTGGGGATGGTGGTGTGACTTCGGTGTGCAGGATCGAGTTGAAAATTGCATTCGCTTGCTCTGGAGAAATGAGTCAGCAATGTCTCACACGGGATTAGGCCACAACTCACCCTTTTGCGCGTCTGATTCGGTCGGTATGATTCTGCTCTTCGATGGCGTCGACGGCCCACCATCGTCCATGAGATGATACGACGTGCGCATGTCACCCGTGTCCTTCGACGGGACAAACCTGTCTCCATACTCCTTCGGCCGCATTCGGCTGCTGCTGGCGCCTTGGATGGGTGATGGTGGGCCGCCACTGCTGTCTGCAGTGCTCGAGCGGGAATCCAACGTCGGTGTTGACGAGACCCCGAAGATAGGATTGACACGAGACCTCCTGGGTGTCTCCTCATCCTCTCCCTCGCGGTGGGACGCGCGCAGACGCTTCGCGAACGGCGAGTTCTTCATGCCCGACATGGTGCTTGGCTGCTGGAAAAAGTTGGTTGGAACGGCGCTCCTGACGCTTAGCGAGCTTCTGTGGGTTCGGGATGCGTAATAGGTGTCGTAAAAGGAATATTGAGCGCCTTTCAGGCAATAAATAGCATGTAGAAAGGGGAGAAAGGCCCGAGCAGCGGAATCGTGGTGGTGGTAAGGGGGAAAGCGGTGAATCACCGAGACGCGACGCGATCCTTCCTTTCGCGGTTCAACTTCCCACGGTTGTTTAACGCCACCGCGTGATCACCTCGCCACCCTTCACATCGTCACAACAATGGCGTGCTACGAGAATTACCCGTTTGCTTTCAAGAACAAAGGGAAGTAGAAAAGCCTTCTCAAAGGTTACGATATCAACTGAGTGATGTCCAGTAAATTCGCACTTCGAAAGTTCCAGAACTTGCCAGATGAGGGCGACAATGGTCTCCATATTCGGCAGTGACCGACTCCTTCCAGCTCGAGTGAAGATAAATGCAAGTGGCAAGAACGCACTTTTTTGGGGAACTTGATTATCAATCTGGTATGTTTTTCCTTGAGCGATCCACGCATGACTCGCCAGTGGCCACTCGAGCCACAGAAACTTGAAGTAGAGAATGATCCATTAGCTAGAAGTGTATAATTTAAATTAGACAACCTCCGACCCCACAGTTACTGTGTACATACAGTCCTCGTCGGTACTTCATCATCTCGACGAGGTGATAGACGTTGCTATTACCATCATGATATAACTCGCATGACTGCCCTTACGCGCTCATACGCGACGCCGTCATTACGGCTTTAATCTTCGCCTAAGCGGAAAAGTTCCGATGCTGAATACTCGAAAGTCGTTTAAGGTATCTGAACGACCGGGGTGGATGTTTCAGCGCCATGTTGGAGTGGTCATCAGCTTCTCTAGCTCTGGCGGCATCTCAAACCCAAACGTCAAGGACAACACCAGCATCCTATCCCTATACGAGTCGTGTATCCTCGCGAGCTTGTTAAGCTCGTTGTCGCGGGTCTTGTTGAGCCGGCCAGCACTCCTCTCGCATTCGAGCACCTCCAGGATGTCGCCGAGTAACGAGACGCTCTTCGCGTACGCGTCCATCGCGGCGCCATAGTCCTGCCCTCTTTTGTCGAATCTGACGGCTTCTGTCGCCCAGCGGAGAGCAGTATTGAGGTCTTTTGCAATTGTGTGGTTTGCCATGGGGAAAGAGTAGAAATTTGAGAACAAGACGGATGCAGTGGCGTCTGACCAATCAGATCTTTAGGATACATCGTTCAGCCCATCTGTCGTCCTGAGGAGGAAGGAATCCGTGGACGTACCTTTCGTTCAGAGGAGGGGAGCATCAAAAGCGTTCTAACGCCACCGACGCTCTTTTATATCCCGGCAACGTTTAGGTAATGGCCCACTGACGCAACACGAGGCGAGTGTCAAATCGTGAGATGGGCCACCAGTGGGTCACTGCATCCGGATGTCAATGAAACTCCCTTTTCGCAGGATACGCCCATCTCGGCGGTGATTACCTGTCCGTTAGAGCGCCCACTTCCCAGAATCGGGAAATCTCCCATAAGCAAGCCACGTTCCTCTGTGCGCTAAACACCTACTTGTTCGGCTACGAGCCCTCCTTTACCGTGTGCTCTCCTTTCAAACGGTTCGATATGGGCGATACAGGTGTTTTGACCAGCTCTCCGGCTTGAATACAAAACTGAAGCCACATCTTGGCAAGTGCCCAGGATGCTCAGATCGTTAATTATAGCCGTCCAATCGGCCTCTTCCTGCGAAGCGAAGATCTATTCAAACCGCCCCGGTTCCACGACAAGCCACACGACAGGGGTAATGACGATGGCCGTGCGCTTGTCGAGGACGGTTGCTCGTTGTCCATGGCAGGGCTGAGTACTGAATACTGAAACCAATTCGAATGAAGGATGCCTTCTTCACGACATATAGTCAGCCAATTGTTCATCTGAACACGAAACAACCACCTACCCTTGTAAGGACGAAGTTCGAATAGGTGAAATTTCATCCGGGGGCGATAGATGGGACAAGAATACAAGTGATAGACCAATCTGCTAGTACGTGGGGATCGGTGTCAGTTCGAACTGGGAGATCGACCGTCAATTCGGTTGACGAGTTGTAGGTTCCGGAAGAAGGAGAGATGATTCTTGGTCGCCGTGGATGCGCACTAGGTAGGAAGACTAGTGAAGCTTCGAGGGTAACCTGAACTCAGTGGGCCGTTACTCCTCTGGAAGTAGGTTGCGATAATAGACCTGAACCCAACAACATATCAGAAGCTAGACGGGTTGACAGTTAACAACCAGAGCCGGGCAGTGCACTTCAAGCTAATGAACTGCTGGAATCCCCTCGTATCAGATAGACTGGCTGTTGACTTCGCTACAGCCAGAACTATAGTCACAAGAAGGCCAGAATAGCGTCGAAAGATCCATTTAGACTGATCTTCATCTGCAACCATGATTAGGGGCAGATGCTGGAAATGTGACGAAAGGTCGTTCATCCAGCACCGGAGCCAGAATTTTGAGATCAGAGATGATGTTTGTGCCGTACTAGGACTTGGATTGCAGAAAGGAAGAAAGATTGAGGGGAAAAGCAAATTGCGAATGACGGTGGTGTTCGGAACTCCTGCACCATGCCTCGCCTCGGCATCCGCCATGATCGGGACCGGTAATCAAATTTAGCGCCGAGTTCCCGGAGTTATTCACCTCTTCGACGGTCAGTCTGAAAGAAGAGCTTCGCTGTTCCAATCGTTGCAAAGATAAATACACAAGTATTAATTTTTCTCTTACGCGGGCAATCTTAATTCGCAGTAAAGACCGAGTAGGAAAATGCAAGTAGAGTACAATAAGCAGAGAAAGCGGAGGCATGCCAGATGAGTGTCGAAGGGTCCTTGCCTCCCTGAAACACAACACGGACATTATTGGCCGACAAGGATATCAAAAGGACAGCCGTGAAGCGTAGTTTCCATCCAAGAACCGATACGAATCGTCCGGAACGAATGAGTGCAATGGAAGGCATTGTGTCTCTCTGATTACACAAGACGTCCCCGAAAGGCGAAAGTGCAGGAAGAGGTGGCCGCATTCGTTTACCACGGAGATTCGGTCACGGATCGAGTGCTTTACATGGTTCAAGTGGGTTTGCCACAGCTGGAATCCAGGATCGTGCGACGATAGGCTCAGTGGGGAAGGGATAGAACGTTGTCGCAGTGCCCTCGCCTTCGAGGTCTTGACGCGAAATCGATGGGGATGAGTTCACAATTTCCTTTAAGGAAGATGGAGGTAGCTAACCGTTGGACCCTGCATCCGCGCACTCCCAGCCGGCCACAATTATTGGGCCAGGAGGAAATGGATAGTACGACCTTTCTTTGGCGTCGTTTAAGCCATGGAAGGAGGAACTGAAGGTATTGAGTAGTTAATTCCTACCGCGGATGGGAATACTTATATCAGACTCACCTTGCTTCCCGTACGCAAGCTGAGCAAAGAACATAAAGGAGAACCAATGAGGCAGGTGGATGCATCCTCGAATCTCGGGACCTCGAAGCCTTTCAGCCGCGCTGAGAGATCCGACACCGGAGGTCCTGCTCTGTGGGCGGGGACAGCTGTTATGGACGACTGGAAGTGGTTCTAGGTCAGTCTTTAAATCCTTCCCGCTTATCTATAATCTCTATCTCGGAAAAAGGCCCTTGCAGACAGACGGCGTGAGATGCCCTTGCATTGTACCTTCGAGGCGCCGATATTAAGCTGGGAGGAGCTCCTTCCGCAGCACAGGTCGTTGGTCCATGTCCCTTCCGTGTGAGGATAGAATCGTTCGACGGCGCATAGCAGCCTTGCCAAGGGTGGAAGAACACAAGGTACAGTCGTGACATGGTCAGGTAGAGACCGTAGAGTGCTTTGATCTCCAAGCACCGGGTCATTTTCACCAGTCGTACCATCCACGATCTCGATTACTTGACGAACACGAACGAATCCAAACAGTAATGCCTTCATGCTGACAGCCTCGATACGTTCTGCTGGCTCCCGTCCTGGCTTGGGGCCATAAGATCTCTGGTTGAAGTTCTCAACTGCGGCATGGTTGTTCCGCTCAAAATACGGCAGCATTGCCTGCATCCGAGATGAAAGAACTCCTCGAGGTCGACGTCTGCAAGAGAGACAAGGTCTACGAGTCGGCCACCTCCGGGACCGATACCGGCCTTCTGACTCAACGGGAAATAACTTCCCACGTGCGTCCACTACTCACAGAGCGGCTGCTCCTTGTCTCATCTCCTTCCGCACTTCTCCCTCTTCCTCCAATTTTATGCCCGCCTGCGAGAGTGATAATGAGTGCCGTCGATGGAACATTCATGAGTATCACTGCTGCTCTTGCTCTTGGGCCCGAATCCAAGAGCTTTGAGGTGTGTTTTCCCCAACAGTCGATTGCTGTTTCCATCTGATGTTCATCTCCAGGAGGTGCGCATCGAAGATTACATTAAAGCATACCAAACGACATCGCGGCCTCCTCAACCAGTCCCTCAACAGCCCACTGATGAGATTGCACGAAAGGCGCTGAATCTACCCCCTCTTTTCAAGCCTACCACGATGTCCATGGGCGGTGGTGGGGCGCCTGCGTCGACAAGTGCACCGATCGTGTTCCAAATTCCTGTGAAGATTGTCAATCCTGCTGAGCTTCCGCAAGGGCAGGAGTTCCGGGTAACACAGTTTGCAGGGGAGAAGCACCATAACATCGTGTCCATGCCGCAGTATGACGGGTTTAGTCCTGAGGTGCGTGGTGCTGCTCTACTTTTTTCGGTAACCGGAAGGCTCAGAACGGGGGCAGGAACTTCGCTTCTATGCGTATTCACGCGGAAACATTACATCCCCCGTCACAATACTCATGGACCCGTTCGTCCTTCCCGCCAAAGAAACCCCCAAGGCCCCAGTTGTTGCAACAACGACAGTGGATGACGAGCAATTGCAGCATATATGCGCTAACACTGCGCATATGCGCCATTCTCCAGAGGTACGCCGGCTTTTCGTGTTTCTCCTCATGCCTCTCACGTCCGGTGGCAGGAGTTACGGGTAGCTTACTTCATTCACGGGCGAGAGATGACGTCCGCAGAGCTCATGCCTGGGGCCACGGTTCCGTCTGCCCAACCCCCAGCTCCTATCATCCCAGCAGCGCCGCTCGCAGCGCTTCCTCAACCCATCTATGCCTCGAGCACCCCTAAGTTCACTTTTGGGTTGCGTTAATCGAGTCATCCGCCTGCTGCCGCTGCCGCTGATCTTGTGCTTCATTTATTTTTGTGTAGGGCCTATCCGTCCCGATGTGTATTATAATCTCGTCTTGCAGAATGAAAATCGACGTGACCTACCAGTAATGTTTATCCGACTCGGTGATGAGTCTTCTTCCTGATTTCTCCTCGACCTACGTATTGACGAAGGAAGCACCACCAGCCCAACGGCAGAAAATTGATCATGATACCAGCACTAAATTTGCGATTCTTGCGCTATGATTGCCTAGGTGGATATTTATACCTTTTTCTTTTTGCTTCAGCTAAAAAAAGAAAACAAGCTGCAGTCATTTGGGATCGATATCGCAATATCTCGCCCTCGCCGTCCCTCCTGGACGCTTGACAAGGGCTCCAACCGCACTTTCCAAATTGTGCCACGATACGCCTCCGAAGGTGAAGACGGTCGCACGTCTCGTCTACTAGAAGGAGGCTCACTTTTTTCTCCACCGGCCCACCCCTCCGCATCTTCTGACATATTGTCTACGGCAAGTTGGTTTGCCGAACATACGTTGCGGGACACGGCGCTCGCTTCAGGGTATCGACGAGGTCTTCGGAGCAACTAGCCCATACACTCTCCAAACCTCAAATATACGCTCTCGTAAAGATAACGATGATATTGACGAAGAGGGACTTCCTCTCATACATCAACTTCTGGGCCAACGCGATCCATAAATAATACTGCCATGAGGACGACCTCCTGAAAGCCGACTACGGCCACCTGTCTCTCGTTGCAGACTTATACTCGGGTCTCTTTTTCCATCGGACACCTGATACTTGTGCCGTAACTTTCGGAGTGAACCTGCATCTAATTGGTCAGCCCACGGAGTACTCACTGTTGGTGAGGGCAGTTCTATTTTTCATATTTGGAGCGATGGAATGCTGGAATGTGATGCTGGTAAGTATATAAACCACCTTCCCACAAACCAACCTCCGAAGTCTCTTCCTGTGAGCGCCCAGTGCATTATTGGCTCGGAGGATGTCCAACCTATCTCATCTGATCTTGATTGCCCTTGGTGGCTTGCTCCTCGTGGGCCTGAAGAAAATCCTAGACTCCCGTAGCAGACAGAAGCGTGGTCCTTACCCTCCTGGTCCCAAACCAAAGTTTCTTATTGGCAATGCACTGGATTACCCAATGAACGGGGCAGGGCACCATTTTATGGAGGTCGGAGCGCAGCTTCAGAGTACGTCTACCCGTTTGTTTCGTTCGTGTTTCTTGTGAGTTGTTGACACCGAGATTGTGCAGGCGGCTTGGTCTACCTCAACGTCCTGGGAAACCACATTCTCTTCATCAACCAGAAGTCAATCGCCGACGACCTTCTCGAAAAGCGTGCTAAGATCTACTCCGGCCGTCCCCAGCTTCCCGCCGCCCTGGCGTGAGCATTCATTTTCGTACTGAACTTGGCGTAATTGATGGCAAATGCCACTTATTTTCTTTTCTTGACCAGAATGGGCTGGGACACAACTAACGTCTCACTTATGGACTACGGCGACACCTGGAGGAAGCATCGAAAGGTTTCCCAGCAACACCTCAACAAGCGGAAGACGAAGTCCTACGAGCCGATTCAGCAGCGCCATCTTCATAAAATGCTGCACCGTCTCTTGCACTCGCCCGAAGACTTTTGGCAGCATAGCGAAGTGTGAGCACCCATCGCACGACTACATCAATGGCACAAGGCTTACTCCGATCTTGACCCAGCCTTTCCACCGCCATAATTATGGACATAATGTATGGATACCAGATCGACCGACTCGACGACCCAGCAAACGCCGCTGCGCTGAAGATGCTCGAACTCGGTCTCCCACTCGTGATGCCGGGAGGGGCGCTCATGAACGTCTTACCCTTCCTGCGTCATCTCCCCTCCTGGGTCCCTGGGAATTCTTCTGGGAAGGCGGTGAAGGAGTGCGGGTTCTGGACACGTGAGATGCTGAGGATCCCGTTGGAGGATTTGGCCAAGCGGATGGTGAGTGATACTTTGAGTGTTCCTGTGTGTTTATTTCACAGATCGAGTGATAGAAGGAGGGCACGGCGACATACTCGATCGTGTCTGAGTGCTGGGAGAAGAAGGGCACGGCCGACGCAGACCTTGAGGCAGAAAGCGTACTGTATGGCGTGACATGGACGATGTATGCAGGTGAGACCTTCTCGTCTCAACGATTCTCCTCTGGGCAACAGAACTAACATCGAGCTCATCTAGCCGCAATGGAGACAGTAAGCACCTCTTACCACCTCCTTCTCGTATTGTCCCATAAACCCCTTACCCAGACCGTCTCCTCGACAACTTGCTTCTTCTACACCATGGTCATGCACCCCGAGTTCCAACGCAAGGCTCAAGCCGAGATTGACAAAATTGTGGGCACCAACCGGCTGCCCACCTTCGAGGATCGACCCTCCTTACCGTACATCGAGGCGATCTACCGGGAGGTGATGCGATACGCCCCACCTCTGAACATTGGCCTCCCACATGCATCGAGGGAGGATGATTGGTATGACGGGTATTTCATACCGAAGGGAGCGACGATTTTTGCGAATTTATGGTGCCTTATTCTTTTCTTTAGTTATATTATCTGGGTATTGACAATAGGTCCGCGATTTCTGAGGGCGATGACGCGCGACGAAACGATCTATCGCGACGCGAATGCTTTCAACCCCGAGCGGTTCTTTGATGAACATGGAGAGCTCAATGACGACGACCAGGTCTTGGCTTATGGCTTTGGCAGAAGGTAAGTTGTGTCCTTTCATGTGTGCTCCTCGCATCCTAACGTTACGTCAGGGTGTGTGTCGGTAAATATGTGGCGAGTGCTACGGTAAGATTCGCTCGCATTGTCGTGCAATCCAAGTTAGGCGATATAACGGCGGTTATTTCTCCCTCAGTTATGGATAACCATTGTCTCCATCCTCGCATGCTTCAATATCGAAAAAGCGAAGGACGAATACGGCAATGACATCGAGGTGAACGACGAATATGTTGACTTGGGTCTTACAATGTACGTCACCGCCTTTACCACTTATGAGAACCGGCCTAAGATGTTTCCACCGAAAGGCACAAAAAACCGTTCAAGTGCCGTATACTCCCTAGGTCTGAGGGTGCGCGACAGCTTGTTGAGGATGTGATTGTGGGGGAGAGGAAGTGAAGTCAATGCGTTGAGAATTGAAGTATCTGAATTCTGTAAATAAGCGCTCTGTTCAGTGGCTGTGATTATAATATTTGTTATGTCAGAGTTACGTTCGTCGTAATTGTTTTTTGACGTCTGGCATGGTGTGTCAGGCCCTCCGTGGGCTCGTACCGCCTCGTTCACCATCCAAATTATCTATATGACCGAACCACGTACGCCGACTTTTGCCACGCCCCACTAACATTCCTTCTCTCGCTAAAGACCATGGCCGACAGTGACGAAAGCTGGAGGCTGCAGATTCCGCAAATCTCTGTGACAGCCAACGCCGATGAAGCTCTCCAAGATTCAAACGACGCAGGAGTAGCTGGTGCTGGGGATCGAGACCTCCCATGTGGGCTACTTTCGCCGACTTCTGTTGTGCTCGTGGACGATCATCCAACCCAAGCATCCAATGGTCGAAACTCGTCTTTACTTTGCTCACCACTCTCTCTCTCCACCATTCCAGAGGTCAAGGCTGTAGCGACAGATGAGCAAGTCGGTGCTTCACCTACCTCCTTGGCCAAGCCGGACGACAAGCCGGACGATATTCCACCATCTACACCGCCCTCTCCGACGTTCACCGATGGTGAATCCGAGGATGGCAGGCACTTCCCCACAACCCTTGTACTACGAGACAGCAGACCCGACGAGAACATCCAGCTCCCACTTGTCGTCGATCCGAACACCAAGAATCTTCGTCTCGTCGACGATGGGAAGACCAGTGTGGAAGATCTGAACCTGAAGGCTGCGCTGGAGAGAGACGGACTCCCAGTTGATTTTGGGAAGAAGACGCAATCGACTCCTAAACCTCTGCGACCCGTGTATGACGACGCAAATGATACAACCGATCCGACGCCGTTCACTTTCAAGCCTATGTCTCTTGCTCGAATGTTCGATCCAAAGGACATTGATGCCCTGATTCAATTTGAAGGCACTCCTGGGATAATAGAGGGGTTGTGCACGAGTCCGTCCCGCGGTATCACAACTATCGAACCACCAGAGGATGCGCGACCAAAGATCCGGACGAATACGAAGAAGGAACTCGAGGCACCCAATGAGAGCGACGAGAAGCTCCCTGCCATTCTACTTACCGGTCCAACCCCGAGTGGCAGTGGAGGTGATGCACCGTACGTCCCATTAGCGGAAAGAAGGAGAGTTTATGGAGACAATATAATCCCAATATGGCCGCCGCCGGCGCTAATCACGGTCATTTGGCGGAGTTCGACGAAGTCTGTGGTGCGTTCATTTTCGGAAGATATTTGCCTTTATCTCATCGAAGTGTTTCAGATCCTTTTCTCTGCCTCGATATCCATCGCTCTGACACTTAATCTCGTCTCGAAAACACCTGGACATTCCGTTCGATGGGCGCAATACACTGCGTGTTTGGTTCTCCTAATGCTCATCATACTCTCCAGCTCGATCAGTAATTGGTGGATGGGTCTGCTATCCCACCGGGTTGAGAGATGTTGTGAAGAGAGAGGGGTCAGAGTTATACGGGACGGCGTGGAAGCCATAATCGATGCTAAGGTTTGGGCCATCCTTCTTGACATTTCCTCTTTAATCTTCTCCCATTACTTAGGACCTTGTTGTCGGTGATCTCGTACTCCTCGAGCCAGGAGAGGTTATCCCTGCAGATGGAATTTTTATCTCTGGACATGGCGTTCGTTGTGACGAATCCGCATGTACGGGAGAAAGCAACACGATTCGAAAAATTTCTTACGCGGAGATGCTCGAGCTGTACCACCGAACCGCTGCGAGAGGCCAAGATCCCAATAGTAGTTGCACTGACTGTTTTCTCCTCTCCGGAAGCGTTGTTCTTGAGGGGACCGGGAAGTATATTGTAGCAGCCGTCGGAAAAAGGAGTTTCAATGGCCGAATAATGCAAGGTGAGTGGCACACTCTTATTATTTATCTCATCATCCAATTCTGAAATGTGCAATATGCAGCTCTCCGCAGAGAGCTCGAGGATACTCCACTTCAGAAAAGAATCCACCAACTAACTAGGCGACGGAGGATTCTCGCACTCCTCGTGGCTATATCTTTCTTCTGCTCTATGATGATCAAGTTTTTCATTCACCTTGCGCACGAGTCAGATCGGTCCGTGGGTTCTCTAAATAACGCAGGCGGCATAAGGTTAACTATTTAGCTACAGAACTCCGATGGACAACGGCCGCTCTTTCTTGGCAATTTTCATTCTTGTGCTCGGGATGGCGTCCTTCATCGGTCAGTCCCTAGGTGTGTAATCAGCGTCATCAACCTTTGCTCTGGCTAAATTAATGACTATGTGAACGCTGTCAGGCATATCACGTCCTGCTGACATCATACTCGTGCTCTCTAGAAGGCGAATGATGAGGGATAATATTCTCCTTCGGGGTCTTGCCGCGGCTGAAACGATGGCTAGGACTACTGTCATTTGCGCTGACAAGACTGCAGTCCTGACGCAAGGTTGCCTCAAGGTTGTGGCTGGTGCATTTGGGACTACTGCCATGTTTTGGCGCTACCCCGACGAACATGCCATACGGTCAGACACAAACGAAGAGTCAGACGCGGCGGGGATCTTCACCTTTGACCTAGCTAGGCTCGACACCGTTCTCCTTCCCCACCTTCGAACTCTAATCCACGACAACCTCGCTTTGGGCGCTCGGTTGGTTTGGACGTAGTGGAACATTGTCCTCAATTCTACTGCAACCAAAGTAATGAATCACGACTTTGGAGACTGGGAGTTTAGCGGAAACCATGTCGACAGCGCGTTGCTTCGATTCGCCGAAGACCTAAAATGGGAAGACGCCACACTTTCTCGTAAGCGCGTCGATGTCCTCCAAGTGTTTCCACTGTCCAGTGATCGAAAGGTCACTGCAATTGTCGTAAAGGGTCAAACCGGCGGTTATCGAGCACACTTCAAAGGGGCAAGCGATATTCTTTTGCGGCAGTCAACCAAGTATGTGGCTGTTCATCACGATGGCCAGCACTACAGTGGCGCCACTGGCATCGAAACCAAGACTTTCGATATCACGTCAAGGGCACTTGCCAAGAAGATGATATTGGACTATGCAAGCAAGGCCAATCTTACGATATCTCTCTGCTATCGGGACCTTGTCACATGGCCCCCTCGAGGATTTACACTGGATGAGCAGGGCGAAGTACGGTTCTTCTAGCTGCTACGTGAACTCTTCTGATTGACATTCATTACTACAGATGTCGTTCCATGCCCTCTTTCATGATCTCACTTTCCTCGCGACCTTTGCCATTCAGGACCCGCTTCGTCCCGGCATTTGTGATGCAGTCCGAAACTGTCACCGTGCTGGCGTTCAAGTCAAGATCTGCACCGGGGATGATGTGGCAACAGCGCGAGCTATTGCTAAAGAATCTGGGATTCTCACCGAAGGAGGCCTTGTCATGGATGCTCGGGAGTTTAGGGTGCTCGACCGCACTGATAAACTAACCATCTTGCCTCACCTCCAAATCTTAGGTCGGGCCTCCGCATGCGACAAAGGAGACCTCGTTAAGATCCTCCAGGATCTTGGAGAGGTCGTGGCTGTTACCGGCGATGGCCCGCATGATGGCATCGCTCTCAAAGTAGCCGATGTCGGATTTTCTCTCGGAATAAAGGGGACAGAGGCTGCGAAGGCGGCCTCCGACGTCATCATAATGGACGACAGCTTTCTGACCGCCATCGTAACCCTCAAGTGGGGCCGTTTCGTCCAGAGAGCGGTGCGCCAGGTCCTTGTGATGCAGCTTACCTCCATCGCCTCCCTTCTTCTGGTGGCTTTCATCTCAGCTGTTGTATCTTCTGCTGAGAGCGCCGCACTTTCCATCTCTCAACTCCTTTGGATATACCTTGTCATGAAGGTCTTCGCCACCTTATCTCTAGCAACAGACTTCCCAACTGACGATCTACTGGACCACAAGCCCATGAGAAAAGACTCTCCGGTGTTCGAAGTGGACATGCTCAGGGTGACCTTTTGTCAGGCCATATTCCAGGCCACCGTTTCACTTGTTTTCCACTTCTATTTATCAAAATTCCTTGTCCCTGATTCGACCACACATCGCATTGGTTTGGCCAGGACACTAGTTTTTAATGCCTTCGTTTTCTCACAGCTCGCAAACACCTTCAACAGCCGCAGATATATTGGTAATATGAATCGACGACCAATTCTGCAAGCTCTCTTCCCAACTATCTCTTCCATCGTTTTAACTCTCGTTGGTGCGTCCATTTAATTGTATTCAGCGTCGCTCTTCTGTTAATTCTTCATGACTCTCAAATTATTCCTAGCTCTGTCAACCCAGATTCTAATTGTTTTCATTGGGGGACAAGCCTTCCAAGTCGTCCGCATGACAGTACGCGAGTGGATGATTTCTCTGGCCCTTGGGCTGTCACCTATTCCATTCGGCATTCTAGTTGCGTATCTCCCCAACAGACCTTTCAGAAGTTTCTTCACGCTGCTCAGACTCTTGCCTAATCCCAACATCCTTCCAACTATTGGGCCGAACGTAGAACGTTCGGACATTTCGAGAGCGACATATGTTGTCCCTCCAGCAACACCACAGCCCACGTCGCCAGCGCCACCCACCGGCGAACCCGTGCAGAGGCCCGAGCCTGAAGAACAATCACCTTCGTGCGTATTTCCTAATGCCACTCAGCCGCGTCATGTTGATGGTCTTTACAGATCCCCCATCTCACCAATAGCACCGCCGGGTCTCTCACCAATCTCTCCTGCCGAATCTTAATCGCCCTAGATTTCACTGACTTCGTATGGGATATTTGTTATATAGGTATTAGGTACTGCACAACCTTAACACGCTTGTGCAATGCCTTGAAACCAAATGCGACTTACACAGGAGACTGACTGCCTTCGTACCAGTGGAGGAATTTGAAAGAGGAGGGCATGTCATGAGTATGATGAATGAATGTATATAGCCTCGTCCACCACCATCTATGTCTTTTCGACATCCTAGCGTCCGGCTCGACCATTTGATAATCGAGTTTCCGATCGGAAGCGTGTGCTACAATCTGATCAAACATATACTAAATTTAAATTTCTTCTTTCTCTTTGCCACTGGAGAAGTGCACCACAGGAGAAGGCGCGTCTAAGAGTGAGAGAAATAGAGTCAGGGATGGGGACTTGCTTCTGCTATTTAGACTCACTGTCAGTTCCTTGGATTTTCTGAGAAACAAGCCGGCGCGAAAAAGTTTTTCTCAGCACCCTGCAGACCTGCAATACATCAGGCCGAATGAGCCACTCGAGGATGCCCCGGCCAAAGGTTGTCTCAAGGACCTGAAGAGCCATCTTCCCGTGAGGTCGCTCCGGATGGAAAAGGATGGTCTCGCAAAGCGAGTCCAACACCAAGCCCAGTTGAAATATTTCGTCGGGGATGTCGCTCCGTGCATAGCCTTTATATGCGATGATAATGGCATCGGCAACCAGGAGGGATTGGATAGCTTGCATTTGCTCCGGGGTGGCATCTTCTCCTACATCTGAAAGGAAATATTCCTCTATCCAGAACCGCAGACGGGTGGCCGCTCGGAGAAGGCGGAGCGGTGGTATCTTAGGCTGCATCTCGACGTAACGTTTAACCGCTTTTGCGAGTCTTTGTGGTTGAAAGGCGAAATGAACAGTCCAGCTGATCTCCAGTTCTATGAGTTCATTGAAAAGGGTTTCAACATATTTATCCTCCAGTCTTTCAACTGCTAAGAGATGACATTAGTGGTCAAAAAGGTGATCAGACAGTAGGAGTTGCTCTGATGTTGACATACCTTTATCTTCGGATACCGTCGTCCGCCAGTACAGGCATTGTCGCCAATGTGCGAGCGTTTCATCAGTCGCATAATCCTGCAGGAAATTGATGCTCCGAATATGGAGCTCGAGCGTCATCTCTCTCTTGAAGAAACCCACGAATTCGAGTAGAAGAACGTCGAGGAGGAACTCCACGTCCGTTGGGATATCGGCGAGCTTTGACAGTGGAAGTGTTAATTTTCCGCGCCGGCTTCCCCGCTGGCGTTTGAGCAACTCGACCAGGGATTTTAATAGCGACTCATGATATTTCAATTGTATAGGCGCTGCTGCAGAGGAGGATTCGCTAATATTGAGGGATATAGTCTGCGAAAGGCAGTTATACGCGGCGTCATGGATGCTCGAGTCAAAGTGATAGTCGTCACAGACTTGCCGTAAGCCTTCGACCCCCTCATAGACAAATCTAGGTCCAGAGGCGTTATCCCAACTTCGAGCATCCGGTAAGGAATCGGTAGGGCCTGACAGCACGTAAGCCGAGTAGCACCAGCGGATCAGCATCCACTGGAAATCAATATTTATCCAATCCGAGGCATCCATCAGCATGTCCAGTCGAGCGTAGGGAAGCCACTTCACAGAATGCTCATCTGCATTAAACATCGAGGATGGTAAGACGGCTAAATAGTAATGAAGCGTGGCGAAACACGTCCGGAATAATCGGGACTGGGGCGACTTGTAGGGACAAGGGACAGGAGGTTTCAAGGTGCCTCCACGATGCGCCTCTTTCCAGATCAGCATCCAGGTATGAAGGCTTGGAACAGCGGTGGTTAAAAGAAGGAATCCCAGCGATAGGGATATCAGGAAAACCATTGGAATGGTGACGGTCATGATCCCAAGTGAGACGAGGAAGTCAGCGAGTCCAATGAGGAAAAAAATGAGCCCGAGGGCAAGGAGAAGTGGTAATGACGAAAAGAAGGCCGAGACGCGCCACTTCTGGAGCATCTGCGTGCGCATGTGGAGGAGGGTGAAGGTTTGCTGTGGGGAGAAGTATTCGGGATACGACTGGTGCTCTCGTATCCACTGGAGGGAGGTTATTCCTATAAGGACGGTCGTGAGGCTGAGGACGAGGCTGAGGAACCAGAAGGCGTTGACCCGAATTGCGGAGTTGCTCGGAGTGAACGGGGCTTCTGAAGGGCCAATAACGCTGTCAGGTGGAGACGCGGGCGCATTAGACTGATTCTCGAGATGAGCAACGATTCGAGCGAGTAGAAGGACGGCTGTTTCGTTCGGGTCAGGCTGAAGGTTCTTGTATGTTTCAACAAGAAAAGCAGTAACCACGGCAGAAAAGAGACCAGCCTAGAGCTGCATTGAGGAATCGAGTGAATGGAAATGAAGAAATCGGCGCACGAAAATTAGGATGTTCTGCACCTCATCCTTCCACGTATCACATTGAGCCTTGTCTTTCTTCTGGACCGGTGCAAGAACCCTTTCCCAATAGTCCACTCCTTCTTGTTTCTCTGGCTCAGTGAATAATGGGGAACCACAACGTAATGCCGCTGAACCTGGCGACTAGATACCGATAAAGGTTTTGTTAGGAACCTTAGGGTCGAGATGGTGAGGCTTGCTTACCTTGTATCCATCTTCCGTCTTAACACCTTCTCCTTCCAGGACACTGCTCGAATCTATAGACCCCGATACGAACCCCGGCGTATGGGTTGGGTCCACCTGCACGATCGTCAATACGAGTAATCTATTCCCTGCAAGATGTCGTACGCTCATTCTCTGCGACGATCCGCCAAGCTGGGCATCAAACTGGTTCTTGCCTAGTAGTCGCTTCGTAGACTGCTCCATGCCCGACCGTACGGTGGTTGAAGAGCGCCGTGACGTTGCACGTCAAAATCAGGCCATTGGTAGATATGCGGCCTCGATCGCCATCAGGCACGCTCTCGGACACTGGCCGTGATCCCAAGTGTATCGTTATTTCTTCGTTTTCCACTGGCGTACATATGTGACGGAACACAGGTCATGGTAAATGGCGGGGAAGAGGTGCGATGATGGAAAAGCCAAGGACGAATCCAATCTCTTGGCCTTGGGTGGGTGACGGCCCGAATATCCGCCGCATACAGTCCTGTCTTTTCACACTTGAAAAAAATTACTTACGTTGGTCTGGTCAAGTATCCAAGTACCATAAATTGAGTATTCAGTGATAAAACACGCATCCTTAGTCAAATACATTTTTTTCGCCGAGTTTACGAGCCATTCTGATCTTGGCCTACTATACCTTCAACGCGAGAGTCCGAAGTCAAGTCCACGTCGTACAAAGATTGTCGGTAGGCATACGCAGTACGGACGGAGCACGCTTTAACGTCACGATCTTAAAGTCACAAGAAGACGCCCAGTTTTGTGCCCGTCTCTCCCGATCCCAGAAGCGTTTTTGAAGTCGTATAGAACGAGTGAGCTGGGAAGTGTGCGGACGGAAGGTACGTGGTGTAGCTGGAGGTGGGCCATAGAGCGCTTATATTATTGACGCTCAATGTCTTTACCTTTACGCGCACGGTCCACGTAATCCACAAGCTCGAGTCCAACTACCTGACTCGCTACTTCGTCTACCTTAGCCCAACTTGAACCGCCTCACCTCCTCCCCCTCCCACGGCACCTCCTCCTCCCAATGCGTGATCACGACGACCGCCTGAGTCTCATCCACTCCCCTCATTCCTTGTCCCTCTTTCTCACCTCCCTTTGCCCCTCCCCCCTCCACCTCTTCCCCAGGCTCGTCCGTAGACTCGCCCTCACCTCGAAGATAAGCCCTCGCAGCCCTAACCATCCCGCCATCCATCCCACTCCACACCTCGTCCAAAAGAACGATCGGAGGCCGCCCGACGAGCGCGCGCATGAGCAGGACGAGCCGCTGTTCGCCGGGCGCGAGGGAGGTGAAGGGTGTGCGGGCGAAGGCGATGGTTTGGGGTGTTGGATAAGGTTGGGAAGAAGGAGAGAGGGCGGGGGTGGGAGAGAGGGAGGAGGAGGGAGAGGAGGGAGAGGGAGAAGGAGAGGGCGAGGGAGAAGAGGGCGAGGGAGAGGGAGAAGGAGCAGGGGCGTAAGCAGCAGGTCCCAGGGCAGAGAGGACCTCCCAACATCGCTCTACGCGCCACTCTCGGAGACATTTCCTCACTTCTTCCCTCCTCTCTTCGTCCTCGTCCTCTAACCCATCCTTTCCCTCCTTTCCCTTTAAATCCACCCCCTCCAACTTAACCCCCTCCAACCCCGAAGCGAGAGCTAGGTCCACCTCCTCGTCACTCACGTCCACCCACCCAACACCTCCTTGCCCTCCCTTGTCTCCCTTTCCCCCTTCCTTTGTTCCCAGCGCCCGCGCAGCGCCCCTCGTCCTCGGCACGAACCCCCCATCAAACCCCGTCCCCACTGCCTCCCAGACGCTCATCCCTGGGTGGCGCCGCGGGAAGGCGTCGAACATCTCGGGCGAGACGACACCGATTAGGCGGCGGAGGTGGGCGGTTGGTGTGCGCTTGCGGGGCTGGAGTGTATGCGCAGGTGCTAGCTTGGTGTTGGTTTCGGATGTCTGGTTAGGGGTGTCCGAGGGAGTGGTAGATGGGGACGAGGGAGAGGCGGAGGGAGAAGAGTTTGTGGAAGAGCAGGAGGAGGAAGAAGATGGAGAAAAGGAAGGTAGCAACAGGTGTCGCTGGGTATAGGATTGAGGGTGGTCCCCTGTCAGGAGGGCGAGGAGGGTCGTCTTCCCAGAGCCTGCGGGAGCGAAAAAGGCGCGTGATGTTAGATTCTGAGTGTACGACGAGCAAGAAAGAGAATATTGAGAGAAAGGGGGTTGAGGAAAAGAGCAGAGAAAGAGAGTTTTGGGAGAGACCACTGTGGAAAATGTATCCGAGAAGGGCACCGAGGAAAAGAGGGTCGAGGAAAAGGTATGGAGAGAAAAGATATCGGAAAAAAAGAGGATCGAGGAAGAGGGGGAAAGGTATAGAGAGAAAGGATATCGAGGAAAAGGGAATCGAGGAAAAGAGGATCGGTAGAAAAATAGGATCGAGAGAAGAGGGTCGCGAAGAGTATCGAGAAGAAGAGTGTCGAGCAAAGGGGAGTATGGGGAAAGGGCATCGAGAAAAGAGGGTCGAATAGAGAGGAAGAGTATCGAGGAAGAGGGTATCGAGATAAAATCGTCAAGGAAAGGGGTATCAAGAAAAGAGGTCCGAGGAAAAAGAGGTCCGAGGAAGGGGATTGAGAAAAAGGGTAGTACGACGAAAAGAGGATCCGGAAAAAAAGAACATCGAGAGACAGGGAAAGAGACAATGAGAAAAGAACAGTATCGAGAAACGTACCGTTCGCGCCCTGGAGGTGCCACCGCTCGCCTTGTCGGATCTGCCAGTTTATATTTTGCAGGACCTTCAAATGCATGAATAGCGGAAATAACAGTAAGTAGGGTACACAATGACGAGAGAGGAAGACATGAAAAAAAGAGATGCACGCACCTTCCGCTCCCTATACGACACGTTCACACCCTTCATATCGACCAGCACCTCTCCTATCCTTCCTCTCCTTATCTCCGCCTTCCCCACCTGCTCTCCCATCTTCTCTCCCTCCTTCCTTAACCCACCAACCCCACCACCAACGCCCTGATAATACAACCCAGGACTCCGCACAACAGCCCGCCCATCCCCCACCTCGAGGACGTGAGTGACCCACGCCGGGATGTGCTCGCCCTTCCTTAGGCCTATTATTACCCGGATGCGCGGGGAAGATGCTTCGTGGAGGTGGGCGAGGACGGCGGTGAGGGCGGAGCGGGAGGGCGGGTCGAGGCCGGCTGGTGGGTGATGGGTGGGGTTAGTTTTTCGTTTGAGCGGGGAGGAGGGGAAGGAAGTGGGGGAAGGAAGGAGGGGGTGGAGGGGAGGGTGGGGAACGAGGGGGGAACGACGGAGAGCGGGTGGAAAACGGAAGGGGAGGAAGGGAAAGGGGAGAGGGAAAAGAGGGAAAAGAAGGATATACTCAGCGGCTCGTCCAACAAGAGAACCTCGGGCTCGTCAAGGATCGCTTTAACGATACGCGCGCGGCGCGTCTGTCCGTTGCTCAGCGCCAACAGCGGCAAATCCAGTAGATCCTCCAAACCCATCCTACTCGTTAGCTCCTCAAAAAACGGTTTCTTCTCAGCGGTCAGGTCGCCGAGCGACCCTCGTAAAGTGACTCGATCCTCCGCCTCCCACAGCGCACCGTACCGCGCGGTATAGTCAAAGAACGCGCCTGACCCACCGCCGGAGGAGCGTTGTCGGAAGGAGACAAGCGCGATTTTGGTGTATGGGTCGACCGACTCCGAGGGCGAGGAGAGGAACGGGTACAGCCCGCCAGCGTGAGCCCAGGCGGCTTGTGCACCTTGGGTGGGTGGTGCGATCCTCGTATGGCCCAATAGAGTCTACTGAACCAACCAACCAACGACGTTGAGCTCAACACCCAACATCGACAATCGCACTCACCTTGAACACAGCGCCCTTCCCTCCACCCCCACTCCCACTCCCCGAGACGACGGCCCACGCGTCGCCCTCGCGCACCGTCCAGCTTATATCGTGAATCAGCGGCGTACGTGAGCGGGCGGGCGAGCCGAAAGCGTAGATGGAGGAGTTTGAGGGGATGTGGACTATCGGTTTGCTGGAGGGTGTTGTGTAGGAGCGGATGTGGAGGAGGAGTGGCAGGCATCTGGGAGGCATTTCGGAGCCCGCGAGGGTGTTGGAGGGGAGGAGAGGGAGAACTGAGTCATGGGAAGCGTTACGGTTATGGCGGTCGGCCTTTTCGGCGTTGGAGATGACGTAAGGAAACGCGGTCACGGGACTTCTGCGTGACCTCCGAACGCGTCTGCGTCTGTCTGCGTCAAGAGGCGTCAAGACTGCGTCGCCGGTTTGAGCACAAATTAGATATTTTCTGAGGGATTTTAGTACCAAGATGAAGGCGAGGCGTTTAACTTTCACTATAAGCCCAGGGCCCTCAAGTCCGCACCCGAGTCATTGTCAGCCTGCGAGGAAAGGGAGGAAGGACCCGGAGGAGACAAGAGGAGATGGAAATGGGGACAAAGAAAAAGAGGGAGAAAGAGGGAAGAGTAAGGGCTTGGTGGTAAATTGGTTGCTCGATGTTAATTGTATCATACTCGTACTCATTGTATCACTATTTGAATGGGACATCCTCAGTTTCAACCACATTTTCCAGGGAACCAGCCCTGCAAACCTTGACTCGAAGAAGACTGGCATATGTGCTGCCCAACTCGTCCTCGATGGACCTTTTAATACATTCATAGACGTCTCGGTTCTCCCACTCGACTGAGAGGTGCATCTCGAAAGGAGGAGAATTGACTCGGTTGTCATTCTGAAGTTGCGAGTTCGTTTCAGTCTGTCGAACCATCCACGAGAAGCGCGAGCGTGCTAAGTTTCCATATGCAGCTGGCGATGAATGGTTCGGAGACGATACCCGGCTGTGGTAGAGTTTGAGGGTTTGCAAGTGCGGCAGAGGTGGAGGAAAGTCCACAACATTCTTGATACCTGCTTTGTCAATCGTAAGGAACGACACGAGGTCGCGGCAGTCTTCAAACCAGGATATATTTGCATCAACTCCCTTCAGCACACACAAGTGCTGAAGCCAGGTGGTCAGGCGTAGGAGGGAGCGAAGATCCTCGTCGCTGATGTTTACACGGGTCAGGCAGAGTGTCTTCAGCTGTGTGAAGAACGGGAGGTCGTGTTGGATCACCTCTGTGAACGGGCGACCTTCTGGAGCAATTGAAAAGGCCGTATGATGGCCCGCAATTGCCCGAACGTGGAGGAATTTGATAGCAGGGAAGTCAAGTCCGCGAAGGATAGTGGATAATGCAGCTTTAAATTGAACTTCCAAGGACAGCCTTGTCAGGTACTTCATGCATGTCCATGTTCTTGGAGAAGTCCACACTGTGCCATCGTCAAGCCCCGGCTTGTTAAAGATGAGGATAATAGAGGCTTTGCGCAAAGCCAGCTGGAGCCAGTGGTGGCTCAAATGCGTTGCGCTGAGACCTTTAGCCAGCAGAACCTGAATATCAGACCGATGAATGCCATATATTAATATTACTTACATCTCTCTATAACCTCGTATTTCCTGGAGAGCTCCACGCGATATCAGTCTGTGGGGTGGTTGATCAACGGTTGATCACGGTTGATATTTTCTGCTGGCTCAGTTTCCATATATAGGTTAGTTTCTGGAGATTGTCGTAGCTGCACGGATGAATACAATGAGATACTTGCATTGTCATTGAAATCCCCTGGCATCCAGACATACACGGTACTACATAAGACTAAGTTAAAAGCATAGTCACTAATTGGCCGCTACTGGCTACACGACACAGCGCAACGTTTTTGAGCCAGCACTGGCTCCAGCTGGCTTTGCGCAAAGCCTCTAATGACCCAAAATTGGACGTCCGCCTGGCGAAGAATGGTGCACTTGGTGACAAAGTTGCGCCAAGCTTGGATAACATCTCGGAAGGGGGAACTGGAAAATCGAATTGAGATTGAGGTGCTTTCTAACTGGCGATGCGGGACTTGTATATTTGTGAGCTCCAAGGGATCACACAAGTGTAAGTGATAGTGCCGGAGTGACGGAGCGAATGGAATCATCAGTGGCTGGGATGATGTTGAGTTTCGTTCCGGGTGGAGGGTCTCCAGGTTTGAAAATACATGGGGAGGAAGCTCATTCAGGAGCGAATGATGCCAGTCGGGACGCGTGTCGAGGACCAGGGAGCGGCATCTTGGGAGCTGGGCTTAATGAAGCCTGTCGAGCCTCGAGGACGTTTGTTGGGTTTGGCCTCTCCTGGGTGTGGCAGTCACGTACGGTGAGGTCGAGCAGAGGACCAGCCCCCGCCCGCTCCAAGAAAAGTTGGAATGCTTGTGAGCACCGGGCATTCGCTTGTATCCAGTCATCCACAGATTCGATGGCGGGGTCACTGGGAAATTCATAGAAGATGCGTGTCCAAAAATGTGCATTGTTGAGGACGATGTTTCGCCAGAGGCGGCACACTCTGGAAAGAACAAAGGGTGAATGGGATACAGAGGGCCAAAACGAATAGTTCAGCGCGGGTAAAGTGAGTTGTAAGATCCTAGTTAGAAGCTCAACTGGCAGCCGTCGAATGGGCGCCACGATGGAGGCTACGATCGCAAGCTGTCTTTCCTATCCGAGACCGCTTCTTCTAAAGAGGCCAGTTCTTCACAGAGCGCCTCGATTGCACAGAGCTTCTGCTGGCCAGCAGCTTTGAGAGAGTAGATATCCTTCCAGCAGGCTCTCCGTGATCCGCCCAAAATGTCAAGTTCCTCTGGCGATAGTCGAAAGCCGGTTGTAGGGAGATATTTCTCTAGCGCCGTAGTGGCGATATGATCCTATCTGCAGGTAAGATAGACATTGGCTGTGTTGCGTTGAACGTACCGTGTTTTCCGCGACGTTTTCTTGCCCTGAATCGAGGTTGGAGGGGTATATATTTCCCGTAAAGAACTTCAAGGATTTGGTACAATGATGGTGCGCTGTCTAACTCCTTTGCAGTCCACGAATATTCTGCCTCCGAGGGTCAGTTCCTGCCTCTATGAGATCTATGCAACTCTATTCACCGAGCCCGCGGACTATCAGACAATGCGTTTTAACATCGGCGAAATCAGACATCAAGGTCGTGTAGGCGGCTCACATTGGGATTCAGAACCGTCATGGACGTTACCCTTTGTTACTTGAACACGGAAAGAATAAGGTGCGTTGGCGCTACTGATGTCGGTAGACGTCTTCATCCTGTCGAGTAAGCCGTATTTTCGAGGGTTTGAAAGGCAGAAAGGCTCAAAAGCTGTAGAGTAGAAGACGACTGAGGATTGGTGTTGAGCCAGCCTTTACGTGGGAACATCTAATCTATCTTATCTCCAACCATCGGTGTTAATCTTTGGCCTCACGCCCACACGGTGATGGTCGCCCTACACCGACTTCCGGACCCCACTGCGGCTTCTTCCTTTCTTGCCTTCTTACCACCACCATCCTAACTCCCACCGAAGCCCTCTTGCGCCCTTCCCCACCCCGAAATATGTCGTATACTTATGCTGGCCTACTACTATCACAACCAAAGTCGTCAGAAAGCCAGGAAACATTAGCGAATGTCTAGCTGTTGTAAGTACCTTACCCTGCAGAATCGCACAAGTTTTACTGAGAGTTGTAGATATCCTTCCATTCCACATGTATTCTCCCCGGAAATGAATCGACAATACATACACGTTGGTCTATCTGGCGACGCTCGCTGATTTGTGTGGGCGATGGTCACAACGCGCATTTCAGTCCTCTTTGCCTTTGTCCTCCCAATCCCGCTTGCGTTGCCGTTGGGTCGCAAAGCCATCCCGACTCCGGTAAGCGCAGCCACAACGAGGAGCTACCTATCACAACGTAAGTCAAGCGCATACATTTGCTTATCGACTCAAACCCTACTTTGTAGTTACTGTGGATGTTGATTCCAACTCCCCTGCTCACAGCCGCGACCTTTTCAAGACATGGGACTAGGAAGTAAGACATCTCCCTGACACGAGCCCAACTTACCCGTTCGTCAAGTGGCATCAAGTCTCTGGCAATTGCGACACTCGCGAGAGTGAGTTGTTACCTCCGTGCCCCTCTGCATCGCTCAACTATAGCGTAGGTGTGTAGCATTTGACGAGCCTCGTGGAAAACTCTCGCAATCTTGCGGCCTTCTCACCTCTTCCGGAATTGAGGTTTACACAGCGCCGAGGCCTGAGGATGCGACTTTCTAAGTAGACTTTCTGATGCATTCGGGGTGTGGTAGTGAGTAGAGGGGGCTTTGATTCGTCAATGTGCACGACGGAACAAAACGCGGTCACGGGACTCTGGCGTGACGCCCGACGCGTCCCCATTTTGGGTACAAGGTCGGCTTTCTTGTAGTTTCTTATTCTCCCCCAACTTGTCTCTGCGTTATAGTTCTTACTGCAGATTCAAGCTCTCTTTCTGACGCGACTTTCGTTCTGGAGATGAACGGTCCCTGTCGTCGTCAGTTGGACTATGGTCGTTCTGTCTGTTCCGTCGGACCCGATGGACTCGCGTCAAGTGGAGACTTTCCAGAATACAAGGTATCCAAGAGGACGTGGTTCAACAAAACTCCAAGACAAGAATTAAATCATCTAGATTACCCTCTTTTCACGCCCTCGAGACCTTGCCTTGTACTGCACCTCGAAACCCAACCACGAAGTGCCAACTTGATGCCCTCCACAACCACCCTCGACACCTTGTATTCCTCCTACAAAACCCCGACCACACCCTTCCCACACTCTTTTGTGGCTTCTCGCTACCTGACCCCACAGCAATGTCGACCACCTCGAGTCTCTCCTCTCTCTCCCTCTCGCCTGCCCGCCTCCGCAAACTAACCACCCTCCCCACCACCCTCCGCCGCCTCCTACACACCCTCCTCGCCCTCTCTGCGGAGTCTATCCGCCTCATCATCGCCTTGTCCACGCTCGTCTGGGTCTGCCGCACCTCCCGCGCACGCTACGCCTCCGAAATCGCACGCGTGCGCAAGAACCCCGAGTTCCATAGGGTTATGCGCGAGGAGATGCTCCCGAACTGGTATGTGTGGCTCGAGGGGCTGGGGAAAGGGTGGGAGCGGGTGCGTGGGTGGAAGGAGGGGGTAAGGGAGTGGAAGAGCGTGCTGGGGAGTGTGGGCAGGGCGGGGATGACGCCGGAGAAGGCGGTGCTTGTGCACCAGGTTGAGCTGAGGAGGGACAAGGAGCGGTGGATGAAGCCGCCGCCGTTCGGGTGCGTGTTGTCTTTGTTTATTCATCCATCGCACACCACACTAACCCTCCCGCACAGGTTCATCCGCATTCACTTCTTCTCCAGCTTCGACAAGGGCCGGTACCCCTCCGGGTCGGAAACCTTCGTCGCACCCAACGCGCGGCTCGACGTCCAGCTGTACGAATACTGGGGCGCGGACCTGCGCGAGGTGAAGGCGGCGCTGGGAATCGAGTCTATCGCCGTAAGTCCACGTTCCTTCGCTCTTTCTGTGGCTGGGCTAGCGCTCAAGAGACGATAATGCTGACAATGGGGTGATAATGGACAGTTCATAACAGACACCACGCCGTTCCGCACCACCTTCGAGACGACGTACGACGACCGCCTCTCGCTCCTCGCAGCCGTCGAGCTCTCCAAGAACTTCACGCGGCCCATCCGGATCTTCGGTACGTCCCTGCTCCTTTCCCTTTCCCCTTCCTTCCTTCCTTCCTTCCTTCTTCCCTCTTCAATAACCAACACTTCCGTCTGAATCGAGCTGAGTCTGTCTTTCCGTTCTAACTCCTCTCTCCCCCCAGTATGCCCCCTCTCCACCCCCACCGCCCACATCCGCACCCTCTCCTCTACCTTGCACCTCCTCCTCTCCGCCTTCACCCTCCTCTTCCTCGCCCTCTGCGGTCTCCCACCGCGCGATCCCATCCAGGCGTCCCTCGTACACACCTCACCCTTCCTCGGGGCGTGCTCCTCCCTCTCCCTCGCCTCGCGCGCCGCGCAGGGCCGTATCGTCCACAGCGTGCACCTGGGCGTGCAGTCGGGGGTTAAGGCGGTGAAAGGGGTGGTTGGGCTGGTGGTAGGCCTGCTGGCGTGTGCGCTGGTCCTCCCGCTCGTTCTCGGGTCGTATGCGTTGTTAGGCGCCGAACATGGCGCGCGGCTCGCTGTGGCGAGCGCGGTGAAGGGTGTCGTCCTGGCGAGGAGCGTCCCGAAGGAGGGATGGTTGGTCCTCGTCGGGGTTTGCTGGTTTGTGGCGGCGGAATATTACTCGCTGAGGGTGTGAATTTGAGCACATCGACGATGCCCACGACCCCGCAACAGCTCGATCACAACGACGATAACGACAACAACCAATGGACTCAGCGTTCTAGCTTGCATTCTTTCATTTTTCTCTGCTCTCTGCATTATTTCCCCTCGGTCTCGTTCCATGCTCTATGTTCCTATGCCCCTTGGGTCTCGTCCCATATCGTCCATGCCCGATCTTCCTACTCATATGCGCTCCTCTCTTTCTTTCTTTATTCCTCCCTTATTGGTTCACTTGAAGCGAAGTAGAAGAAGTCCTTTACATTGTACAATACGTGGCCTGGTCCGAAATATCTTGCAATTGTTTATCCCTCCTCTCATTCCAAGAACCTGGTTGTTTCGAGTTCGGTTGAGCGCACCAGCGTAGACGTAGACCGAGACTTATGCGGAAAATCATGACAACGCCTCGCGTCTTAGACTTAGGGAGTGAATCATGGGGACCCCACAGTGGCAATACATAGGCACGGCGTCGACGAAACGAAAATTAAAGAAAAATAAATATTGAGACCCGTAGGTCTACCACTCCGGGAAAGCGTGTCATCCTTGTGCAGGGGCCATGCTAATCTTCTCTGTATCGTTCCAATTTTTTCGTATGTCACCCCGAAGGGGACAACAGCCTCTGTGGAGGCTAGGTAGGGGCGGAGGGAGTTGTGCGTTTTGTTTGGGTCACTGGGTGGGGCTGTGCAAGGTCTCGGCCCGGCGGATCCTCCTTCCAACTACATCCCAACTACTTACATTCTTCTACGACATTTGGCGACGCTTTCCTCTCGTGCTTCATTCTTCTCTGCACCGCGAGCTGAAACACCCTCATACCGTGATAGTCAACAGAGTTGTCAGCGGTATTTGGGGAAACAAAGATGTGCCCACTGTCAACACCAGCATGTATTTAGGCGCCCATCTCCTTGGAGATCTTGATATCGTCCACCACCACTTCTATTTCATCTAGTCCGCATTTTCTTTGGCATACTCAACAGTACTCAACCTTTCCAGAAATTAATCGGCTGACAGTTTCATCTTTACAAGCCGTAAGTCTTCCTCGTGTTGACTCTTAGGACCTCCCACGCACGCTAAAAACGAATCATTTTCGCTATTATTGAAGAAGAGGAGACGCATATTGATCACGATGACGACAAGGAAAATACAAAAAAGGAGAAGTGCTAGTATTTAAAGCTACCTAGAACCCGACTCCACCACCATAAACGTGGACTAAGAACACTTAGAGACACTGCGAGTACCATTGGTTCTGGAACGTGCAAGTACTTCCGGCGTCGCACGTCGTCGGTCCCGTCCAGCCCTGGCCACCACATTGACCCCACTTGGGCGAAGCGGGCTGTTGAGGGGCAGGGGGCGCTTGAGTAGGCACGGGGGGTGCGACAGTGACGACCGGGGGTGCAACAGTAACGACGGGAGGTGCCGCAGTGGCAGGTGGGTTTCCTCCTCCCGCTGCAGTGGTCGAAACTGCGTCGCAGCTGGCGGGCATGGTGGCCTGAGCGGGTCCGTTCTGGATCGGGTTGCACCCGGGAAGTTCTCGTAGGTCTGTATGAGCCAAGGTAAGTAGAAGGTACTACGATCGGTATTTTTCGAGGAAAGATAACGTACAGTTAATGGGCTCAGGGACGCGGGTCGCCTGCTTACAGCTGTTCATCTCGGCGTCGGAAATCTGGGTGAGGACACGGCAGCTGTCGGGGAGACCGAGGATATCTGTGGCGCAGTTGTCCATGGCGCGTTGGAGCGCGTCGCCTTCCCATCCGAAGACGTAGTCGCCGTGGTGTCCATACCCAGTGGGGTCGCCCATCGAGAGCACGAACGGCTGGCTGCCGTCGGACGGCCACATGCTGTTAAACGGCCTTGTGTCCCAGACGGTCTCGAAGAACAGGAGCGGCATGCGAACGGGGTGCGTCGAGGGACAGGTCCCCTTCATGAGGATCATACCCGCGTTCCTGTCGACGTTCCCTTGGAAGTAAGCGACGTGGCTGGCGTGGTCGGGACTGTCGAGGTTCTTGCCGTCCCAGCACGCGGGGAAGAAGATGTGCGAGCGGATACCGGCGGGGCATGGGCGAGGAGGAAGGGTGACTGTGTCGTAGTTCCCCGCACCGGGGGGTGAGGAGTTGGATGCATCGGTGAAGCCGGACGTCTGCCAGCACCTGAACGAAGAGGACCAGGCCTCCGGGCTGTTAGGGTTAGCGCTCGTCTGTTGGCGACGCATGGGGTTTCCAGCGATCATACGGAAGCCCTGACGAAAAAAGAGGATTAGAAAATGCCCCACCCCGGTGCTCACAGAATGTTTCATACCGGTGGGAAAGCCGTGACCTTCGAACGGTCGGTAGGCGGGATATAGTAGACAGTCATACCGCCATCTGGGCTGCCGGTGAGGTGGTTGGGCATTTGCGGAACCCGAATGAAGGTGCCATTGGGATGTTTGAAGTACATGACGGCAGTCCAGTAGTTTGACTTGTTCTCCTTGAATTTACAAGTGGTGCAGGTCGCGAGTCTCGAAATGTCGTTGCTTGGGTCCATGGTGATGTTGAAACTAGTGTAATGAGTTTAGATCGGTAGAGGTATCAAGTAGTTCGACTGTACGTACGCATTTCCTCCAATGATCTGGTGGACGTGAGGCGAAACCTCGCCAGGGAAGACCAATCTAACCGAGAAGAATGAGGAAAAAGAATTTTGTCCTGAGCGCACAACAACTCACGGGTCGAGACGCTCCGTCACCAATTGCGCGCATGGGAAACGAATAAGCGCCTGGGCGTATGGGGCGGTGAGGACCGCCAATGAAAGCAACGAACACCAATGCATAGTAGGGTCTAGGTGGGACGATGTTTTCGCACAGGGAAACAAGACAAAACCGAACCACAGAGCTTTAATATGCGGCAAGCATAGGGTATCTCAAATGTGATAGGACGACATAGCGTCACCTGAGGGGCCTCCCGCAAACGATTGCGAGCCTTTTCCGCCGCCTGGAGAAACAAAGTTGTTTTTAGCGAGGTCGACGACTCCGACAATTCGAAGCCGCTAAGAAGCTCTATTACTACCGTAAGTCTATTCAGTTGTTGGCTTTCTCCCCGAAGATCAGGAAAAACTCGAGAGTCGCACCAACACGATACTTCCGAGAACAGTCCATTGCATTCAGTACAACATTCATAACAAGCAGTTGTTCCTTCTTCGAGGTCGAAGAAGCACGAAGACATACCGCTTTCGAAAGAGAGTATCATCGCAGGGCTCGGTTAATGGTTTAAGCACCTCCGCGCATTCTTGGCACTCCCGAGAAAACATCGACTGCCCAATAGATTTGGATTCCACACAAGGTACACTCCCCCAATTCGAATCTGTATAGCGAACGATAACCTGTGTGGGCATATCGATTGTTGACTGACAGGAATAGCCGAAAACCGTATGCTACCCTCGATCTTCAATGTCTCTCGTCGCAGAATTAGCTCATGGGTAAGCGACTTTCTTCACTGAATCCATCCTTCAGAAGCTATTTACTCCCCTTCCTTTGACGTCAAGGGTGAATAAGACCATGCCTGCAAGGGAAAGACTCGGTGGAATAATCGAGAAGCGGGCTATCGACTTCGACTGAAGGGTCGGATCTTAGTTTACAACCCATGTAATCTCGCAGAAACCAGGCACTTATTATTGGTTGCCTCGATGTGGCGCAGTAGGCGTTCATGGTGAAATGGACGGCTGCTATCTGAGGACGGAAGCAAGGCGACGTACAGCCCCTGTTGCTAATAGTATTTCGCGCAAGTCAACCGGAGTAGGATAAAACGCTTTGCACAAGAAAATCGAACGAAATGTGCTGAAACTATTCAAACAGTCCTATCGTAAACAATCGTGGCAGGTCCGCTATTAATTCATCAGCTTTGTTGTAGCGAACGTGGTGTTATAATAGCACTAATCTTACCGGTGTTCTACCTTCTAAAGAATAATTGAGCAATTCGCAAGGATGGGTGAGGTATAATCATACATTTTCCTTCCATGCTATCTGAGCCTGGATTTCCGTGAACCCAAACAAGAGGACCAAGTCGTATTCTAGGCGATAATACAGGTCGCCTTTATCATTCTTCTTTGGTTTTATTTGTATATGGGAGAGGTCGGTAGTGACGGTGCAGAATTCGGAATAATGACCTGGCGGTCAGAACATAAGGTGCGTCTGAACCAAGTACAGTCATTGAAGCTTACCTGGGTCATCGGACTTCCAGACGGGGTTACTCGTAGTACCTCGATAGCACCAAATGACAGTCGAGACGGTCCGTAAGTCGGAACGGTTTGAGTATACCCGGCCGAAGCGCTGTCTAAACTCGGTCGCTTCTGATACTTGGGTGTTCTGTGGAGCCTTGTCAACTCCTTCCAAAGGCCATAAAATCTACGGCTACCTTTCGTAGTATGATATTAAATCGATCTGGTAGTCTCTTGTCCCCGGAGTGGTCCAAGAATATAGACTTCGCCCGCGAAATATGGTCGGGATCTTTCCGATTATATTCAACGCTTGAGAGCGTCCCTAAGGTGGCCTTGGACACCCTTACGCGCACGACGTTGTCCAAGTAGAATGATACAGCTCCATCTGACACTGCCTTATTTCTTGTGACACCTCAGTTAACAAAGATCTTCCGGTATGAAACGGTGGCTCACATATGTTCTTCAGAACGGAAGACGTTTAAGCCATATTTCCCCAGTTCGATTTGCACATTCTCTAGGAGCCAGTCATTGGAGGCGAAGCCACCAACCATAAGGACGCTCTAAGGAAGGTGAGCGACGATCAGAGTGCCTAAGTTGAGAAATCCAACCTGGACTATTGGCCGTGACAATCGTCGTTGCTCCAACACGGCGTTCACAATGCACTGTACGGAGGGTCGAAAGAACCCAGCAACATCTGCTCTGATCAAAAGAGAAGGTTTCTTTCTACTAGACCGCATAACGATGCTGGGAAAACACTTACCCGTCGAGCTTTAGTTGACCGAATCGAATGTTGTATGTTGCATCATTGTCTCGAGTTGACCCGAACTTGATGTATTGCGGCTTAGTATCGGATTTGAAACGTATTTTCGTGGTATCGTCAAAGCATTCGACGATATGCTCGATATCGTCCAGATATGGGACTCTGCCAAGAAGTCTGCGCCACACAACGCCAAGAAACTCAGTAAAGAGGCGAAGTGAATGAAGAATGAACGTTTGAACATACATTGCAAGTATACCCGAGCATGGATGCAAACAAACACTGATCCGTGAAAATAACCTTAAAGTTTCTTTAGCAGAAAAGTCATCATTGGAAGAGATTTTGAAGCTACCTCGGGTCGGAGCAACTTCCTCAAATGCTCCTGTGGACTGCCTCCTCGTATAGGAGCTGACATCAATAGTTCCTCCTCCCGCGTCCACGACAACAACCGCATTCCCTTCCTACAAGACCGGACGCTTCAGTGTTTACTAAACACAAAGAATCCCTACCTCCATGGCTTCGACCAGGACACCCTGTTGGATAGCGAAGTGCAAACTCGCCTCGCCTTCGGTAACGAACGTAATCCGTGCATGCCCGCTGGGATTATCGGGAATGAGCCCAGCGAGAACAGCCGCCTTGCGGATCTGGTTCTGCTCCGCGCCTTCCCACCCGTTCGGGTGCGAGAGAACGAAGTCAATACTGTCTTCGACCGAGCTCCAAAGTCGCGTCCCGTTCGCGTGCGTATCTTGGAGATGTATTTCGAGGCGCATTGGAGGAGATAGCCAAGGAAATCAGCCAAGACTTCAATTATCGACTTGTTAGGCGGGAGGGGCGGGATGTATTCGTTAATATGTCGTCCAAGAGCATTCTTGGGGCGGAGATGTAGCTTGAACCTGACGCGCAGAGCCGCATTCAACTTCGTCAGGGAACGAATGGTCGCTCGAAAGTGGTCGACTCACCATTCGGCCTTGAACCAGCCCTCCTCTTCCGCCGTTTGACGAACGTCTTCAAGCGTCGCCTCTGCGCCTACAGCGCACGCCTACAGCGCACGCCTCCTCATCTTCGTTGTAATATATCAGTGTTGGGATCTTCGAAGAGCCGTTCGTCTGCTCATGTGCCGGGAATCTATCCAGTAATTCCAATTTCTGAGAAGACAACGTCTTACGTAGGTATTATACGGACTCACCTTGTTACTCCCTTTACTTCTGGAACACGGCCAGGATCCAGGATACTAACCACGGGATGAGACCTTCGACTCGAGGATTGAGCAAGAAGACATAGACGCACCTGTACGAAATGCCACTATACGTCGTTCCGACATCGAACGCCAGGACGAGCTTCCGACGGGTGCCTTTGTATGGTGGTCGGGTTGCAGGCGGCATGTTGTTGCTGAAAGGTAGGAAGAGGAAGAGGGAAAGAGATGAACACTACCTCCTTATGAAGCTTCGAGTCAACGAGGCAAAGAACGTCAAGCCCGTTCATCGCTGGTGCCGTTACAGCGAGCGGTCAACCCGCGACACACGTTTGCTATTTTGAATTAGCTATATGCTAAACGCAACCGCGGAACAAACGATCATGAGTGTACCTTGGGGTAAGATCGTGATCAGTGGTGGCGGGATGGATGCGTAACTAGTCAAGGCACAGCTTTCCGTATCGCCTACTCATGAATCGCGAGCGCTGCCAGTGCCCTCGGAACGCAATCACCCATGGGCCTAAATACTGACCTGATCCCGAGCGGGCTGATATCTCAGTCATGGTTCGCGGAAATGAAGTGTATCGCATTCGAGATGACGAGTACCGGAAATAGCACAGAAATGCAAGGCCAGCCTGCTGTCAAAGAGGCCCAGAGTCGTATTATAAATGCAAAAGAATACATGGACTCTCGCTCCTGTTACACGTCTTTGGTGTACATGACGGTGGCCGGTCCTCTGGAAGAAATTGAAATGTTAGCACGATGTCCGGCCCACCCATAGGCGCATAAAAGAGGCATACCTTCTCTCGACACCCTAAAGAAGACTCAGGTAAGAAAGCGGTAGACAAGGAAGGTGGGATAGCAGGCTCACGTTTTCTTCCCAAGCCATATGCGCCTCAATCTCCGTCAGCCCAAAGAGCAGGACGATCTGGAACCACACGCGATAGTACGTGTGTCCGCTCGCGCTGACTTGTGGGGTGAGCGGGATGCTCGAGAGGTCTGCCTCGATGGTGCAGAACTCTTCGAAATTATCTGGAGAAATCGTCAGTTTGAGTGAGAAGAAGAGAGAAGAAGCAAAGGCCAACCGGGGTCAAGATCCTTCCACTTCGGATTAGCCAGGTTCCCGCGATAGCACCACACCTCGTTGGTCACCGACTGGAAGTGCGAGGGGTCGAAGCCGGTCATCGAGAAGCTGTCCCTAAACTCCTTGGTTTCCTCAATTTGTGTATTCTACAACCACCCAAACATCATTAGCATTCGCAATCCAATTACTCTACTTACCAAGAAAATCCCAACTCACCTTCGGCAACATGATATAAAAGTGGTTTGGCACCAACTTGCGCCCATCCACGTCCGTGAGCACCTTCTTCGACCTTCGTACGTGGTCCGCGTCATTCGGGTTATAGTTGATCGTCGCGAGCGAGCCGAAGGTGACTTTGGAGACGCGCACGCGGACAAAGTGGTCTATGTAGAACGAGACGGCGCCGTCGGATACTGCTTTGTTCCTGAGCGGTCGTGAGTGGAGGAAGACACGGAAAAAGGAGGATGGCAAGGCTCACACGTAGTCCTCTGGCCTGAAGACGTTCAGCTTGAGGTCGGAGAGTCCGGCTTGGACTTGCTTGAGGAGCCAGTCGCTCGCGGAGAAGCCGCCGACGAGGACGACGTGCTGAAGAGATATGGCATCAACATCCATATAGCGCAAGAGGAAGAAGACAAGGCGTACATGGATCTTATGCGGCGACACCCGGCATTGCTCTTTCACCGCATTGATAATGCAGTCAACTGACGGCTCGAAGAAGCTCGACACGTCTGTCCTACACTCAGAGATAAGAACCATGTACACGACCGACGCGTCGAAGATGATAGAAACTCACCCGCTCAGCCTCAGCTGCCCAAAGCGAATGTTATACTGAGGGTCGTTGTCCCTCGTCGAGCCAAATTTGATGTACTGTGCGTCGGCGTTGCTCTTGAACCGCTGCTTGGTGGTTTTGTCAAAGCACTGTGCGATGTAGGTGACGTCCTCTAAGAATGGGGAACCTTCTAGGAAGGCTGAATATTACCAGATAAGTATGAGAGGAAATTTTTTGGAGGACAGGTAATGGAGGAGACGAACCTCGGAGGAACTCTTGACAATGGACGCTGACAAAGATGGAACCGTAGAAGTGACCTGAGGAGAAATAAGGATATTGTCGAGACGGGAAAGAAGAGACAAAGACGAACATTGGGGTGCAGCCGTTTCTTCGAACGTCTTCGTCGCAGCATCGCACCGGTAGGCGCTAATGTCGATCGTACCTCCGCCAGCGTCTACGATAATGACCCCTGCGCCGGACTATCAACGGCGCCAATCAGCCTCAACATACTCCAACATGGTACAAAGAACACACGACTCACCTCAATAGCCCCCGCCAGCACCCCCCTCTGAATCGCATAATGCAAGCTCGCCTCTCCCTCCGTCACGAACGAGATCCTCGCTCTCCCCTCCGTATCATCCTTCACCAAGCCCGCCATCACCATTGCCCTGCGCATCTCCCCCTGCTCGCGCCCCTCCCACCCATTCGGGTGCGAGAGCACGAAATCGATGTTGTCGCTGACCGAGTCCCAGAGGTGCGCCCCGTTGGCGTGCGTGTCCTGGATGTAGATCGCGGCGCACTGGAAGAGGTAGTACAGGAAGTCGGCGAAGACGTCGACGACGGATTTGTTTGAAGGAAGGGAGAAGATCTGGTCGGAGATGTCGCGGGTCGTGCTGGCCTTGGAGCGGAGGTGCAGTTTGAACCTTGGGAGGAATGTGTGTTTAGGCTAAGAGGGCGGAACAAGGAGGGAGGAAAGTACGTACCACTCGGCTTTGACCCACCCGTTGTCCTCTGCGAGCTCGACGATACCCTCGCGGGTCGCCTCCGCTCCGACGGCTTGCACGTTGCCCTCCTTATCGTAGTATATGATCGTCGGGATCTTCGAAGCGCCATTTATGAGCTCGTTCGCCGGGAATCTATCAAAAGCTCATCACTCTCGAGCCTCCACCTTCCGAAAGGAACCACATACCTTGTCACTCCCTTGACTTCAGGAATGTTTCCGGGGTCCAGAATACTGTACAGCCCGACTCCGTGAGGCATGGACCAGACAAGGGTGATGAAGAGCCTACCTGTATGAGATACCACTGAATGTGGTCCCGATGTCGAAAGCGAGGACGAGTTTGCGACGCGTCTGCCCGTACGCGGCTCGAGCGATGATAGCAGCGCTCGTAGAGGTGAGGGCGGTGCTGGTGGACATGGTAGATGGATATCAAGATCTCAAAGGACATGGGCGTCTAATGGTATCTGGATAACGTCCCCGTGACCGGGACACGACGCGCAAGTATTGCCAGCACACCTTTGCTTCGAAAATATTGATACTGATCCTGTTTGGGAGCGACCATTCCTTCGTCGTTCGGGGTACGCGCAGAATTTTTAGTTTAGCACATCTCTCGGAGACTCTCGTAGTGGAGTATGTCGAGAAGAAAAGACTGGGCTCGAGAGGCGTTGGTGGTTGGGACTAAGTTCAAGTTGGTTGTGGGAATGATTGGACGACGTGGTTCGGCGGGTATTCGGCCCGGATGCCAACACGGTCTGCTCTTGCCACCTTTCCTGCGTCGCCCATACACCAATCTGCTCCTCGACGCATAATCCAGAGGAGACAGTAGTATGTATATATGCTATGATATGTAGAGTACTTATGCAGGAGTCGAGATGTGCAATTATGACCTTGCATAGCCCCACCGACCAAAACTCGCAACTCACCCACCTCGCCTCCACAGAGGCTTTTGTCCCCTTCGGGGTGACATACGAAAAAATTGGAACGATACAGAGAAGATTAGCATGGCCCCTGCACAAGGATGACACGCTTTCCCGGAGTGGTAGACCTACGGGTCTCAATATTTATTTTTACTTTTACTCCTCGCACCCAAGTACTACAAGCAGGTTGGACGATGCTTGCATTTTATGTGCTACTCAAGAATCGTTTTCACAGGTCAGCGCCAGCGCTCAACGTCAACTTCGACGATGGCCCGGACGGTCTGTCTCGCAAGTCACTACGGCGCTGATCGACTAACCATAAAATAACCTATCGGAGGCGGGTTGCTGGCACTTGTAAGAATGAGAAGAGGGACAAAATATGAATATCTTGTGCTAGACTGCTTCCTCTATTGCATCAGAGAATGGCTGTCTTAAAATAAGATACAACTAAAGTCTGGTCAACGAGATTAGTGAGAGGGGCAGGAAGGGATATCGATGAGGCTGAAGCAGACTAATTCAAGCTCGGTTGACTCGATTATTCGTCCTCAGATACGCTAGCGCGAGATTTTTAAAAAAATTGTAGACGCAGACGCTGCGTTAACCAAGCATTGACTCCGGTGGATTGTGCAAGAGACACACTAAAACCCTTTGAATAAATTTTCCCAATGGTCCCTCGCGAGTTCTTTGAACGCCAGGAAGTTCTCGAGCGCCAACTTCCTATACCTCGGATCCTCCATGCCCCCTTCTCCTGCCTTTCCCTCCCCTCTTACCTTCGCCACCGTCTCACACCGAACCACCTTTGTTTCCGTCGAATTTTCGGGCCACACCCCACACATCACGCTCTCGCTCAGCTCTCTCGTTACCGGTACGAGGTAGAACGTCGGGCAAGTCCCGTGCATCACTATCCCCGGGACGGTCATGGAGGAAAAAGCTGGGAGGCCGCGAGAGCTGCGTTTAGCGTTGTTGGACTCGAAGGTTGCGATGGCAGATGCGATGAGGTGCGCCTCTGCGTTTGGTGAGGAAGCGTTTGCTTTTGACTCCGTAACCGCGGTAGGCTGAGTCGGGTCCGCGATGAGGACCAGTAAGACCATCGTCGGCCTCATCGAAATCAGACACACCCCCGTCTGTGCGACGCGCGTCGTTGTGCAGATCGTGAACGGGAGCTCGTAGTGCATGGTGACCACCTTCTGAACCATCTCCTGTCCTTCCCCTTGCTCACTTTCCCTCTCCCTATCTTCTCCGATACGGTCACGCCCGTGAAATCCAAGCAACTTGAGCGTCTTCGCGGAGAAACTCACGATCGCGCTCTCCCGGTTTGGGTCTAGGGGCGTGGTGCGCGTTGCGAGGGAGAGGTAGCCGAGGTATTGTTCGACGTGGTGCGGGAGGTCGGGGTTGGTGTTGCAATTTGGGTAGGGGCCAGGGCAGGGGGAGGTGAGTATGGCCGGATCGACAAGCTTGTCTAGCGAGCTGTTGGGAGGCGGAGGACAGGAGAAGAATTCATATGCAGGGACCGAGGAGACGCTGATGTTGTACGCTCGCAGGTCGTCCGCCGTCCACTCGTTAGCGGACTTGGGCCAGCGTGTGGTGTTGGCCATGATAATTATCAAGTATCGGTATCAATACGCGGTTTCGTAGAGGGTTGTGTGCAATGTGCAGGGAGACGAATATGGCAGATAATCAGAAGTCGCGATGGTGGTTCCGGACAGAGGTCGAGATAGGGGCTTGCATAATGACGCGAACGATTCGAGTCATAAAAGTAGGAAGACTTCGAAAGCTGTTGGTCTGCGCTATGTATGCCTCGGGCCAGCTCACGTCTTCCGCAGGGAGAACAAGAAGTGCATACTTCCCTCAAACAACGCTTAAGACATTAATTACTTCGCCTAAGATCGTATCCTCAACCAATTTCCGTGCCCCTTCACGATAGAACATTTGAACGGTTTCTGCGCCCTACGCAAACTTTAATGGCGTTCACATCGCGATAAAGCGTTTCGCCTGCATCGATGTTAGGATCTGCATCTACCCAAGACTCCGGCGAATCTTACCCGGGCCGTCGAGTGTGCATCAGTCTTCCCGGTAAGGCACTCCTATGGTGGTGTAATGGGAATGAAGCAACGAAACTGACCTGTAGATGGAATCGAGAGCGAGAAATTGGCGCACTGGCCAGTACGTCAGATGCAGTACAGGATGTCGACGCCTCAAAGTCCTTGCGCATCGCTCACGAGTCACCCATTCTCGTACTCGTGTTCAACAGCAGCATCGGCATTCACGAGAAAGTGCGTGGGTCCAAGCGTTTATAGCTATAGAGCGCAGATACACCACTCGTTGACGGCCGTAAAATTGACCGATGATTGTTGTTGATAGGACCTTTTGTCAACAGAGGAAGCCAAAGAGTCAAGACCAAAGCTGACAAGTGAGAGATGGAGCTATTCAAGAGCAGTAAGGTACGGCATATCAAATCTTGGTGACATTCATGAAGGACCTTGTGGCCAGAGGATGGCGTTGAGAGCCTTAACATGGGTCATCTGAGAGTGCCTCTGACATCGAGCTAGACTTCCAGCTCGAAAGACGTCACTGGTGTGAGGTGGAGCTTCAGATAATCTTTTCGCCCCCTCATGCACACGATTAATGAGAGTACAAGTTCGAGGCACACGAAAACCTTGAGAGGAGGGAAGTGTTGATAGTAAGTGGGTCGAAGGAGAGCTTCCGGCACTTTCAACCTGGTTGTTTAAACTCCCGGCTTTCAACCGGCGTTCTAGCCAATCCAACAATCTCCCACGCCAGATACCCCGCACATCAGATACAATCGACTATCATTTGTATTTATTCTGTCTAGGGAGACTATCCCGCACTTCGAACCCCAACTCCAGCTTCTTCCGTGACATTTGAGTTGACTCGGCACTGGAGTTAGACTCCCCGTTGACGCAACTCTGACGCGGCTTGTGTAGGAATCAGAAAAAGAAGGGAGAAAGAAGTCTGACCTATCCACCTTCCTTCTCCCCATGAAGTTGACATTTGTCTGTTTCACGGGTTTCGCGGAAAATGCGACCTTCTTCGTTGTCGGCTCCTCCCTCTTCTGCTGCTCCTCCTTTATTGTTGCCCATTAACTGCACGATGACCTCCTCGAGCTCCAACCCTAGCCTCGTTCTATTCGTCCTCGGCGCCCTTCTCTTAGTCTGTCTCCATTCTACGCTCAGTGCTCGTGAAAAAAGGAAAAAATACCCTCCAGGCCCTCCTCCAAAGTTCCTCATCGGAAACCTGCTTGACCTCCCGGGCAAGCGGCTCGGACAGACGTATCTTGAGCATGGTCGACGACTCGGGAGTAAGTCACCTTGTCTTCGTACTCGTTGTCGACAGTCCGTTGGAGGTACTTATCTATCCTGTGGTTAAAGGTGACATCGTTCACGTCAGTGCTCTCGGGAACCACGTAATCGTAGCGAACACCCGCGAGGTAGCAGAAGAATTGCTCGAGAAGCGTGCCCGGAACTCCTCTGGTCGACCATGGTTTGCCATGACGAAAATGTGAGTTTATCGCCACCTCCGCCATCTCTCTGGCTGACATATCACGTCGAATGCAAGGCTGGACTGGGAATACAACATCGCGGCCATGGACTACGGCGATGAATGGCGCAAGCATCGAAAAGTGTGCCAGCAGCACTTCAACCGCGTTGCCGCAAAGTCGTTCCAGCCAATTCAGCTCCAGAAGACACGGCGGATGCTCGTGGGGCTGCTTCGATTCCCGGAGAAGTTTATGCTGCATAATAGGATGTACGTCCGCTTCCTCTCTCCACACAATTCGTTTTCCGATATCTCTCTGAATACTATGATTAGGCACTCGCTCTCAATCTCGATGGACTTCCTCTTCGGGTACCAAATTGACACTCTCGACGACCCCGCCATCCTCGCTGCCAATAAGAGCCTGGACATCGGCAACCCGCTGTTCACGGTCAACGGGAGCCTGATCACTGTCTTTCCCTTCTTGGCTCGCGTGCCGGCATGGGTGCCCGGCGCGATCTCGCAGAAGAGGGCTGCGGAGGGCAGGTATTGGACGCATGAGATGAAGAGGATCCCGTTGGAAGATGTGAGGAGGCGGATGGTAAGTGATGTCCCGCAGAACGCGAGGGATTGAATGGCGGATTGAATTCAGATGCTGATGAGTGTGATTGTGTAGGACGAAGGTAGAGCTACGCCGTCGTTGGTTTCACAGTTGCTCGAGAAGAAGAACACGGTTGGAATTGCGGATGAAGACGAACAGATCATGAACAACGTAGCATTCACAGTCTACGGCGGTAAGTCTTGTCTCCCAAGTGTATTCTTTCAGCGATTATTAAAATCTAATTGCTCCCTATCAGCGGCATCTGACACGGTACTAAATCTCCAACACCTTTGTCCGCTATGTGCTCACATTTAATTAACAGACGATCTCCGTAACGAACACCTTCTTCTATGCCATGTCCCTCCACCCCGAGGTCCAAGCGAAAGCGCAAGCTGAAATAGACCGCATCGTCGGAACGCACCGTCTTCCAGAGTTTTCGGATCGGTCCTCGATGCCGTACATTGAGGCGATATACCGCGAAGTCATGAGATATGGACCCCCGGTTCCACTAGGCGTTATGCACACTCTCGCAGAGGACGATTATTATAGGGAGTATTTTCTCCCGAAGGGTGAGCGAGTCGAATGTTATGGGATGGTACCGATGGTTGACTAGTAATTTCGTAGGCTCTCTCAGGTCTTCGCGAATATCTGGTACGTGCCATGGCGTCCTCGACCCTCGGGGTTTCTTCGATACAAGCGAATCCTGATAACTTGACTCCTTCTATAATAGGGCGATGACTCACGATGAGAACGTTTACAAGGATCCGGACACCTTCAATCCAGACAGATTCCTCACGGAAGACGGAGAGCTAAACGACGACGACAGAGTATTGGCATATGGATTTGGCCGAAGGTGCACCTCTTCATTTCGGTCATCTCCATCCGTACAGTTGATTTAACGACCTCCCTTACACCTAGGATCTGCGTGGGGAAGCACGTCGCGAGCTCTACCGTAAGTAGCACTTCCGCATCTTAGAATGTTTCTCAACGCCCCGTTTTCTAGACGTGGATCACGATCGTCTCCCTCCTTGCCTGTATCAACATCGGCAAGGCCAAGGACGAGTTCGGGAACGAGATAGAGGTTAACAGGGAATATGATGATGACGGGCTACTCGTGTAGGTGTTCCTCGTAATCAAACAAACCAATACGCTGATATTTTCCTTAGTCACAAGCAACCGTTCAAATGTTCCATCGTTCCCCGCTCGGAGGTGGCTCGAAAGTTGATTGAAGAGGCTGCTTTGAATTAAATGAATTTGTAGCATTTTGGCTTGTAACTTCTGTATTTTATCTATGCGAATTGACGAAATACGCCCCGTATACGGGATTCGAGACGGCTGAACGAGAGATTTTAGCAGGGCTTGCCAGACGGAAAATAGGGGCTTCGGCCGATTCCGATCACGGATCTCCCGGGCCGATTCGACCTTACAGGCACGAGGAAAGGGAATCGGGAATATGTAGTGTGTGCTCTTCTTCCACAGCGATAAAGAGATTCAGAATAAGTCTACGTGCAAAGACCCATTATAACATTACATTCTTTCAAGTTTCAACCACTAATCTGACGATGGAGGAATACACAATAAGTACGATAATTCAAGATACTTCCCCGTCAACACATTTACGGATACTCAATGATTACTTCCCCTCTGACAAAGCCTCTTTAATAAGCCTCGGAACCAGGTCCGAGCGGGGCAGGATCGAACACTTGAATGGCTTCTTATGACTATGAGGGAACAAGTCAGAATTACGAAGACCACTGGAAACTAGGGGCCGTACATTATCATCCCTAAATCCTCGTAACCATGGTCAATCTCAATTTCATTGCCGAGCTCGTCTCTCGCCTTGTCGATACTGAAGCCTGATAGTATTGAGGCGATCGTGATCCACATCTACAAGTCGCGCCCATAAATAAACTGCATGCATGAATCGGGGAAAAGATATTTCGCACCGTAGCACTAGCCACATGCTTTCCAACACAGGCGCTAAAAAGATAGCTTAGAGGTGAGTGTTGTGAAAATGATGAGCAATGACGCTTACCGTCTCCCGAATCCATAGGCCAGAACGCGACTGTCTCCGTTCAATTCACCACTCTCTGTGAAGAACCTCTCTGGATTAAATTTGTCCGGCTCGGGGTACTTCTCCTCATCGTGGGCTATAGCCCTATAAATAAATGAAGATCAAATCACGAAGCGCAATAATGACACCCCAAAGAAAAAAAGCCATACCAGAGATTGGCAAAAATGGTAGTTCCTGAACCGATGGGATGAGCTTCAAAACAGTCGCGAGAAGTAAACTCGTGGGTACGCACCTTTGGGGATAAAATATCCATTATAATAGTCATCCTCCGCAGAGGCATGCGCCACGCCGATGCTCAGAGGAGGGTTGTACCGCATCACTTCACGGTACACGGCTTCAACGTAAGGAAGGGAAGCGCGATCGTCGAAGGTGGGAAGCCGAGACGTGCCGATGACCATGTCAATCTCGGCTTGAGCTTTTTTCTGGACTTCAGGGTGGGTCAGCATCATGTGGATAAACGTTCCATTTGCCGACATCGTCTAGAAGGAATGGTCCTTGAGAATACGATAGGAAAGACAGAATCCACTAACAGTGTCCGACGCAGCTGAAAGGGAAGATCAGAACCCATCTAGAAACCAAAAGAGCTGGGGTTGAACGCACCGCTATAAGCCGTGTATGCCATATTCGAGAGCACTCTTTCCTCCTGCTCCGAGATTCCAACTGTGTCCTTCCTCTTAATCATGTCCGATATTACAGACGGCCTGGCCGTGCCCGCACCCTAGAGTAGCCGCCAACCATCAATCTGAAAAGAATGGCCAGCCAATCGACGAAAAAGGTCCTTACCACCCGCGTCTTGACGTATTCCAGCGGTATTCTGATGAGCTCATTATTCCAAAAGGCACATTCCTCTGCACGTTTCCGAGCCATTGCACCAGGAACCCAGGACGGAACGTGTTTCAGAATCGGGAAGATGTTCATTAAGGCACCACCAGGCATAAGCAGCGGGATGGCCAACGCGACGTTCTTCGCGGCTGCGATGACAGCAGGATCGTCGAGGCTGTCCACTTGGTAGCCGTACATTATGTCCATCGTAATGGCGATCGAAAGTCTGCAGGGAGTAGAGGATGAGCTAAGAAGATGAAGGTGAATTATGGGTGGATTGACAAACATCTCGTTGTGTTTGAAGAAATCCTCCGGCGCGCGGAGAAGATTGTCGAGCATTTTGTGCACCTGCCGGAGCTGGACAGGCTCGTACGCCCGCGCGTGGCGACGGTTGAGGTGCTGCTGGCATGCTTTGCGGTTGAGGCGCCATTCCTCCCCGTAGTCCATCATTGCTACGTTGTGCTTGTCCCATCCCATTCTGACGTTATCGATGGTTAAGTAACACCGTCCAGAATTATGGAATGCATCGACTCACATCGCGGTCGTTGGGATCTGGGTGCGACTCGAGTATATCTTCGAGCGGCGCTCTAGAAGCTCGTCGGCGATTTCGCGCTTGTTGATGAAGAGGACGTGATTCCCCAGCGCCGTTAGAAAGACTAAATCACCTACATTACATGTCGTTAGTGATCCTAAAAATCAGGAAGAAGAAACGAGAGAGAACATACTGTCCAGCTCCTTTCCCACTTCTCGGAAGTGCTTCGCTGAGTCCTTCAACGGAAGATCAAGTGCGTTTCCAATTAAGAACTTGGGGGCCGGTCCGGGTGGGTATGGGCGGCCGTATTTCTTCGCTCCGAGGAGAGTATCCAGAAGTTTCTTCAAGATGAAGAAGATGGCCAGGCCAGCGAGGGCGGAAAGAGCACTGTTGGGTGAGTCCATGATATCAAGTAACTCGGAGTGGAACGAGCGAAGTTGGTAGAATGAAACAGTTATATAGCCCACAAGTTTTGGAAGTGTCGTAACAGAAGGGTCGAGTCTCCTCAAAACATGATTGTCGCGGTTGGATAGGGTGGCCGTTACCAAGAATAACTCGCTCCATACTGTATCATACGTATCAGCTTCGGGATGCTATCAGATGACAGTAGAGGTTATCGGGGATGTCCAGCACAAGGTTAGCGGGCTCACGGCTCATACCAGTGCGGATTTAGGATAAATGCCAGAGACGTTAGCGAGGAACCCTTAGCCATCTTTTATCAAGGTGAAACAGGTGGCTGGGAGTCATCGGAGACTTGGAGGAGCCGTGTACACTTCAAGTCCGACTACCTGCCTTTTGAAGTTGTATAGACCACGAGGAAACAATAATGGATCAAAACATGGACGCTAGAAGTACAGGGGAAGATGGGCTTCTCTGTCAAGTCAGATAGTGGTGAGACCGAGACACTGTGTCAATGAAGGCCTTTCCTGAAGAGAGCTCTATCTTCGCGCACGGGCAATTGTGGCCTAGCGTGAACTTTGCGTATGTATTCAGTAACGGCTAGACCATTGAGAATACGTCGCCAGTCTTAGTCTAACAGACAGGAGTAAGCCGTCTGCAGAATAAGCAAACTCTTACACGAAGAATTTTCTCGTCACTGGACAGTGGAGGCTCGTCCGTCTCTCAAATCCCGGAGGCTTGCAATGAGATCAAAACTGCAGCGCCACACGTCAGAATGATGGGAGTAGTGATCTTGAGCGCTGTATAGGAGGAATAGTCCTTGAGAGTAAACACTGACCGTGCCCAAACGTGTGGGAACAGGTATCATTCTGCGCCGAAATCCCGAAATTCGCACGGTTATTTTCCCTCCACCATCACCATCGACATCCCACAAGTCTTCCAGTTCTATCACATCTTGTAGGAAACCTCAGTCATTCGTTTCAGCTCTGCAAAAGTCTATGGATTCCGGGTATGAAGCATCCAATGATGTAACAAAGGCGCCGTCAATCATGGTGCAGGATGCGCACTCTCGAGGCCAAGCAGTACGGTTTCTGGGGCTCTGTGTTGAACTCTCCAGAGTCAAATTGATCGTTAAATCTCCTTTTCCTGCATTTAGCGACCTAGCTTCACATGTGGGACTCCTCTGTTCTCATCCCCGAAGAAGGAAGAAGGGGTGAACTACTGGGAAAGGGTTCTCGCGCCGGTTTGGAAGAAAGACAAGGCTCAATGCGATGCTTGGAAGGATGAGGTTCAGAACCTTTTGATTTTCGCGCGTTCTTGCTTGTTTCCGTTGGTTGTATCTAGACTGATGAACAAATCACGTTCGAAGGCAGGTCTATTCTCGGCTGTTGTTACAGCGTTCATCGTCGAATCGCACAAGAACTTGCAGCAAGATCCCAACGAGACTGTAGTTGCCCTGCTGGCTCGAATTGTCACTCAGCTGGAGCGGCAGTCGAACGGATCTTCCCCAGTGCCCACCAGCGACCCTGACCCCACATCCATACCTTTCACACCAAGTCCGTCCTCTGTCCGAGTCAACGCGTTCTGGTTTCTGAGCCTCGTTCTCAGCCTCACCACTGTTCTGATCGGAATCATCTCTCTCCAGTGGATACGGGAACACCAATCATACCCGGAACATTTTTCGCCAGAGCAAATATTCACTGTACTGCACCTTAGGACACGAATGTTGCGCGAGTGGCGTGTCTCAGCATTCTTCAAGGCTCTTCCCATTCTCCTGGAACTCGCTCTCATGTTATTCTTCATTGGACTCGCTGACTTCCTCGGAGCGTTGAAGATCCTCGAGGTCATCATCCCTGTTTCTCTTATACTCACGTTAACACTGGCATTCCTCATCTTGACAACAGCCCTGCCGACATTCCACGTACTAGCCCTTTCCTTCAAAAAGGCACGACCCGGCAACAGTCCCCCAGTTCCTTGTCCATACAAGTCCCCTCAAGCACAGATATTCCACTCTTCTTTCACCCTCCTCTTTTCTGCCGTCCCCTCATTAACAAACTGGATCAAATTCCACGGTTCGCAGATGAGATCTCGTTCCTTTTTTGACAACTTCATGGATCCAGGCGCTCTCAATTGGACGGCTCTTGATCTTAGATGGATGTTGCTCCGCCGATATAACTTTTCCTCTTTCTTCGGGGGTCCGTACGAACTGACTCCTTATCGTTACGATTGGGATTTGGAGGATCGCTGGCGGCGCGGGGCAATATACGACCGCATCGACGCTTTAGACCAACTTGCGCGGCGGTATCACTCCAGCCTCGACATCAAAGAGGCAGGATACCACTGCTTCGTCGACTCGATAACTGATCTACCTAACACCTCAATACGGAAAGACATCTCCGCTATGCACCGCGCTGAGTTATTGTCATCGCTTGCGAAATTCCTTCAGCATACAAGATCAAGACCTCCCGAGCTGGTCGACATATCGTCAGATCTGGCTTTTACCCATGACGTGGCCATCCTCGAGTTTATTGGCGTTGACCGTTCGTTTCAGACTTTACGACTGGAGCTCGAGATACGCGTTCGTGAGTTTTTCGCCGCCAACCTCGCCGGCAAGTTGCTACCAACGAACATCGATGATTCCTGGAAACACCACCGGGCGATGACCAACACAGCTCAGCAAGGTACGTCAATGTACTTTCGATGGTTGTGTACTCTTCTCATCGCTTTCTATCGAATCCAGCCACGTCTGATCTTGAAGACAGCTATGTTGATCATGTTTTCGAAAACCTAGCTCAGAGCGGAAAGATGTCCTGGACGATCCATTTCTTATTTTCCGCAGCGGGCTTTCCGCATATCCTAAGGCGCTATGTCAACGGGCGCCCTTTGAAACATTCCGCACTCCTCAAAGCTATAGCAGTATTACAGACCACCATCGACAACTACGTGACTTCAGTGCAATCAGGAAGCAAACGTGAAGCCGAAGACCTCCATGCTGATGACAAGCGTGCCGCTCAGTCATTTCTGCTTGGGACTTGTCTCATTTCTCTCTATGCGGAGACCAATTTCCGGGATATGCCACAGCCTCTTCTCGATCTTGCTCTCGCTCTGCGCCCTATCCACGATCTTTTCTTTCATATTGACTCTCCTCATCCCTATAAGAGAATTCACGGCGTGTTACAGACCGTTTTGGGCTCGCCCCGCCTTGAATTGGTCTACCGAGAAGTGTGGCATGTATCCAAATGTTTGAACAAGCTCTTATCTGACCCCGGTCGAGTATTTTCCTCCTCCCATCCCGAAATTTGCTGATACAATTATAGGGGGGTTGTCAGATACCAGCCCGGAAGATTGCGAAGGCGAACAGCTGCCAGTGCAGCCACTCCCCTTCTCTATCCCACCGGATGAACGCAAGGAAAATATGAACACATTCGAAGCGGAAAATGGGCACACAGGCTCAATGCCATCAATTATCGACACGGGCCTCTCTGGAACAAGTCCACCATCAGCGTTGCCGCATATCTCGGGAGGTGACAAAAAGAAGGGAATAGAAGTGGGCGTTCATGATTCAGCTCGTAACCGCCAGGATTCCTTTCGTCTTACTGTGGGGAGAATATTTGACTCTGGAAATTCTACCAAGGGCACTAATCACGGCGAGGGATATGACATGGTGTAGAGGGAATTGGCGCATTTCATTATATTTTTGCGGCCTCTTCGATCAGCTTCCTCGCGAGCTCTGATCTTGGGACAATCGAACACTTGAACGGCTTCTTGTGTCTGCAACCAGCAGCATGTCAGCACTATTACCGGAGAGGGATTGATGCACGTACACTCCGCCTCCATTATCCTCATATTCATCGTTAATCTCTATCTCATTTGCATGCTCGTCCTTGGCCTTGCCGATCGTGAAGCAGGCAAGTACGGAGGCGATCATTATCCAAACCTGTATTATTTCCTTTGAGAGTCGAAAATTAGTAGAATCAGAACACAAACTCACCGTAGCGCTCGCGACATATTTTCCGACACAAGCCCTGTGAGTAGGCCCTTATCAACAAAGGGAATAGCACAAGAAAGAGTGTCCACCGTACCTTCGCCCTAAACCATAGGCAAGAACCCTTGCATCGTCATTTAGGAGCCCATTCTCATCCAAGAACCTCTCGGGTTTGAACTCGTAGGGATCTGTGTACCTCTCCGCGTCGTGTGTCATGGACCTAGAAATTCGAATCCTTAGATCACTATGGAAGAGGAACACAAACGCACCATATATTGGCAAAGACCGCTGTTCCTACGAGGCAAATCGTCGACATTGCTGAAAGGATAGAGGTACCACATGGCGTACCTTTAGGAATAAAGTATCCTTTATGGACGTCGTCCTCCATGGTCTTATGCGGAACTCCGAGATGGCCGGGAGGGTTATATCGCATCACCTCCCGATAGATTGCCTCGACATAGGGAAGAGAGGTGCGGTCTTCGAATGTGGGAAGATGTTTGGTTCCTATTATTCTTTCTATTTCTTCTTGAGCTTTCTTCTGAACGTCCGGGTGCGTGGCAATCATATGGAAGAAGGTCCCTGTGGATGATACTGTCTTCGAACCGTCAGGATGCTTTTGAACTCGCGTAGAATTACGTGCCAGTAGGCTTACCGTTTCACCAGCAGCTGGGAACGACGTAGATCTATAGATTAGTTCTTTATACCGCTAATTAGCATGGGACTCACCACCGTACAGCGTGTACGCCACGTTGTAGAGGATATTTTCCTCTTTGGGAGAAACTTCTCCGGCGGACTTCCTCTCGAGCATATCTGAGATGGTGGACGCCACTACAGTTTTATCGCGCTATATACGCCCAAAATCCATGCTCGTCAGTAAGAGAACGCGACAGCGAGGACCACATCCGCACCATTCGATGCTTCACATCCTCTACGGGGATCCTCTGCATCTCTCGTGTCCAATGCGCGTACTCCTCTGCCTTCCTCCGTGCGATCGAGCCGGGGATCCATGGCGGGATATGGCCCAGAATTGGGAAGATGTTCATATACGCAGCGCTAGGCGTAAGGAGGGAGGTGCCCTCAGCGCTCTTCTGGGCAGCAATGACGACAGGATCATCGAGCGAATTGACCTGGTAGCCATACAGTGTGTCCAGCGTGATACTGATCGGGAACCTGCAGAGGAAATTAAATTGGCTGGGGTGTGGGATAACGACTCGCGCGGAGTCAAAGGGGGTGAAAACACAATCTCGACGTACAACTCGTTGTGATGAAGGAAGCCTTCGGGGGCGTCCAGAAGCCGGCCAAGCAGTTTGTAGACGTGGCGGAGATAGACGGTCTCATACGATCGCGTCTTGTCTTGGTTCAGGAGCTGCTGGCACGCCTTTCGGTGTGCCCTCCACTCATCGCCGTAGTCCATGAACACAATATTAATAGCATCCCAACCCATGCTGGAACCTTAAATTAGTGAGCGATATCGAGTTCTATTAAGGGTTTACCTACGCTTGCATCGCCGGAATTTGGACACGCCCAGAGTAGGCCCTAGCTCGTCGTTCCAGCAACTCCTCTGCGTCTTCACGTTTGTTCAGAACAAGGATATCGGTACCCAGCGCACTGAGGTAAATCAGGTCACCTACGAGGGGGTTGAGGCTAAGGAGACGGCCATTTTTCACGAACAGATCAACTTACTGTTAATCTCCCTTCCCACTTTCACGAAATGTTGTCCTCCATCCTTGGCAGGAAAGTCAAATGCGTTGCCGATTAGTGGTTTGGCCTTCGGACCTGGAGGGTATGGCCCTCTTTCCTTGGTTTTAAGGAACGAGTATAGGGCTTTGGCAAGAGAGGCGAGAAGAATTGCCCCTAGTGACCTGGATGCGAGAGTGGTGAGAGTCTGGAGATCCATGGCTGATCCGTATTGGGCGTGGCGTCTTCGAGTTGGGTCTAAGGATGAGACAGAATTTATATGGAGGGAGAAATATTCATACTGACAGCAATCCCCGATGCGCAGGACGTTCAATTGATGCAACACAGCTGAAGGATCGGCTTCGAGTATACACCGACTGGAATGCAAATGATCCATTCTCTAAGACTTGATTGTACAGCTAATCAATCATCTATATCCGTAAGCAAGCCGGACAATCACTGAATGCAGCAATATTGTCGATGGACAGCAGCGGATGAGAGGAAGGGCCTTGGCTCCAGGAATAGATGTCGATAGACCCGTATCAAAGACAGTTAGAGAAGTGTCGGTATATAGAGGACAACTACGAACCAAGATAGCTATCCAGAGAGCTTTCCCGCTTCCTTTAAGCCCAGAGGACTTTCAAAACTAGGCATATTGTCATTCACAGACTTGTGTGGTGATTCAGTCTGGGGAATCAAGTACATGTATGTCCCATATTTGCTTGAGTAACGGAATATGGGGAAGAGTTATGCAAGGCCTGTAAATTATGTAAAATCTGGGATAAGGGGACTTCGAGTTCAGGATGAAAACTCGCCACCACTGGGCAATGGTTCGAGCATAAAATCGGACTTTTTAATTCAGAGGAAATGAGTTTGACTAGTCCCTACGTCCAATGTGGCTTCCTCAACGAGCCTCCGTGCACCCTCGGATCTAGGAACGAAGCGACATTTGAACGGTTTCTTGCGCCTTTCATCGATATTTATTCGCAGAGTCCTAACAGGAGGGGGAATGGGGCTTACATGACTAGACCCAAATACTCGCATTCGTTGTCCACCTCGATCTCGTTCCCTTGTTCATCTTTGGGGTGTTCTATCATGAAGCAGGCGAGCACTGACACGATGGTGATCCACATCTGAGTAGTAAAAAACTTAATATTGTTGTGCAAGGAGTGGAAGATATCTCACCGTGGCACTTGCAACGTGTTTTCCAACACAGGCTCTGGTAGCGAGAAGGAGGGGTTCAAATTAAGGAGGGCTGCGTCAATCTGACTCGGCCACGGACCTCCGACCGAATCCATACGCCAGAATATTGTCATCGTCGTTGAGCTCCCCGTGCTCGTCCAAAAATCTTTCGGGGTTGAACGTATCAGCGTCAGGATAAACACCCTCATTGTGCGTCATCGCCCTAAGTATTCACCAGTCCTCGTTAGAACTTGAACCAAATGAAACAATCGGCTCTCACGAAGATATAACCTTACCACAAATTCGCAAACACGGATGTACCCTTCGGTATAAAGTACCCATCATACCAATCGTCCTCCGTCGAGGAATGCGTAAAACCGACGTAAAGCGGTGGGGCGTACCGCATCACCTCGCGGTAGATCGCCTCGATATACGGCAGGGATGGTCGGTCCGCAAAGGTGGGCAGACGGCCAGCACCAATAATGCTGTCGATTTCTGCTTGGGCTTTCCTTTGGACTCGAGGATGCAAGAGCATGGCGTAAAAAAACCAGCCCGTCGCGGAAACGGTCTACGATTTGGGTTAGGTTAGATGGGGTCGGCATAATTATAAATCTATGAAAGAATATCGGTGTGTCAGCTGGGACTTACGGTCTCCACCGCGGCTGTAGGTAAAGATGGATGTCATTATTTCCTACTCGTCGAAAGCAAATGCTTGAATTTACCTGTGTACGATGCCCATGCAATGTTGCACATAACCCGCTCTGCGTCCGGATCTGTATCGACCGCCGAGGCTGCATTCTTCTCCAAGCACGCTGAGACGGCGGAATGCGTCGCCATGCCCTGGTCCTACCAATAACCATCGCTTTCACTAAATTCCCATCGAAGAAGGGGACGCGTCAAACCATTCGTTTCCTCAAATCCGCCATTGGGATGTCCCGCATCTCGTGCATCCAAACAAGACAGTCTTTCACCCCCTTCCCTGCAATGTTTCCGGGGATCCATGCCGGGAGATGCCTAAGGAATGGCAGGATGTTCATCAGCGCCCCGCCGGGCAACATGAGAGATACAGCCAGGGCAACCATCTTCTCCGCTGCAACATTGGCGGGGTCGTCGTGTCGGTCAATCTGGTATCCGTACATTATGTCCATGACGACCGCGGTCGAAAGCCTATGCCGTACGGCGTAAATGCATAGAGACGGTTAGTACACCAGGAACACCCAAACAAGAACGGGAGAAAGAGGATGGTTAGACGCACACTTCGGTGTGCTGTAGAAAGTCCTCGGGGGAGTAGAGGAGCCGGTGCAGCATCTTGTGAAGGTGGCGCAGCTGGATGTGCTCGTACGTGCGTGTCTGCCGCTTGTTGAGGTGCTGCTGGGCGACCTTGCGGTGCTTCCTCCACTCGTCGCCGTAGCCCATTATCAAGATATTGCTCGTATCCCAGCCTAACCTGAAAGAAGGATCCATCGGGCGGGCGTTCGCCGCCCACCATGTAAGAAAGAAAGAAAGCAAGAGGCTTGCACAAAGGTGCTCACGCTTCGACGGCCGTGAGGTGAGGCCTCCCAGAGTAGATCCTCGCACGCTTCTCCAGTAGGTCATCGGCGATGTTTTTCTTATTTATGAAGAGGGTGTGGTTCCCGAGGATGTTCAGATGAACCAAGCCGCCTACAAGACACATGCAAGAACACTCGGTTCAGAAATGCAAGGAGCAGAATCTAGATAGATCATCAACGTACTTTGGAGCTGTTCTCCAACCTTCATGAAATGCTGCCCGATGCCGTTCATCGGGAAGTCCAGTGCGTTGCCGATAAGAAACTTGGGCTTTGGGCCTGGGGGGTACGGCCCCTTCGTCGTCTTCCAGGAGTCGAATATCTTCTTGAGGAGGACGAGAATAAAGAGCCCTACAGCTACAGATAGAAAGTCGGTCGATGATTCGGGCATCCTTAGAACACTGGGCACTTGGGAAGGGAAAAGTCGAAGTTTGCGGGGAGAGATGCTTGTCCCCCAGCTTTATTGTTACGAGCGCAGCACGACCCCAGAATACAAGACAGGGCGTTACGACATTGCGGTCAGATGGCTGATAAAAGAGGCTATGTGCCGAGCCAAGGTATGTTGTTAAGAATGGAACAGGGAGTACCTGAGCGATTTGATGCCTTTGTAAGACCTATGGGTTCAAAATATCATACATTGACGCCACTTACCTTCCCTCAACATGACACTTTCAATTGAACAGCATTTTGAAAGGCTGCCGTACATGATGGAGTATATCCAGTGAGGAGTGAGAAAAACGGATTCAAGATGCCGAGAACGGCACCAGACGAAACCTCCGGAAGCCAAGTCAGAAGTATCGTCGAAAATAATGCTCAGATTGAATGTCAGTTCGAATGGGCTAGTTGAGACATCTGTGCACAGATATAATGGTGTCGAAGCCTCGCGTCGATCTCGAGCATATCTGGATGACCGATGCATGAGGTGGGAAGTGGTATGTATCCTCGCATCGACGCATCGGGGTGTGTACAGCTTCCGTCGAGCCAGAGGGTGGGAGGTGGGAGGATGAGGCCTGGAGGGAGGTGCAGTGCGATGTTAAAATTCACTGATGGGTCTACCGGTATTCGCCGGTCCTCCAGATTAGATAACGCGACGGCGTAGATAGGCAAGCGAGATGTGCTCCGCCTTTCACTTTAGTAATTATCCTGATGTTGCAGGCGCCTGCTGGATATTCGAGAGAAAAGGCTCGAAAGCGGCTTCTCTCATGAGCGGTCAGAAGGCGAAGATGTGAGAGCACTCTGGCGGTCCTTCGGTGCCTTAGTGGTGAAGACTTACGTCGTACACAGAAGACGTAGTGTGCCAAGGGTAGGATACCCGCTCACGAGGCTGTCAAATATAGATTCGGCCGGTTGGAGAGGAATGGAGCTTAGGAGCAGAAAGGATGGAGCGGACAAGCTACGTGCGGTTAGTGCCGACAAAGACGTGAAGATTATGTGCGTTCGCAGAGTATCCCAGTCTGCACACTTGATCCCGTAGCCCACCCCATGAGCGGTACGCACAACAAATGGTTGAGCCCTGGCATACTTGCGTCAGTACCCAAACGAAGCGTCGGGGGTCGCGGAATGTCCAGGTAGGTGTACTTTCGCTCGTGGGGTGGGGTTGGTTGTAAGCCGGTGCGCAGTCTGGATGGATGGTGGTATTCAGAGATGTGCTGCGAATCAGTATATAAGAGTGGGGTGGATGAGCGGGTCGCGATCAGATCTTTGCATGGATCACGAGTACAGCCTCACGGCGCACGTATAGTCCCTCACATGGTCCACCCTAGAAGCGGAGCCTCAGACACTCTCTGACACTCGCGTCAATACCCGTAAAAAAAAAAAGGGTCACGAAAGGTGTCAAGAGAAGGCTGTCTCGCTCGAGGGCGGGGAAGAAGGGGTCGGCCCGTGGTGCGTAGCAGCCCGGGTGAGATGAAGGCAAGCCAGTTGAACACCCCTCGACCAGATTTTTTTGAAGGAGCCGCATGCCAGTGAACGTTGGTGCACATGTTGCCTGCCACAATAGGGCCAAATTTTCTAACTGGGACAACCGAGGGAGGAGATAGGGAATAGGGAAAGGGACGAGGACTCACTAGAGAACCGCGATTGTATTTATCAGCAGCAGAACTCGACCAGATGAAAGTTAATAGCATAGATGAGTGACTGTAGGAGTTAGATAAACCGGATACATCATCGATAAGGCTATGTGAAAGCTGCCACGTACACGAGGAATTCGAAGAGGAACACCTTAAGCAATAGTTGAAGCTTTCAGAAGCTTGAAGGACAAGCCAAAGACAAATGAGAGCAAAAGCTTATGCTAGCTGCCCAATGCTGGTACTAGTAAGTTCAAGTTCTTGATTCGCCAGTGCCTCCGAGACGTTGTGTGTGCGTGATGATGGTGGTGGTTGAAAAGAAACCAGAAGGATTGCGTCGGAGTAGTAGTCGTCGGACCGACGGCTCCGAGATCCAAGCCAGAACCTTCCTGGACCGCAGCAAGCACATCCGTCCACTTTGATCAGAGTAGATTGAGCAAAGACTGGACCTGTGGCATCTACAGGCACGACGCGGTGCTCATGCAATTTGGGCAAATGAGTAGTTCTTCCCAGTTCTACGCCGGCCCAAGAAGCGCCGGTCTTCCTTCCAGGACATTGCCGCAATATTCGAATAGATGGGAATGCTGAAGGGGCATGCATACAGGGCTCGGACATGGCGCATACGTCCCGCCGTAATTTGCTCGAACTCTCCTTCCTTGCATATGAGATGCTAATATTATCCTTGCCCCCTTCCATCAGAGGTCTTTTTGAGAGGGAAGGTCTGAGGGATGTCATATACGCCGAGTGAGTGGACGAAGCGCCGAAGGGCGAAGAGAACCAAACCTCAAATGAGCGCGAGTCGCCTGAATGAGCTCGGACATCACCAGAGAGTACTGCTTATGAAGAGATCGTGTCAATACCGAGACCCAATGTACACCCTCAGTATGGTACGGTTTTGAGGCTCGAAGTGGCATCTAAGCTCTCAGTGCAGTGGGCGGAGGAGGCGAGGCTCGGCGAGGTGGAAGTGGAAGGATTAAAGAGCTAGGGTTTGTCAGGTGAGATACGATTGTGTGGTATTGGGCCGGACTGGATTTATGAAGGAATGATCACAGGTGATCGCGCATCGTGCATGGAACACATCGCCCACCTGCGCTGCTCTTCACACAGAGTTAATCGCACACTGGATCTAGTGCCTACGGAGATATTGGGCAACAGACACACTGTGGCGAGAGTAGTGAGTTGGCAGAACGAGGTGGGACGGGTCAATGTGCGGGACGGAGGCTGAACGGAATGTGGATTGATGGGATAGATGGTCCAGATAAGAATAATGAAGGAGTCGAGAAAAGTGAGGGGCGGGGAAAGGATTGCTCGGTAGTGTGAACTTTCAAAAATTGAAGAGTGGTCAGAGACCTTGGACCCGCTGACTCGGAGGTTTCCTACAAGTACGAAAAACCGAAACTTGGGTATATCACCGTGAGCATCTGCAGCCATTGCATGAAAGGAACCACAGAGAGAGGATCAAAGCCTGACGTCGATCTGGGCAGAACTGCACGGTCGGCATGTAAAGCTGGAAATGGAATACTCCCTTCGGTGCAATGGGTGGGAGGACGGGGCGGAAAAGGCGAGAAGATATGCGGGAGAAAACGCGGTGCACGATGGGAGACCTAGGAAGATGTGAAGAGAACGGCGCTATTTAAATCCTGTGACATGAAAGAGGTCAAAGGCAGTAAGATGAGAATGATGGAGCGAAGGCGGGCAAACGTAGCTTCGATAAGTAAGGCCACAAGGCGATTAGCTGGCATCGTGGGTCGTGGCAGGCCGGAGTATGAGCTTGAGGCCTTGAGGTGTGGGGGTACGGTGGATTCCGGGGTACCTTCGACGGGGTGATAGGCATATATGCCTGGTCTATGCTTCGCGCATTCCTTCGATTACTCCGGGGCTAGTACACAAGAAGGACTAGATTGGTGTAGTTGGCGTAGCTTGCGCCAGAGTCAGAGTAAGCAGAGACAGGGTGCACAGCTTGCCTTCGAATCATGTTGGGTTCAAGCTGTTGTGGTGAGAGGAAACGAGTATCCATCTCCCTTCCTAGCAGAGCGCACGAGTTATCATTCTTAATGTATAGTGCCCCAGGGGGAGTTTCCCACGAATCGTAACCCATTGCCCACCCCAGGAATGGTGTCATACAATGTTGGCAACTCTCGCGCACTCGCGTCGGTACCCACGAAAACATTGGACGAAGCGGTGCGTCGAGAGTGCCTAAGGTAATCACGCTCATGGGGCGTTGGTGTGCGCGCGGGCCGAAGTGAGGAACGGGAAGGAGTCGCGATTGGCATTGTCCAGGGATCATCGACACGATCACCTCATCGCCCGCCCCAGGAGCAACAAATATCAAAGCTGGTACCTCTCCCCCGTGTCACTATCCAAAGATGAGACACGGGCGAGGCGATATGTCGAGGGTAAGCTGGCAGGTCTGCTCCTGGTGCGGGGGTCGGTGCAAGTGGTGTTTATATTGGACAGGGTATGGGGCTGGAGAAGGGATGGAGGGGGGATGGAGGGAGTGGAAAAAGGAACAGAGAAGGAGGCGGTACATACCGTAACTGTCAACAAGCTGCATGGCTGCGACGACGAGTCAGATAAGTCATCGATGTACGAAATGGATAAGAACCACCGAGGGAAGAAGCAAGACCTACCAGCATCGAAGGAAGAGCTAGAGCCAAACCCAGACCCAGACCCCACAGATCTAGCAAATAATTACTGCCCTACACACTGCTAGCAAGGAGCGAAATAGAACCAGTGCGCGACGAGGAGAGCTAGCTTGGAACGTCGATGAACAACCCATGTCATCGTCATGACCTCTGCAGTAAAGTGAAGGCACGTCTCCGACATGAGTAGTATATGTGAACCCGAAGCGCGAGCTAGCTGTCCATAGCCGGCAAGGCTGCGTGCATGGTGTGCGGAAGATTTTGGGGTTTGGGCTCGGCCATAGGCACCTCGAGCGCGACCGCCTGTGAGGGTGAGGGTGTAGTGCTGCTCTGAGCGCCGCCCCTTTCTGCCAGTAGAGAGTAGTGATGTCCAACTCGAAGATCTGCCATGGACACAAGCGAAAGGAGCTCTTGCCCACCATCGCTCAGCACCTCGGAAGTAAGTCGTGCCCACTGCAGAAGCAGTCGCAACTTTATTGTCGAGAGCTCACGCCGATGAAGACTACACTTGTATGACCGGCGGACGGGCCTCGAGATGCGATCCTTAGGCCGGTACAGTGGGCGTTGCTGACAGAGACGAGGGGCCGAGGATTGAATATTGACGCTCCGACTCGAGGTGTAAGGCTTGAGGCACGAGGCGTGAGGAGAGACGAAAGAGTATGTACGAAAATGGCGTGACGCGATGAACAGACAGAGGAAGAGACGAAGGGAGTGCTGCCAGCTGGGGAGCTTTGGACTTGATGCGCACCATTATATCGCAGGCAGCCCGCCTTATGAGCGGTGGGTTACGATTTCCACCTCAAGCATAACTCTCACATACCAGTGTCATACCCAGAGTGCGTTGGGCGACGAGGTGCGCTGAGGGTAGTAATTCGTGGATGGTACACCCCCCGCTCCTGGATGAGCCGACGGAAGAGGATTAGGATCAGAAAAAAGGATAGACAAGTAGAGACGAGTTTGACGAGATGTCGCTACAGGGATGCCTGCCTTGGTGAGGGTGAGATTGCCAGGAGGAAACAAGATGTAGGTGGGGTGGCCTAGCTAGTTGGACGATAAGACTCGTGCATCGTGGTGCATAGCACTGGCAGGCGGCGTAGGGGGGAAATTCTTCCCACTGCCGGCTTTCGCCGGTCGGCAGGATTCCGAAATGCACGTGCGCTCCGTGCTGCTCCGATTGGTTAACTTCCACACGCGATCGGCAAAGGGACGCTTTAAAAGGGTGTGAAGGGAGTACGAAGGTATAGACAATTATTGATGAGAGAATCAACAACCTGTCAGGTAGTAAAGTGATAGCATTATATACATATTAGCCTCGTTTATTAAGGAAGGGCGAAATTTACAAACGAGTGCAAGGACGAGTGTCTATCTACACAATCACAGACACATTCGATTCCTGATTCCCCATATTCCTGCATCCTATTCAAATCCTACTCGATGTTCCTTATGTCCTCCGGTGATTTCCTCACCTTGTTGCTTATCGCCCCAAGAAAATTGTGCAACCCTTCCGCCGTATTCAAGCCCAAGCCCCCGGGGGAAGGAAGTCTGGTTTCTTGTAGGTTAAACCCATAGAAATTCTTCCCGCTGACCAAAACTCCCCGGAAAGCATTGTGACACTGCTTCCCAGACAGGATGCTGATATACTCCCGAAGCTGCCAAATGTTGCGCAGAACTTCGTCCTTTTTCTTGTTCAGTTCTAGATTGTGTTTCTTCACCTCGAGGCATGCCACCACCACGTCGGATATTTCTTCGGGATCGTCGGAAGCCTTTACAACCACGAAGTCAGGCTCCTTGCGTTTACGTTCGGAAGCAGGGAGCACGGGCTTGTCGTAGGAATCGATGGAATACTGATCGCCCCAATCATCCCCCTCCTCTGGTTTACGCGTGGCATTCGGCCTGATTACGGATTGCGGTTTAACCATGAATTGGTCATCGGGGAACACCCTATTTAAGAGCTTGTCGAGAGGACCGTACAGTTTGGCCTCGTATCGTATCGGGTCCTCTCCATAGCGCTTGATTCGCTGCTGGATCCAGTAAGGGACGTCTGGTGGCGTTACTGTCTCCCGAATCATCAGACACGCATGTTATTTTTTTGCAATTAGGCACCTACCCGGTGGCATGATTGCAATATTGCTTGGGAACTGCAGATATAAGTCGTTGTTTGGGGAATTCAAGTGCTTCTTCCTGGTGCAATCGCAAGATTTTCTGTGAGCTTTTATGCGATCCCTCCCTCATCCACAACGCCAAACAGCGGTCGAAATGTGGCAATAAATTCATTTTCAGACCTTAAAATTTTACTCCATTCCGAGAAACATGAAGCGAGGCAGCCGTACTCAATGCTGGCTTAATAATAGACAAGCCATGGGTGACAATTCGTGAAGAAATCCGGGCGGAGATAGCAATGTACCTTAGCTGGATGGCGAATGACAAGAGCGAAACCGGATCTTAGACTCTATCCTTGAATAGATCCGCTCAAGAGCTTGTAGGCGCCTATATTGTAAAAGACTCATGAGGCTGCCAACGGGCGAAATGATGAGTTTGAAAAAGACAAAAGAATGTCCTCCTTAGTTTTCTCTTAGTCCAATTGCGTAACACACTGTGTGCTTCTTGCTTCAACAATTTTTAGAAGGGAGGAAGGTGCCCACTTCGCTTGTGGCTTGAAATTAACTAATCAGAATGAACCTCGAAGACCTTGGCGGTCATGATGCACCGGAGTAGATTGTAAGATTATTCATATCTATTCAGGTACATACGTTCCACAATACCCACAGAAGGACGCCATATCTTATATTCGTAGTTGTGGGCCACGGTACGCGTTCCCTTGTTCTCTTCTTGGCAAATGTCGTTTAACCCTAATGCGGATGGATCCAATCACGTGGCAAGTACGGCGAGGTACATAAACCCCTCGATACCACGCCCACACCTCATAACTTGAAAACGCCTCTCCAATACGATCCTAAACAATTTTTGCAACATGTGAGGCAGTAGTGCTTATTCTTCGTTGAATACTCACTTATATCTCGGTCCAACCCAGAGATGGTTTACAAAGCCGCAGGATACAAGCTCTCCGTCGCCCAAGCGCAGGCTTGGATAAAGCAGGCCACCGGAAAGGAATGCCCCGGCCCAGACATCCCCGACGTCCTGAAACGCATCTTGAAAGACGCAAACATCAACTGGCTCGCCATTTGCGGCACATCATACGAAGGGAAGGACACCATCCTCGTCGTGCGCCACCAGGGCGAGGACAGAAATTCGACTATGGAAAACTGCATTCCTGCAAATGAGCGCCCGCAGGATAAGAAAGCGAAGGGAATCTTCTTGGAGATGTCGGGGTTGAAGGACGAAGAGGTCGAGTGGGTGACTATTCCCGATCCGTACGGGGACCTCAATCCTTGGTGGATAGGATGAATCCGAAGCAGACTAGCTTGGCTTGAGGCGCCGCATGTTGAATAAACTGTACAAATAATACGGGGGCCCATCCTGGATGTGGTAATTCTACCTGTCTGCTGAATGTACAACCTTACTTCCTCGCTCCGATTTTGGTTCTTGCAAGTCCTTTCGCGCTGTGTTGTTCCAACTACTACCTACCGATAGTAGCCCGGGAAGACTCGCTGTCTCTGGTATCATTGTATAGAGAATAAGATCTATCAAGAGTTCGCCAAAATGACCTCCCAGTCCACGTCTGGTACCGGTGTCCGTTAGATGGAAGTCAAGGCTGGTGCAGTTCAGGAAATTGGGTAGAGATTCAGGGTGGACACAAGCCTTTATGCGAGAAAAGTATTCCCCTAGATACTTTCTCGGGTCGTCAATTTGCGTTATGGGCTAATATCTCGCGCCCGCCGTTTTGAGAGGTAGGCCCGAGGGACCCAACTGGAGGGCACTACACGCGAGTATAATTTCGACGGTGTAGAGGCCCGATGCCCACCATCGGTTGGGTCAGGTTGGTCAGACGAAGGATGATTCGATTGGATCGGTTGGATTGGATTGAACCAAGATCTGGTTTGTGGAGGTATTGACACAAAGGCAACCCCGCATAGCACACAAACACATTTCCCACCCGGTAAGCAGAAAGCAGAAAATACGCTCGCACACTAGGGTACAACCAATAGGTTAAATGCCGTGTGTCGAGCGTAGGCAGCTGCGCTCGCGGGGTGGGACACGTCGGTGTGCGAGCTGGATAGAGAAACACGGGGAACGGAATTTAGCAATATTGGTATCCGTACCGCTTTCCTGTACGACTAAGACTCTGGAAAACTTTTGCGCGCTATCGTTCGAGCACCTGGGAAGAAAGCCACGCCCACTGCAGAGGCAGCAATCAATAGTATCGAGACCCCATGCCGATGAAGACCACACTTGTCTGACCGGCGGACGGGCCTCGAGATGCTCCTGAGGTCGGTGCAGTGGGCATTGCTAACAAGGGCAAGGCGTCGCGGATTGACACTCGGGGCTCGACACGTGAGAAGAGAAGATGTGTGAGGAGAACGTGATGGGATGGGCAGACACAGGAGGAAAGGCTCGCATGCAGCCCGCCCTATGAGCGGTGGGTTACGATTTCCGAATACCGCAAAACTCTCACATACCAGTGTCATACCCAGAGTGTGCTGGGCGACGAGGTACGCTGAGGGTAGGTATTCGTAGTACCCCCCGCTCCAGGGATGAGGCCGACCTTTTTTGCCAGCAGCGAGTAGCGATGTCCAACGCGAAGATCTGCCACCTTCGTAAAAGTGAAAGGAGCCTCCTGCTCGCCATCGTTCGGGCACCTCTGTAATAACCCGCGCCCACTGCGGATAACTCTGAGTGCTATGACAAGACCCCGGGCCAATGAAGACTATACTTGTATGATTGCCGGATGGGCCTCGAGATATGCCTGAGGTCCGTGCAGTGGGCGCCGACAAAGGCGAGGGCCGAGAATTGACACTCGGTGCTCGGCGCGTGAGGAGATGTACAAGAGGGATGCAGTAGGGCGATGGACAGACATAGGAAGGGAGGCTCGCATGCAGCCCGCCCTGTGAACTATGAGCAGCGGGGTACGACTTCCGGATACCGCAAAACTCTCACATAAGTACCAGTCTCATACCCAGAGAGCATTGGGTGACGCGGCGTGTCGAGGGTAGCGATTGGTACGACCCCCGCTCATAGGTGAGTCCGACGATGGAGGCACGGATGGGGAAGGGGGGATAGGCGACTGGCGGTGCAGGGATCCCAGTCTTAGTGGCCTGGAGGGGAAAAGAAGAAGACGAGAGCGCGAATTTCGAAGCAGGTTGGCTGCAACTAGCCAGATCACAGCGCGAGGCGATAAGACTCAAGTATCGTGGATGGTAGGCGGCGTGCGGACGTGATTAAGTAAGCCGGAGACCATCAACCAAAGCTAAACTTACCTTCGCCACACCGAACTGTTTTCCGGCAGCGGATCCAGCAACATGAGTTCCGTGTCCGTGGCCATCAAATTGCCTGCGAAGGGTGTCAACGTCTTCAAGTGAATCGAGTACAGACACTTACTGGTAACTTCCAACAGCAATCCCCCATCTAGCGCGGTCTTCGAAATCTCCCTGAGATGGTGTCAACACTCTTGAAGTAAAAAAAAAAATGGCGGAATAAAGGTTACATACGTGGTGGACATAGACGCCTGCAGCCAAGATGTGATTCTTCAAACAGGTAGAAGTACTAGAAGATCTTCTTACCCGTGTCTGAAAATGTTTGCATCAGGAAAGGTCCCAGCAGAACGCGAGGGTGTAAGCCCATATTTACCAACAATGTAAATATCAACACCCTCGCCGGCGGCAGCGTCATAGATATAGGTGAAGTTAAGGAGGCTGGGTAAGCGTGTAAGTGTGCGGTAAACTCCGAGTGAAGAACGGGACCAACTCTGCATTTTGGATCGCAGGAGGCGTCAATGAGCTGAGCCGGGAGAGACCCCAAGGGGCGTCCTCTCTGGAATACTCGACGTTAACCTATATATAGTGAAAGCGGGCGAAGAGACTTACTGAATGGCCATGGTGTGCATGATACCATCCTCTGAGATCAGTTCAACATCTGCAGAGGCTCTGAGACTGCTGAGTGAATCGGTATCGAGGTTGCCTTGGATTTTTGGACGAAATTATTTGAGCGCTTCTTCCACCAGATACGACAATACATACTCCCAAGATCATTGATAATATTCCAATCGACAGCGTTGGAGAGACCCAGCCTCTTGGCCCACGCCTTCGGAGAGACGCCTTCCTTGAATTTGACGATGTACTTGCCACTAGTAGCACCAGCATATGTCTCAACAGCCCGCAGAGCATCTGGGCCGGTGTCACAAGGATAGCGAGCGTAGCAAGAGATGGGGTAAAGAAACGCATACTGTTGAGGCTGTCGAGTCCAGGAATTGAAGAGTTGTGCACTCAAGAAAGCCTGAGCTACAAGGTCCCTCAACATCGTCGCATCTTTTTTATACACGAGCCCAGATGTCCTCCATCGGACCATGCCGGGTATTCCTCACCTCACCCATACGACTGCCCGACCAAGGGACTCCCAAAGGCTGCACGCGATGTTAGAACTCGTCTGCCCTTACCGGAAGGCTAACTCAACTTTACCATTACTTCCTGTAAAAATGACCGTCTGAATGCTGGAATGCATGTGTGTCCTGGGCTTGGCATCGCAAAGGATGCTGTATGGTAGAAGAAGTAGACGGAGGCCAGCGAAAAGTGGTCAGCTCCAAGTTCATCGTGTGGGCAATCGTTCGCGAGGAGAATATGAGAGCTCTGGATCATGCCCAACGCTGGAGAGAAACAATCAGAAGCCCCAGATATCGTCTAAAACGTAGAATAGCAGTAAGCCAAGAACACCGCCATCGAAAGGAAGCACGACTTGCCATCCTCCTGATAAACCTGGCGGCCGCGGTGAGTCAGTCGGATGGAAGGAATTTACAAGAGGTAGATGACCTGGAGGCCACGGTGAGTCATTTCTACGAGAACATCAGTACGCTACAATGAAGACTCAAAGCCTCTTGCCCTTTCCCACCTCACGCCGGCCGGCCGGTCACGAAATGCGTATGTGCTCCGTGCCGCCTCCGTTCCCTTCTTCCGATTGGCTTCCCATAAGTACCCTGCCGGTGCGCTCATACCGGTGTCGAAGTCTCCGATTTCATCATCGTGACGACCACGGCCACCAACCCTCTTCTCGCGCCAACCTCGCCTCCACTGCAATCCGAACCGATAGCAGCAACACGAACACGTTCGGGGTGTAAGTTTCGGGGCGGTTGAACTCTGGTGCTCCCTTTTATCACCCACTCGCACTTTGGTCTTCGACATACACTACGACTAAGGAGGATACCACTGGGGAGGATACGACTAGACGACGAGCGACAAACGATAGACGATAGAACGCACTCCAGGAGAGACGATAGATGATGAACACGATAGACGATCCTTGCACCTCGAGGTAGCTCGGGTGGATATCTGGTACGTGACGTCCTCGTTCGTTTGTAAGGCGGTCATCGTCGTCGTCGTCTGCCCCACCTTTTCTTTTCCACTTCCGTCCATGCATATTCCTCTCACATTTACCCAAAGATCTTGCATTGATGAACATCATGCTGATTCCCCGCCCAGTTACCTTGGACCTCAAGCTTGTCCTCAGCTCGGTCTTTGGTCCCCTTGCCCACTCTCTTCGTCCGGCGTTCCAGCACGTACGTAGCATCGATTCGCTCACTCCCACTCGTTTTCGATTTCGCTTAGAAAGATATGAATACACAGAATATGTCATGACTTTATCAAAAATTGCAAGCAAACATTGACCTTTTTGATTAATATTTTATTTCCATGAGGCAACAGCGAAGCCCGTTGGTTTCTTCTCTCCCACACCCGGTCGCAGAACCACCTGCCCATCGCCATAATACGCCTTGTCGACCCAGGACCAATACCCTTCTTCATGTGCCTTCCGTTCTTTCTTGTTCTTCCGAGTCGAAAGCGGCGTCTCAGGGAAAGGATGCGTTGTGATTTTTCCCTCAGAGTTTGTTACTGACCTAAAGCCGTTCTCGAGGTAGTCGTCAACGTTGAGAACGGTGACCTGTCCATCACCGAAGACGAGGACGAGTTGGTCACCTGACGGCGTCAAATCTGCGTCGCCGATGGCTTCAGATATATTACCGCACGGGTTCTGAGGGTCCTGGAGGATGTTGGTGGAAAGGATAGACCCAGACGCCGCGTCCAGAGTCGTTAGCGCCACCTTCGTCCTCGCAGAGGAATATTATCCAAGAACACCGCCTTCGCCTCATCATTACATATCTTGCTTGTGCCCCGTCTCTGGAATACAACGCTCCAATGTCGAATGCCTGTCGTCCTACCAATCCTGTCCCACCAATAGCGAGCAAGTCAATATTCGCGCCTTCGAGGAATGCGTTTCAGGAATTTCGATGTCCTCGCTTTCAGCTCCGGAGGCGTGCTTTAGGTTTGGGCGACGCAGAGCTCGTATCCTGCCGCTCCGCAGACCAAGGCTTGGTGTGGTGTGGAGTTTATGCCTGGGGTCTTTGCGTGAGCTCGAAGCAAATTTAAAAGTTCGTACGACTTGTCGTTAATTAATACGTAGTCTGGGTCACCGGAGTATGAGATCCGATCCTGTTGAAGGACGAGTATTCAAAATAACTCGGACATTCAGGGAACTGTGAAGCACTCAAGCTCAGACTGACCTATTCTATTAGGCATCGATTGTAAATTTATGAGCGCCTAGTGGTGCGCAAAGCAGACTCGGAGTATGGTAATCGAGGCCCGACGTCAATGCTGAGCGAAGGAGGGGTGTCAATGCTCATCTACTCTAAGGTGGTAGTGGTGAGAAATTACCCGCACGCAGCAGCAAACTATCGCCCACCCCAGGAGCAGCGGGCCTTGAGGTCGGAAACTTTCACAGAGCCGAATCGGTTCCCAAAAAAAGCTGGGAAACACGGTCAGTCGAGAGTGGACAGTTGCGCTCATGGGGCGGGGGAGGTTGGTACATACATATGAGGGAAGGAAAGGGAGGCACGGGATGGATCGAAGCCGTATGGTTATTTATATGTAGGGTATTGCCTTCTGGTGGGTGCCGGTGCCGCATAGCAGAGCGCACGAGTCGTGAATCGTGGTTATTTACTGCGTATGGTGGTGCCTCAGGAGGAAGATTATCTGCAAATCGCAACCCTTTGCCCAGCCCAGGAGCGATGCCATGCATACCGGGCACAACTCTCGCGCACTCGCATCGGCCACAAAAACATTGGGCAACACGGTCAGTCGAGAGTGGACAGTCACACACGCTCGTGGGGTGGGGCAGGTTGGTGTGCGCGCGGGCCGAAGTGAGGAACAGGAACGAGTCGCGATTCGCGTTGTCCAGGGACCATTGACACGATCACCCCCATCGCCCGCCCCAGGAGCAACAAATACCAATCGTGGTACCTCCCACACACGCACATCAGCATCCAAAGACGAGACATGGTCGATGGAGTGTGGGGAGGGGAAGTGGGCAGGTCTGCTCCTGGTGCGGGGGCAGGGCAAATGGCCGGGGTGCGGGGTCGAGGGAGAGGAGAGGAGAGGGAACGGAGGGAATGGAGAAAGAAACGGAGAGAGAGGCGGTACATGCCGTAGCTGCCAACAAATTGCATGGCTGCGATGAGTCAGATAAGCCATCGATGTATGTTCGAAATCGATAAGAACCACCAGCAAGATTCGCCCTCGAGGAGGCCCGAGAAGACCCAGTGCAGGATGATCATATGAGGAGAACGGGCTCCCGCTGTGGACTCCACATAATCTGACTTTGAACACATGAGAGAACCACGACCTCTGGAGTGAGAGGGAGACAGGAAGGAAAGAAATGAATGCTGTGCCTCGAAGCCCAGTCTTCGAAAGGTCGGTCTGCGGCCCGAGATCCAAACCTCACTCGCGAGTAGGCCTCGTTGAATGGGTTTTAAAATTTACAAAAAGCAGTCTACTATCTATAAACAATAAGAATACGAACTCGAAATTTTACATATATGTGTGTCTCTATCTAATAGGTGCTGGTGAGTGTTTGGATCGAATAACGATATGCAAGAAAGCTCTGCTTCCACCTCCACCTCCACCACCAATACCCCAAAGCCCACCATCCCTAAGCCCAACGGCCCTATAGCGAAACACCCATCTCCCGCCCCACCCACCCCTCCCCATACAGCACACCCGCAAGCCGCACAAGGCCGTCGTACGACAGGACCCCGCGCCACGCGTCTTGTAGGCCTGTCCACTCTTCCTCCTCTTCCTCCAGCCCATCATCCTCTCCATCCTCTCCCATTCGGCCCTCCTCCACCTTTCGCGGCTTTCGAGTCGAAGTACCAAGCCCACCCCGCTCGCGCGTCTTCGCCCTCCTCCTCCTGCCCTCCCTCTCCTCACCTTCCCGCTTACCATTACCACGAAGCAAGGAAAGGGAAACGGCATGAGAAGGCGCAGGCGCGCTCGCGCTCCTCAACGCCAACCGCCATTCGGCGCCTTCCCTCGCGTGTCTCCTCCCCCTCCGGTCCCTGCCGTCTTCCGTAGAGGAGCAGATGGTATCGGCGTCGCTCCCACCACCACCTTCTACCTCCCCCTCATCGGCATGGGCATCGGCATCGGCATGAACCCCGTTCTCAGTGTTGGTGGTGGTGGTGGTGTTGGCGTCTGGGGATGACGCGGATGGTGCAGGAACATCCAGAGGGAACGACCCGAACACGTCCTCCTCCGCCCTCTCCTGTTGTCGAATCCGGGCCTCGTACAGCGCCCCGCGCCCCATCCACTTACTGTCGTCGTCGAGCAGGCGCATCGCGAGGATGTGCAGGGCGGAGTAGGTGTAGACGTCGGGTGTTGGGAGGTGCGCGGAGGGCGACGTGGAGGTAGGAATAGGAGTGGAGGTTGGGGAGGTAACGGAAGAGGGAGAGGCAGCGTCAGGGTTCGGCTGGGGAACTGGGTTGGAGGAAGACGAGGAGATAGGCTCGCGTTCGTCGTTGACGCCACCAGGAAGACAGTCAGAAGGCAAGATAGATCCAGGCGCGAAGTACACCAGGTCGTTTACCCTCGGCGACACGATCTCTCCTTCTGGCGACCTCGATGCCGTGTCTTCCTCCACCCCATCCTCCACCTCCCATCTCCCCGCCAAATAACACAGCACAACCCCCATCGCCTCCTCCGGTCTCCACCTCGGCGCCAACACCCTTACCCTTACCCTCACTCTCCCCCCAAGCTTTCTCCTTTCCCTCCCCTCTACCCCATCAGGAGAAGGGTGTACCCACGACCCAATGAAATCGCACGCCTCCCGAAGTTGGCTTGGAGATAACGAAGGAACGCCGTCGATGTACGCGCTCCGCTCTGAAGGGAGTGGGAGGCGGAGGGTTTTTGGTCGGTGGGGTCGGAGGGGTGGGTTGGAGGTGGCGTTGGAGTCGGTGTCGGCGTCGTTCTCATTGTCGTTATCAGAATCAGAGGACGACGAGGAAGATGATAAACCCGAGCTTGAGGACGACGAAGAAGCAGACAGCTTGCGCAACGAGGAAGGCGCGCCGAGGACCTTGATGAGGATATACGGTGCCTTTCCCTTTCCTTTGCCCTTGTCCTTCCTCCCCCTCCCCCTCTCCTCCTGGCCTTCCCCACCCTCTCCAACCGCACCTTCCACCGCACCGTCCGCACCGTCCGCACCTCCATCTCGACTCCGACTCCGACTCCTTCCCCTCTCCTCTTCCACCCTACTCTCTCCTTCATCTCCCTCCCCCTTCGTCTCTCCTTCGTCTCCCTCAAACCAACCCCCCTCCAAATCCCACTCTTCCTCCAGAAACCCTACTTCGACCCTCCCTCCACCCATACCCGCACCAACACGCTGAACACACGCCCTCCCCCTCCTCCTCTCCCGCTCCACCCTCGCCATCCTCCGCAAGTCGTCCGTAGTCAGCTCACGCGTCCTCGACGCCGACCCATGCCGCTTTATGCGTGTAGGCGGGCGGGAGGTCGACTGGGCCCTGGCAGGCGTCCTCAGTCTCCCCTCGTCCCTCTCCCGGAACCGGATAACACCCGCCGTCGCTGGCGTAACGCCAACAGGCGCAAGAGCGAGAGCAGGCCCAGGAGACGCTGACCGTCCCCTCCGCCCCCGCCCTCGTATGTCTCCGTGGCAAGTTCACACCGGGGCCATATCCTCGCGTTGGCGCTGGCGTCCCTTGCCCTTGCCCCGTTCCGTATCCTGGCGTCGTCGTCGGCGCCAGTCCGGGCATCCCAGACACTCCTGGAGTCGCGAACACCCCAGAAGAGTGGGGCACAGGCGACCCCACCGTGGCCGCCGCCGCGTTCTGCGAGAGGGAGAGGGACATAAGATGATATTGTCCTGGCGGTTGGGATCTCGGAGGCGGGGGTTGGCCACCAACACCAACACCAACACCAATACCAGGAGGCGGAAGCTTAGAGGAGGAGTTGGCAATCGCCGCTAGGGACATCGTCAGCCCGAGCGCTGGGTGGTGGTGCGAGGTGTTCATCCCCCTGCCTTTGCCGTCGGCGGCGTCCAAGGCGGATTGGGCTTGGGCGGATGCGAGCACGGCGTCGATCGTGTTTGAGATTATGGTCGACCTCGTCGGTCCTACTACATGTGCGTCATGCGGAGGCGTAGGGGTTGTGGGCGCATATGAACCCTGTCCTGGTGTCGGTGTTGGTGGAATGGACGTGTAAGGTGGGCCTGGGAGGGCAGGAGACGTCGGCGGCTCCGTGAGCGTCGTCAGACCCGTCTGGAGCGGGTCCTCTCCCCTTTCTCCGTCTCTTTCTCTCCCATGGTCATTGTCAACGTCCAGGTCCAGGGGTGCAACCGTCGACGCCTCCGTCGGACTCTGCAGATGTTGGACAGTCCGCCTTGCTGGCGTTGACGTCACCCTCACTCCACCACCATCCACCCCATTCGATGCAACAGTGGTACCCCTGCGCACCGTCGTCCGTGCCCTTCGCGGCAAATGACTCTTATGCGGCTCGATGAACCCCTTTCCGCTCATCCTGCCCTCCGGCGCTGCACCCATTACCCCGCTTACTCTTGTTTCTCCTCTTCCACCCCTGCCTTCACCTACTCTCCCCCCACTACCCAAAGATAACGAAAGCGAAGGCCTCTTCCTCGTATTATTGACAGTACGAACTTGAGGTGAAGCACCTAGGTCCGGGGAAGAAACTTTGTGCGCCAGCGAGTTGAGCGGGAGCGGGAGGGGCGTGATGAGCGTGGAGGAGGATGCGGAGGCGGGGGAGTCGATGTCGATGTCGAGGGTGGGATGCGGGTGGAGGTGGGCCATGATGATCACCCGCGGGTGTAGGTGTAGCGGGGCAAGGGCAGGGGCCTATGGTTGGAGGGGGCCGGGTAACAAGCAAAGTCGGACGGGAATAGAATGCGCTTGCGCTTGGGACGGGGTGCGTTTGGGGTGCGTTGGGAAACGGCCTAAGCAGGGTGTTGAAAAACGATTGGTGAGGGTGTTAAATACGTCTGCTGAGGTGTTTGGAGGATCGGTGCTTGCGCGTCGGGTGTTGAGTAATGAGTAAGTTGAACGTTAACTGGGGTGGCGTCTTGCTCTATTCTAGCTAGCGTCGATAGTGGATGCCCCTGTACGTATAAAATTGGACGTGGTGCTTGCAGGATGCTCGATCGTTGTAGGCCGTACGCGGGATGTCGATGACGGAGGAAGAGAGCTAGTGAGGACCGAGCCGAGGAGAAGCGGAAGTTGACGTCCAAGTGAACTGGGCGGAGGAATCAGCATCAACAGCCACAGTTTTCATGATGACAAGAGTATTTGAGCGAACGGGCGAGGAATATACGGGGTAAAGAAGTGGCGAAAAACAGGTGGAGGCAAAAAAAAAAAAGGGGAAAGGAAAGGTGGAGCGGGCGATGACGACGATGACTGTACGTACCGGCAGAAAGTTCGCGATATCTACCCGAGGCGCGAGGATCGTCTACCGTGTCTATCGTCTTTCCTGGAGCGCGTTCTGCCGTCTATCGTTTGTCGTTTGTCGTCTAGTTGTATCCCTCCCAGTTGTGGCGTATGTTGGAGTGCGAGGTGCGAGTGTTGTGGAAGGAAGAAGGAGAACGACAATCCAACCACCGCGAGACTTATACCCCAAACGTGTTCGTGTTGTTGCTGTCGGTTACGAAAACAAAGAGAAATGGGAGCGCGAGAGAGGCGTGTACGGACATGCAGTGGACGCGAGGAGGGGGGTTGGTGGTCGTGGTCGTAGAGGTGTGAGGTATGTGGATGACGAAATCGAAACACGCTCCGGTTGAAGGTGGCGCTGGGCCGGTGCAACGGTGCCAGAGGGTTCGGCACCGGAGCACGTGATGCCGTGTGGCCAGCTGGCCAATCGGAGGAAAGGAACGGAGGCGGCACGGGGCGCACGTGTGTTTCGTGGCCCCGGCCCACCGGCGAGAGATGCAAGGGCGGTCGGATGGCCGGGCTCTTTCCTCTCACCACGTTCTTCTCCCCTACGAAATTGAGGGTTCTACTGCTCTGCTTTAGCCTCTGAATCGAACTACGTTAGTCTGACTACTCTTTGTGTGCACTGTACCCTAATCAGAGGACGACTGCGCAGGGCAGCACATTAGCTATCACCCCATCGAAGGCACCCCGAAATGCACACCTCCACGCCTCCACGCCTCCACGCCCCACCTCGCCTGCCAGTGCCATGCACCATGGTGCGCGGGTCTTATCGTCCAACCAGTGCCATATCGTCGCCTTCTAGCTTCCGTCCGAGTCGAGTCTCCATATCCCTGCGTCTTTTGACAAGCTTATCTGAACCCATCGTCTGTCCCTTTCTTCTGTCGTCCTCCATCGCCAGCCTCATCCCTGAAGCGGGGGGTGCTAACCACGAATAACCACCCTCAGCACACCTCGTCGCCCAATGCACCCTGGGGACGGCGCCGGTATGTGAGAGTTCACTTTATGGTATAGGGCTGGTACCCCACCGCTCATATGGCGGGCTGCATGCGAGCCTCTCTTCCTGTGTCTGCCCATCCCATCGCGTTCTCCTCACAATTCCTCTCTCGTCACACCTCGTTCCCGAGCCCCAATCACCGAGCCTCGCCTTCATCAGCGCCCACTGCACAGGCCTAAGGATCGCACCTCGAGGCCCATCCGCCGGTTAGACAAGTGCAGTCTTCATCGGCGTAGGCTCTCGTGAAGAATGTGGACCAACTCTGCAGTGGGCGCGGCTTACTTCTGAGGTGCTCGAACGATGGTGGACAAGAGTTTCCTAGAGTCTTAGTTCTACGGGAAAGCAGCCCGTCTTTTCCCGCCCAGCCCGCACACCGGTGTGCCCCACCCCGCGAGCGCAGCTGCCTACGCTCGACACGGCATATAACCTATTGGTTGTATCCTAGTGTGCGAGAGTATTGTCTGCTTTCTGCTTACCGGGTGGGAAATGTGTGTGTACGCGATGTAAGATCGCCTTCGTGATATGTACCTCCTCCACAAATTGAATCTTGGTTCAATCCAATCCAATCATCCTTCGTCTGACCAACCTGACCCAACCGATGGTAGGCGTCGGGCCTCTACGCCGTCTATATTATTCTCGCGTGCAGTGCTCTCCGGTAAAGTCTGAGCTCGCTCACGCGACTCGCGCTCATTTGAGGTTTTGTTCTCTTCGCCCTTCAGCGCTTTGTCCGCTCACTCGGCGTATAGGACGTCTCTCAGGCCTACCTCTCAAGCCTCTAATGGGCAGGCGCGCGGAGATCAGCATCCAACGTGAGGCAGGAGAGTTCGAGCAAATTACGGCGGGACGCATGCGCCATGTCCGAGTCCTGTATGCTCCTTCAGCATTCCCATCTATTCGAATATTGCCGCAACGTCCTGGAAGGAAGACCGGCGCTTCTTGGACCGGCGTAGAGCTGGGAAGAACTACTCATTTGCCCAAATTGCATGAGCACCGCGTCGTGCCTGTAGATGCCACAGGTCCAATCTACTCTGATCAAAGTGGACGGATGTGCTTGCTGCGGTCCAGGAAGGTTCTGGCTTGATTCTTCATCCGGACAGACGGAGAGTTAGGTTCTAAGTGCTTTCGCGATTTGATTTATTGTTATACGTTCTAGATAAACTTCATCGTGTATTTCAATCGAGGTTCGCATACTCAAATGTGCACTTTGGATCTCGGAGCCGCCGGTCCGACGACTACCACTCCGACGCAATCCTTCTGGTTTCTTTTCAACGACCACCACCATCACGCACACACAACGTCTCGGAGGCACGGGCGAACCACGAACTTGAACTTACTAGTACCAGCATTGGGCGGCTAGCTCAAGCTTTTTGCTCTCATTTGTCTTTGTCTTGACCTTCAAGCTTCAAGTTTTAACTATTGCTCAAGGTCTTCCTCTTCCTCGTGTACGCGGCGGTTTTCACAAACCTTCACTGCCTTATCGATGATATATCCCCGTTTATCTGACTCCTGGAGTTACTCATCTATGCTATTGGCTTTCATCTGGTCGAGTTCTGCCGCTGATAAATACAATCGCGATTCTCTCGTGAGTCCTTGTCCCTCTCCTTAATATTCCCTATCTCCTCCAGATTGTCCCAGTTGAAAAATAGCCCCTCAAGTGGCGGCAGAAAATTCTACTGGCATGCGGCTTCTTCAAAAAAATCTGGTCGAGGGGTGTTCAACTGGCTTGCCTTCATCTTACCTGGGCTGCTACGCATTGACAGGACCACGGGCCGACCCCTCCTTCCCCACCCACGAGCAAGACCGCCTTCTCTTGACATCTTTCGTGGCCCATGTTTTACGGGTATTGACGCGAGTGTCAGAGAGTGTCTGAGGCTCCGCTTCTAGGGTGGGCCATAGCAGGGACTATACGTGCGCTGCGAGGCCGCATTCGTGATCCCTGCAAGGATCTGATCGCGACCTGCTCGTCCACCCCACTCTCATATACTGATTCGCAGCGCATCTCTGAATATCACTATCCATCCAGACTGCGCGCCGGCCCACAACCAACCCCATCCCACGAGCAAAAGTACACCTCCCCTCGACATACTGCGTCGTCCAACTCTTCGTTTGGGTACTCGACGCAAGTATGCCGGGGGACAGGCATTCGACATTGGAACGTTGGAACGTTGTGTTCCGGCGACGGGATACGAGCAAGATTGAGAGGCGAAGGCGGTGTTCTTGGAGATGAGGAGGCTGAGTGGGTGACGATTGTGGATCTTACGGCGACTACTATAATCAGTGATGGTTAGATGGTGGACTTTCTGGCCGCAACCTCGTCCACGACCCACTCGCAGAAGATGTCTCTCGCCTCTCTGAAGTACCACGTTGAAAATGTCGACCATCCATCGCGGCCTGCTTGGTTTCATCACCCTTACCTGATAACCCGGAGCCCCCAAGTATCCTACTTATGGTATTGCATCCCATCCCAAGCGCCCGTCCTTCGAGGCAGGTTGGAGGGGCACATATCGCCCTTCGCCGAGCACCACGCCATATCGCAACGCTATCTCTTAACCGGGATGGAGCTGCACAGGGATGACGAACGATGGTACGATTTACTCGTGCACGACTTGAGCGACGGGTGTCTGGCCGATCGTGTTTCTGTAGGGCCATTCGAATCAGAGGGACCCTTGGTGGAGGGTGGTCTTGGAGTAGCCGATGGGAGAGCAGCATTTTATAAGAGGGATGGAGAGGACCCGAGCGTAGAGGTTTACGCGATAACGGACGACGGGAAGTTGGAATTGGAGCGCACTCTTCATGACCCTGCAAGTTCCAAAAGAGCAGCGAATTTTCATGCATGCGTCTGGACGGCCATCTTCTGTCCTGCTTCAGTGCACCTCCGACACGGTGGTCACGGCGGATATGTACTGCAAGCATCCATTAAGCGTGCGGCTGACACGCTGGTCCCCCGATCCTCGACTTGTGCAACACCAGACGGTGGACTTCATTCGAGAACTCACCTCAGATACTCAACGCGAATCACACCTTCGGGGTCATACCTACATCCCCCCTTCAAAAGCCTTCATAACTGCAAGTTACGAACACAACCTCGAAGCATATGATACCGACCCAATCACAATCGTCCGTTCCTTCGACTCCGACACCCTGGCCTTACAATGGACCGCTGCAATACCCCAGGAGAATTCCAAACTCCACTTTATTCCACGCCGAAACGCGATACTCGCATTGGGACTCACATGGAACGTCGAAGAGGGCTATTCCTCTGCGAAAACGAAGGTGGCACTAGCGACTCTGGACGCGGCGTCTGGGTCTATCCTTTCCATCAACATCCTCCAGGACCCTCAGAACCCGTGCGGTAATCTATCTGAAGCCATCGGCGACGCAGATTTGACGCCGTCAGGTGACCAACTCGTCCTCGTCTTCGGTGATGGACAGGTCACCGTTCTCAACGTTGACGACTACCTCGAGAACGGCTTTAGGTCAGTAACAAACTCTGAGGGAAAAATCACAACGCATCCTTTCCCTGAGACGCCGCTTTCGACTCGAAGAACAAGAAAGAACGGAAGGCACATGAAGAAGGGTATTGGTCCTGGGTTGACAAAGCATATTATGGCGATGGGCAGGTGGTTCTGCGACCGGGTGTGGGAGAGAAGAAGCCAATGGGCTTCGCTGTGGCCTCATGGAAATGAAATTGGAAAGGTCAATGTTTGCGTGCAATTTTTGATGAAGTCATGGCATGTATTCACATCTTCTGAGCGAAATCGAAAACGGGTGGGAGTGAGCGAATCGATGCTACGTACGTGCTAGAACTTCGGACGAAGAGAGTTGGCAAGAGGGCCAAAGACCGAGCTGAGGACAAGCTTGACGTCGAAGGTAACTGGGTGGGGAATCAGTATGATGTTCACCAAGACAATATCTTTGAGTAAACATGAGAGGAATATGCATGGACGGAAGTGGAAAAGAAAAGGTGGGGCAGACGACGACGACAATGACCGCCTTACAAACGAACGAGGACGTCACGTACCAGATATCCACCCGAGCTACCTCGAGGTGCAAGGATCGTCTATCCTGTCTATCATCTATCGTCTCTCCTGGAGCGCGTTCTATCGTCTATCGTTTGTCGCTCGTCGTCTAGTCGCATCCTCCTTAGTCGTAGTGTATGTCGAAGACCAAAGTGCGAGTGGGTGATAAAAGGGAGCACCAGAGTTCAACCGCCCCGAAACTTACACCCCGAACGTGTTCGTGTTGCTGCTATCGGTTCGGATTGCAGTGGAGGCGAGGTTGGCGCGAGAAGAGGGTTGGTGGTCTGAAATCGAAACGCGGTTGAAATTGCTTCGGTGTCAGAGCTCTCGGCACCGGCGTGAGTGCACCGGCAGGGTGCAGGAAGCCAATCGGAAGAAGGGAACGGAGGCGGCACGGAGCATCCATGCGTTTCGTGACCGGCCGGCCGGCGTGAGGTGGGAAAGGGCAAGAGGCTTTGAGTCTTCATTGTAGCGTACTGATGTTCTCGTAGAAATGACTCACCGCGGCCTCCAGGTTATCTAACTCTAGTGAATTCCTTCCTTCCAACTGACTCACCGCGGCCGCCAGGTTTATCAGGAGGATGGCAAGTCGTGCTTCCTTTCGATGTCGGTGTTCTTGGCTTACTGCTATTCTACGTTTTAGACGATATCTGGGGCTTCTGATCATTTCTCTCCAGCGTTGGGCACGATCCAGAGCTCTCATCTTCTCATCGCGAACGATTGTCCACACGATGAGCTTGGAGCTGACCATTTTTCGATGGCCTCCGTCTACTTCTTCTACCATACAGCAAGGTCCTCTTTGCGATGCCAAGCCCAGGACACACATGCATTCCAGCATTCAGACGGTCATTTTTACAGGAAGTAATGGTAAAGTTGAGTTAGCCTTTCGGTAAGGGCAGACGAGTTCTAACATCGCGTGCAGCCTTTGGGAGTCCCTTGGTCGGGCAGTCGTATGGGTGAGGTGAGGAATACCCGGCATGGTCCGATGGAGGACATCTGGGCTCGTGTATAAAAAAGATGCGACGATTTTGAGGGACCTCGCACCTCAGGCTTTCTTGAGCGCACAACTCTTCAATTCCTGGACTCGACAGCCTCAACAGCATGCATTTCTTTACCGCATCTCTTGCTACGCTCGCTATTCTTGTGACACCCATCGTCGCCGGCCCAGATGCTCTGCGGGCTGTCGAGACATATGCTGGTGCTACTAGTGGCAAGTACATCGTCAAATTCAAGGAAGGCGTCTCTCCGAAGGCGTGGGCCAAGAGGCTGGGTCTCTCCAACGCTGTCGATTGGAATATTATCAATGGTCTTGCGAGTATGTATTGTCGTATCTGGTGGAAGAAGCGTTCACATAATTTCGTCCAAAAATCCAAGGCAACCTCGATACCGATTCACTCAGCAGTCTCAGAGCCTCTGCAGATGTTGAACTGATCTCAGAGGATGGTATCATGCACACCATGGCCATTCAGTAAGTCTCTTCGCCCGCTTTCACTATATATAGGTTAACGTCGAGTATTCCAGAGAGGACGCCCCTTGGGGTCTCTCCCGGCTCAGCTCATTGACGCCTCCTGCGATCCAAAATGCAGAGTTGGTCCCGTTCTTCACTCGGAGTTTACCGCACACTTACACGCTTACCCAGCCTCCTTAATTTCACCTATATCTATGACGCTGCCGCCGGCGAGGGTGTTGATATTTACATTATTGGTAAATATGGGTTTACACTCTCGCGTTCTGCTGGGACCTTTCCTGATGCAAACATTTTCAGACACGGGTAAGAAGATCTTCTAGTACTTCTACCTGTTTGAAGAATCACATCTTGGCTGCAGGCGTCTATGTCCACCACGTATGTAACCTTTATTCCGCCATTTTTTTTTTTACTTCAAGAGTGTTGACATCACCTCAGGGAGATTTCGAAGACCGCGCTAGATGGGGGATTGCTGTTGGAAGTTACCAGTAAGTGTCTGTACTCGATTCACTTGAAGACGTTGACACCCTTCGCAGGCAATTTGATGGCCACGGACACGGAACTCATGTTGCTGGATCCGCTGCCGGAAAACAGTTCGGTGTGGCGAAGGTAAGTTTAGTTTTGGTTTATGATCTCCGGCTCACTCACTCACATCCGCAGAAAGCCAACATTATCGCTGTCAAAGTGCTCAGTGATAGTGGCTTCGGCTTCGTCTCTGACGTGTTGGTCTGATTTACTCTTTGAATGACGCGAACTCAACTGTATTTGCTTCAGTGTCTCTGGTATCGACTGGGTGTTGGGCCAAGTCGAGGCCTCTGGCCGCCCCTCAATCGCCTCCATGTCCCTAGGCGGCGAGGGAATAAGTACGGCACTTGAAAATGCCGTCGCCTCCCTTACCGCCGCAGGCATCCACGTCACCGTCGCCGCGGGCAATTCCAACGTCGACGCGGCCAACACCTCTCCGGCGCGCGCACCCTCTGCCATCACCGTCGGCTCGTCCACCATCGCTGATGAACGTGCCCTGAACTCTAACTACGGCCCGGTCGTGGACGTCTTCGCGCCCGGCTTTGATGTGATCAGCTCGTGGACAGGCAGTGTGACGGCCACGAACACCACCTCGGGCACTTCAATGGCGACAGCGTATATTGCGGGCCTGGTTGCGTACCTCATCAGCAAGGAGGGGAACGCATTGCCTGCGGAGATGGAGACGAAGATCAAGGCATACGCTCTCAATGGCATTCTTTCGGGTATCCGTGAGTATAGTCGTTCTTTGAGCAACGCTGAACGGTATTCAATTAATTTATGCGCTGAAATGGTATAGCGACCAACACCATCAACGCTCTGGCACACAATGAAGCCCCTGCAACCGACGAGTAAAGCAATGATCCCTTAAGGAATCAATAGTGTTTCTCTCCTTGCTCTCGTCTAGTCAAATGCCATCAAACAATACCGACTCATACAGCATTCCTTCTTCTGGTTCTGTTATGTATCCGATACTTCACAAACGAGAATCAGTCGTTCATGTACTAGCGAATAACTAAACATTCAATATTCAATTTTTGGTCATCACTGTGGCGTCCGTGGGAATGCTGCCATCAGCGCAGAAAATTTACAACTTTCCCTCTCGAGCTCCCACCATGATCTTCCCACCGCGAAATTGAAGGTTCTACTGGCGCGTTAGCACATTAGCTATCACTGCCCCATGGCCGGCCATCGAAGGCACCCCGAAATGCACGCCTCCACGTCCCACGCCCAAGGACACCGGAGTCTTATCGTCCAACTAGCTAGGCTTTCCCACTGTCATCTCGTCTCTTCCTTCCCATCTTACACTCCCTAAGGCGGGCATCCCTGCATGTGATTTCTCGTTAGGCTTATCACCCATCATCGCGGTCTGTCTCCTTTATTTTGATCCTCGTCCTCCATCACCAGTGGAATCCATGAGCGGGGGCGGACTCATCGCGAATAACTACCCTCGGCACACCTCGTCGCCCAACGTATTGTCCTGGGTGCGACGCTGGCATGTAAAAGAGTTGTGATCGAGTTTGAAGTCGCACCCCACCGCTCATGGGACAGGCTGCCGACGGAAACGAAGTCCGGACAGGGGAGATTACCTTCACGGCGCTCGGAGGACCACCACCACAATTCTGGCACTGCGTGTGTTCGTCGTTCAGATACCGCCTATCAGCGGTTCAAACGTTCAAGTGAGTAGTCGCACTACCCACCGCACTGCCGACCAAGTTCGTGTCTCCTCATCGCCTCCTCGTCGTCCCATCACGTCCACACCATCTTGCCTAGTCCTAAGGGCTGCCTTCGCACTCCTTCTCGGACATGCACACACTCCCGTGTATGCGTATCCGGACTCCAACTCGTCCAGTCCTTCGATCCACAGTCCCCGATCCCCACGCCCGTAGCCGCACCCACTGCACCGAAGGCAGGATCCCATGTCGAGCTCCTACACGCTGTGCTCATGGTCAGTGTGGAATTTTGATATGGTCCACCAATTTCTTCATACTGTAGGCGCGCGTGATAATGGCTTTTCTGCTGAGGATACGAGGATTCCCCTTGTGTTAAGTTTCGATTCTTTCATCCTCGAAGAAAGTCTTCTGTGGTTGGCTGCGAGCGGGCATTTTCTCTGGTTGACCGACATGGCATAACGAGCTTTTATCGGGTGTCGGGCTGCGAAGAGTGTCGGGCTGCGAAGAGTGGCGATGTTGCTCCAACAGGATGGACGTGGATAAACAGTCCGCGTGTCCTCTATGTGTCGAGTCTCAGTTCGACGGCACAGCGTCTTGCGACGGTATGTTATGCCTTTCAACACACCCACCTGGCGGTCCTTTTGCTAGCATCACTTTTCTTCGCGATCCATTATCATTACCCATCCCCCACTCATCTCCCCATGGCCCTACATTCCGTTCGCCTTTCCGCCTCTTTCTCCCTTCTACCTGCACACCGACTTGTACCACCCCACAAGCGCAGCTGATTGCCCTCGCTACGCTGGGCACCCAACGTTCTTGTGGGTATTGCCCCAGTGTACGAGAGTTCTGCTGATCGTTGAATAGCTCTGTCTTTGAGGATATTTCAAACAACTGCCGCTTTTTTTCGAGAACATTGTTGTGCTCATCTCCTGAATTCGAAATTCTGTATGCAATCAAGCTTAGAAGAAAAATCTACTGCCATGAAACCACAGCGAAGCCCGTTGGCTTCTTCTCTCCCACGCCTGGTCGCAAAATCACCTGTCCGTCGCCATAATATACTTTGTCCAGCCAGGACCAATACCCTTCTTCAGCATTTTTTCGCTCTTTCTTGTTCTTCGCCGTAGAGAGCGACATCTCAGGGAAAGGGTGAGTCTCGATTTTGCCTTCAGCGTTTGTTACGGAACCAAAGCCGTTGTCGAGGTAATCACCAATATCGAGGACGGCGATCTGTCCATCCCCAAAGACGAGGACGAGATGACCGCCCGAGGACGACACATTCGCATCGCCCAGGATGCTAGCTATATGACCACATGGGCGCTGTGGGTCCGAGAGGGTGTGGGTTGATGTGCCTACGGTGGGGTGATCGTGCGAATAATGAATGACAAACACACACCCAAAACACCGCAATGAGTGGCTCTGAGGTGCGAGGACAGTTCCGTGGTTGTGCGGCTCTAACCAGTGGGCGCGCGCGACTCGAAGACGGATGGCGAATGCGGGCGCTAAGCGTGGGAACGGGATGAATGAGGCAACGGTGCCTCCGAAATACGAGTGAGAGAGCGAGGAACGAGGGAGGTGAGAGACGGAAAAATGAACTAAATTCTCTATATTGTGTGAGTGTGTAGACATGGATTATATCTATGAAGAAAGAAGAGCCCGGCAAGGAAGATATCTGAGCCGTGGGTGAAGGAAGAAAGAAAAACAGAAAATTTCAGATAAGAATGAAACAGGAATGGAATAGGGGAGAGGCGGCGAGGCGGCAACTGCGTTGATGGGGGAAAAGGCTACCTAACAAGGAAAGGGTGGCGCGCCGAGTGTCTCGGTGAAACGGGAAAGAGAGGGAAAGAGGCGGTGCCGGTCACGGGACGGATGCTTTTGCTGACTGAGGATCTCCGGGTGTGTCAAGGAATCATATGGCACAACGGGAAAGGTGTCGGGGATCGAGGGAACGACGGGAATGTGATGACAAAGGTCGAAAAAAAGGGATTTACCGGGGTCAGGGAGCGGTCCAGTTCATCATCTCCTCCCTACTGAAATCATGACTGTCCCCAGTCATGCCGTCGATGGTCGTCGATGGTTGTCTCGTCCGTGCGTGATCCTTGTGTTGGAAATGGCAGGTGACTCGTTGGAAAGGTGGCGCAGCGTGTCAGAATGAAGTCGAAAGGGCGTTGTGTATGGCGAAGGACCAATGAAAATGGATAAAAATAAAATAGGACGAGAGGCTACGGCTCAGAAAGCCATCATAGATGTAGTCTTGGCGGCGGAATGCGAAGGATAACAGAAAAGTTCGAATAAAATGAAATCAGAGCTAAAAATAGAATGGGAACGATGGAGATGGGGTTGTTGTCAAAGACAAAAGTTGGGAACATGAAGTCGAAGGATCGAGTGGCTAGGTTACAGAACAGCAAAGTGAAAAGCAAGGAGTCATGAAAGAATGAAATCGGCGAGCTGGGGGAGTGTTGAGGCCGAGGTCCTCCCTACTGAAATAGGAACCATGCCTTCTAATCTTTGAAAGTGAAGTGAACAGCATTGAAGTCGTTGTAGGGATCGAAGGCGGTCGACTTGTCGGAATATCTTGAAGGCGAGAGTGCGAAAGGCCAAAGACGTCATCGAGAAGTCGAGAAGGAAAGGAAAGACGAGGAAAAGAATCAGAAGTGCGAATGGCAGTGATCTGGCGGTCGAGGAATGTGTTGTCGGATTTGCTGGGGCTATGGGCGGTGTCTTGGCTGCTAAAAATAACGACGTGAGGATGGAAACAGCGAGCGCGCATCCTAAAACAAAGAGATGAGTGGGCGCAATGGCTGCGAAATGGTGTACCGAGGATGTGGGCAGAGTCTCGTGTCGTCCGGACACGTTCTCGAGGGGCGGATCATTGGCGGGTGACGGATACTTGGGAACGAAATGCTTTGAGACATTTTGACTGTTTGTGAAGTGCAGTAGCGGCGTGTGCAGCGGTGTCGGTTGTCGAGACGTGTGTGGCTGCAGCGGATTGTTGTGAACGATCGCTGATGGGGAAATGAAAGGCTGAGAGTTGAAAATTTGACCGCCGGGGTCGAGAAGGGGTTCGAGGCGTCGATTTTCATCGTCTAGAGGGACATAGGAATGGAGAGTGGCTGAAGTCTTCGATTTAACGGGGTTATTGGGATCAGGAGTGTTGTCGGGATAGAGAGTGCGATAGGAGGGCTTGTATATGTCAAAATTGGCAATGGATGCGTCTGGTGGGCTGGGATATCGAGTGGAGGCGAGTGCGATGTTTGAATGGGTGATATGGAACGAGTTGGAAGCGTGTTCGGGCAGCGTTGTAGTGGTGGCACTCTCTTCGAGCCCAGTTGCTTGTTGACGAGTCTCCTTGGTTGTATGGGATCTCGTGGTCGTGGTTTCGGAGTTATGAGGTCGAATTTCGGGGGATAGGGACGGGAACTCGTGCAGGGTGATGACGGACGGAGTACTCGACAAAATGTCGCAGTTGGCAGGCGCCGATCCGATGTCGTTCACGGGTGGTAACATGAGATACGTGATGCCGAGTTTCTTGGGCGTTTCTTGCTCGAGTGCGGCGTCGACGGTCTTTTCTTGTGAGTAAACACAGACGGCGTCTGGTGCGTCTCGAATGGTGAGTTCTGGACCAATATCTTGTTCAGCGGCGAGCACAGGGGCGGCAGGAAGCGGCGGTGAGGCAGGAGAAACTTCTCCTTCATCCTGGAAAACGGCACGAGGCGTCTGAGCGAGCATTTGGGTGGTGGGCACGAAACTGGGTGGTTGTCGAGCACGGAGGGCGAGTAACTCGGCTTCGATGGCGGCGATGCGATCCTTCTTCGAGGTCTGATGTGTAGATCTAGTCGTAGTGCACAAGGGCGAATATTCGAGAGCGGAGGATGGTGTCGTCGAGTGGAAAAGGGTGCCGGTGGCGAGCTGGTTCAGATTTTGATGATGCCATTTGTCTACGCGATCCTTGAGTAAACGGCCAGGGATTTCTTTTGGGACGAAAGCTCCTGATGGAAGGACAACCTTTCCCTCGACGTTTCGCCTACACTTGCCAGCGCGAGAGTACTCGTTGACGAGATCACAATCCTGCATGAAATGAGCACTTCCGCAAAACTTGCAAGCTACCGGGGTCAGAGACGACGACGAACGAGGCTGGCGAGGCTGGTTCGACTGCTGAAGGGCTTCGACGATCGTCTTGGTGAGTTCTGAGAAGATGAGACCGAGGGCTTTGAGTCTGACAGAGTCTGGTGACGAAGAAGCCGTCGTAGTCGTTGCTGTGGGCGACGGCGACGGAATGTGGGCAGGAAATCCACGAAGAACGAATCGTGCAGCGTCCATAATGTTCTCGATGGTGTATGGCATGTCTGGGGAGTGATCCGGGTCCTTGATTTGCAGGTGTCGAGCAACGAGCAACCAAAAATTGTGCTGGAATCCTCGGGTGAATGCACGTTCTTGCTCCATCGTGGTGAGGCGATCTTTGATGACGAGGAAGGTCATAACAGCTGTGAATTCACGGTGGTAGTCGGCAAGATCATTGAGTGAGTGGATCCCAAGGCGATGGCAGCTGTCGACGATGTGATCCATGTCCAAGAGCGTGAACTTGAAGTTTTCGTCGGCCTCGGGGTACAGCTTGATTACGGTGATGTGCCTACGGTGGGGTGATCGTGCGAATAAGGAATGACTAACACACACCCAAAACACCGCAATGAGTGGCTCTGAGGTGCGAGGACGGGTTCCCGGTTGTGCGGCTCTAACCAGTGGGCACGCGACTCGAAGACGGATGGCGAATGCAGGCGCTAAGCGTGGGAACAGGACGAATGAGGCAACGGTGCCTCCGGAATATGAGCGAGAGGACGAGGAACGAGGGCGGTGAGAGACAGAAAAATGAACTATGTTCTCTATATTGTGTGAGTGTGTAGACATGGATTATATCTATGAAGAAAGAAGAGCCCGGCAAGGAAGATATCTGAGCCGTGGGTGAAGGAAGAAAGAAAAACAGAAAATTTCAGATAAGAATGAAACAGGAATGGAATAGGGGAGAGGCGGCGAGGCGGCAACTGCGTTGATGGGGGAAAAGGCTACCTAACAAGGAAAGGGTGGCGCGCCGAGTGTCTCGGTGAAACGGGAAAGAGAGGGAAAGAGGCGGTGCCGGTCACGGGACGGATGCTTTTGCTGACTGAGGATCTCCGGGTGTGTCAAGGAATCATATGGCACAACGGGAAAGGTGTCGGGGATCGAGGGAACGACGGGAATGTGATGACAAAGGTCGAAAAAAAGGGATTTACCGGGGTCAGGGAGCGGTCCAGTTCATCAGGGTGGAATGAATAATCCCAGTCGCCGCATCCAGCGCCATCAGCCCCACTCTCGCTAATGGATGGCTCTCCCAGTCTATGCGGGTGACGCCCAACGCAAGGATCATATTTCGTTGTGGGATAAAGTGGAGGGTGGAGTTCCGTTGGGGTATGGTGGTGACCCATTGCAGTGCTAAGGTGCTCGAGTCAAATGAGCGAATAACAGTCACTGGCTCGCTGTCATCTTCTTTGAGTATGTGCTCGTAGCTGCCGATCACCAAGGCTTTGGAAAAGGGGGAATCAACGGAGGTGTGTCCGCGAATGTGTGATTCTTGTTGAGTGTGAGGCAGGTTGAGATCTCGAGCGAAGTCGACCGTTCGGTGATCTATCAGTCGGGAATTGGACGACCAACGTGTAAGCCGCACACTCGAGGGATACCTGGAGTACATGGACGCCGTGATTACCGCCTCGGAAGTGCATTTAAGCAGTATTGAGGCGGGCCGTCCAGAGACGTACATGAAAATTCGCCCTTCACTAGGAACTTCGGCGGGTTCATGGAGAGTGTGTTCCAGCGCCAACTTGCTGTCTTCTGTCACCGCATAAACCTCTAAGATCCGTTCCTCTCCGTTCCTCTTGTAAATCGCTGCTCTGCCATTGACAACTCCAATAAGACCACCATTGACTGACCTGGATCCGTTTGATTCGAAAGGTCCGACAGAGACTCGATCGGTTAGATACCCGTCGCTCAAATCGTGCAGCAACAGATCGTACCATCGTTCGTCATCTCTGTGCACCTCCATCCCTGTCAAGACATGGCTTTGAGAGATCCCATAGTGCTCTGCGTAGGGGAATATCTGGCCCTCCAACCGTCCCCGAAGGATGGGCTCTTGCAATGGGATGCAATACCACAAGTACGAAGCCTTGGGGCCACGGGTAATCAGGTAAGGGTGACAAAACCAAACAGGCCAGGATGGGTGGTCAATGGTTTCAACATGGGGCAGCGAGGTGGGGGGCATCTGCTGTGAGTGGATTGTGAATGAGCTTGTCAGGGTAGAAAATTGACCAGAATATCAAGGCAGTTCAGACCAAGACACATTGCCAAGGACGGAAGATTGTATTGAGTGCCCGCTTACGTAGGGGATCCCGTGAAAGCGCTGCGCACCGAAACAAACAACAGACAGAGGGCCGTCATACTTATGCTCTGTATGAGCCGTAGCTACTTATGCACAACCCTTTCCCATGAACACGGTCTACGGTACGGCTGAGTGTTGGAGTGCAATTAGGGTGGAGAAATGCTGTCGAGTCAGCCCCATTTTGGAGTCCCGCGCATCTGCGCCGCCAGAATATGAGTGGCCCGGGAACCTCCGGGTGGGCGCTTACGGAGCCTTCCATCGCAGGTGCATGGCCTTGATGTGCAACTTAGGTCCGACGAGATAAGCATATTTGCTGGGTGTGTCGTCGCTTGTTGAGCCACTTATTCTTGTGAACATCGTTGCCACGAATTCCGGGCGAGTTCACCATGCGACACATAAAATTTGGTGGTTACTCATCACGGTGCTTCGGTGTCATATTCATTCGCCCCTGTCAAAAAGACCCATGGATTATATATCACTATTTAACTATTCCTGTTTCCCCAGTTCCACACATTTTCTCCGACTCCTGGTCACAGATACATTGGCTTTTCTGGGCAGAAGGCAGATCCCAGTTCATAGGAAGAATAGCCAGTCTCAACCCATGATAAATCTGCTCCATATAAAGTGCGTTTCAGATACCCAACCAGATACTCCGGGTACGCCGCATGAGAGCTTTCTGCCATAACGCAAGGCCGACTCGGAGGCTTCAATCAGTGTTATCTCATGTTTGTCCAAATTATCGCCCTTCTATTCTTCCTTGCGTGATGCCTTATGTCCTCTAACAGCACCCACAGGCATTTCTGACCGCGCTGGGACATTGACAGCTGACAGTTCTCCATAGCCCCTTGCCCACAACGTAAGGTCCCTTTGCTCGTCGTATGACAAAAGCCTTCAACCGATATTTCTCCCAGAATTCGTCTCTATGTGCAATTTCTATCTCTCTTTTCTACGACTTCTATGTTGTGAGCCATTCATCCTGTACTCGCCGCATCTTCTATACGATACGCCGCGATAATGGCTTGCTGGACATTCACCCACTCTGGCCTGGTCCAAGACCTAGCCGCAAACAATATCCTCCCATCGACCTTGCAGTGCATCAAATAGGACCTCGCTAGCGTAAGATAGCAGTTCAGGAAGTATGTCTTCGGTCGAATTGGGCGGGGCGAGAAGTTGGAAAGGTCTATCTGTACTGGCTCATCATTGTTGCTGAAAGAGAATCCAACGCCGCAAGCCCGCGAAACATGAGTTATGAGGAGTAGCCTCTTGGCTTTGGTTAACTCTAACCAAGGCTACGGATTTCATTCGTCAGCAACCTGTCAATGCAAGGGCGTCCAGGAAGATGGGTTTTACTTGCCTCAATAGTGACCGTGGATGCGGTTGCTCAATTGTCCTCCTGGATATGTGGAGGTCTTTTAGTTAAGGTCACCGTCGAAAAGAAAACCAGTGAAGATACCCTGGCTCTGACGCTACTTCCGCTATCAGTAATCATCCAGACTCTAGGTGATGTCTTCCTGAAAAAGCTGCAACTGGTGATTGAACGGGGCTCGTTCTGGTTTTCAATGATAAGCAGTGAATTCTTTTTAACCTTTATAACCAGATCCCCTTGTACTTTGTTATTATCCTCACAACCATTTGTTACCCTCCCATGTATTTGTTGAAAAGACGACTTGCTGCCTTGTTCCCTGCCCTTTACATGTTGTTGTCATGGTGGGCGCCCATCCTTGTGGACAAAAGAATCCCATCCCGTGCACATCCACTGTGGGAAGCCAGGGCATTTTTAAAAACTACGCCAGGATGCAGTTAATTCTCATAGCCCGCATAAGTGTTTGAAATAACCACCTGTATGGCAATATATAAAACTACACCTGGTGGTTTTATGCCCTGCCGGAAGAAAGTGAAAATAACCGCCAAAAGGACTCTTTTGGCGGTTAATACAACTAAGCTCTGGCGGTTTGTCTGCCTTGACTGATGATGTGCCTACGGTGGGGTGAGCATGCGAATAATGAATGACAAACACACACCCAAAACACCGCAATGAGTGGCTCTGAGGTGCGAGGACAGTTCCGTGGTTGTGCGGCTCTAACCAGTGGGCGCGCGCGACTCGAAGACGGATGGCGAATGCGGGCGCTAAGCGTGGGAACGGGACGAATGAGGCAACGGTGCCTCCGAAATACGAGTGAGAGAGCGAGGAACGAGGGAGGTGAGAGACGGAAAAATGAACTAAATTCTCTATATTGTGTGAGTGTGTAGACATGGATTATATCTATGAAGAAAGAAGAGCCCGGCAAGGAAGATATCTGAGCCGTGGGTGAAGGAAGAAAGAAAAACAGAAAATTTCAGATAAGAATGAAACAGGAATGGAATAGGGGAGAGGTGGTGCCGGTCACGGGACGGATGCTTTTGCTGACTGAGGATCTCCGGGTGTGTCGAGGAATCATATGGCTCGATGGGAAAGGTGTCGGGGATCGAGGGGACGACGAGAATGTGATGATGAAGGTCGAAAAAAAGGGATTTACCGGGGTCAGGGAGCAGTCCGGCTCATCACTGAGCTAGGTTTTATTTACGTTGTTTCTGGGTGTATGATTTTCTGCCGACATTCATAGTAAATTTCATTGCCTGAGGTAATTACATGGCTTGTGCTAGGTCTTGCGCCTCATACCTGTATCGACCCTTGCCCTCCCTATCTTCTCTGGCCGTCAATCTCGCATAGGCGTGGTCTCTTGCGTCGGATCTCCATCGATTGTGCGTCGGACTCCTGAGATCGTTACAGCGCCAGCGGTGGACTGTATTCCGGCGGATGCACTGAGTGGGGGACCTTTTGTGCATAGAGATGACTCACCGTATCTTCAGCCTTTCCTGCTCTTGGCCGCTCGCTTACATCTCAACATCAGGAGGCATTCATTCTAATGCACAGGCAGGGCTGCAACAAATCAACAGAAGGCAAGTGCATGATACGCTCGTGTAGAAATGGGCACTTATGCTCATTGCAGTCCTTCACCGTGTTGCCAAGCCTGACAAAGCAGCGTTAGGTTTCACATTCCGGGTGGTATTTCATGGCCCAGCATCGGGAATTGTGGGATAGCAGCGGCGGTGGGCTGTGGGAGGAACACGGTGATAAATCATTTATCTCCTGCTCAAGAATATATACGCACCGAAATATTGAGCGCGAGAGTTCACAAAGCCAACGGCAGCAACATGCTACGCCGAAGGGAATGCCAAAACATGAAAAGAGGCCCGTACAGTTGCGGTGCAGGTGTCAGGGGGCGATTTAGGAACCGTGTACTGTGCCTTTTCCACGTCAAACTCCCAAACGCCCACCCTGGACCTGAGCTGAAGGTTGACACCGAGGACACAGGTGGTGGAGAGGTGTGTACGCACACGAGATGGACGACCAGGTATCGTGCGGGTGAAATGAAGGTAGTAGAGTAGATGAGGCGTAGGGCGGAGAGCGACGTCGCTGATGCAGAGGGGCAACGGGCATGTCACAAAACCTGCCCTGGTAGCTCAGGGACAGGAGCCGCATGGAAAAGAGATGGCACAGATCGCACCTTTGCAAACAATTGGGAGCTGCCTCCTGCCCGATAGGTGTCTGCAGTTGACGAGGAGCATATATATGTGAAGTCAAATGGGAATGAGCGCATACACTCAACAAAATTGGAACTCACGTTCCCAATTGGCTGTGATCAGCCCATCGGAGTCCGGATCAGCCAGATCGGAACACGTAGTTCAGTTCTACAGGTGAGCTAGTCAAGTTTTCAGCAAACGGATGCCCATCTTGAGCCTCAGATGGGGGATCGGGACAGAGATGTGGTAGACATGGAGGTAGGAGATGGTGGTAGGAGGGAAGAAGGAACATGTCGGAGGCAGGAGTGACGACGGCAGCATCACGTGGTTGCCGTATGTTTGGCAGCGGCTTGTTTGTTCCAATAGGCAACCAAACAAAATGAGGATTTTTCGCTCATTTTGTTTGGTTGCCTATTGGAAACACGAAGTTGTGCGCGATCGATTGGCGTGGTCATGAAAGGCCGCGGCCTGCGCATGTAAAAGTGTCACGACGTCATGATGATGGGGAATTTAACTCCCGATTGGCAGCTATTTCGCTATTTTTAGACACGTTTAATTTTACATTTCCTCAAACTGTCAAAGGAACCGCCATTCCCGGGCAGTTTCGGCCGATGCAGTTTTAAAAACCGCCAACGCTTCCCACAGTGCATCGCAGGGTCGGGAATAACGTTATGAGTCCAGGAAGAACAAGGTCTGTATCAATGATCAGAACAGAGTTTCGTTCTTTCCAACTGAAGTTTCGAGGTGAGCAACATTACGAGATATCCATCTTCAGGGACCTCGGAGGTAATGGACCGTGTCCTCGCAATACAAGAGTGTTGTTATAATCAATGCGTGAAATATGAGTCAATGCTACAGGTTGAGGTAGATCAAGTACAAATGCATAGCCTATGTAAGCTGGGTGAGGATAATGCGAATCCTTTCGTGTCCGTTGAATTTCAGGAAAGATAGAGAGAAGGTAGGTGAGTGAGTGAGGTCTTGCTATCGCGGATAGGCTTCTAGTACACGAATCGGGTCATCAATGGCGGTGTTTGGGTGAACCTGTATCATCCCCGAGGCTAGTCGGGTAGCTCTCAATGAGGTGGTGAGCGGACAAGATCGTGACCATCCTGCTGGTGCAGACGAGCGGCGCGTGGGCTAGCAGAGTTGAAATGGTTGTTAGTGAACTAGTGACAGGCCAGAGAGAACAAGGTCGGCACGCACAAGCTTATTTCGGAATACTGCCAGTCGGGCCCTGGAACAACACGTCCAGAGGCCCTTAGACGACCTCCGCGAAGTGTCGAGAAGGTTCGTAAGCCCGCTCTGATGTCAGAGAGAGCCCTATTCCAGTCATCCGGTTCATGTCGAGAGGTAGGAAGTACATTGAGATCTTTAATCAGTCCCACAACTCGGAAAAATGAATGGAATGGTTTGTTTGGGAGATAGAGAGTCAGGACGCCGAGTGGAAGAGCCAAGAACGCCAGGCCGATTGAAATGCACCATTCCCTCCATCTAAGGGGAACGATGCCTAAATGTCGACCTCCAAACGAGACAATAAAAGTCTGCATAGTAATCTCTAGAGTATTGTGTCGGTCTCAGTAGTTCGACCACGATGAGAATTTAAACGTACCGAGGAAAATTATAGCCATGAAATACATGTTTTGTGCCAAGCCCTCGAAGACGTTAAGGCGCTTGTCGAGACTCCGACAATTAAAAGTGTTGAATATTTGACAAAAAACGAAGGTGTTGAAAACAAGTGTATTGATTGTCCTTGTTCCCTCTTCCGTGGGAGGAAGATCGAGAACTTTGCGTCCATAGAAATGGATTGGAAAGAGTATGACGGCCTGATAAACGACCTGAGCTAAAATCATCTTCAACATCGGCGTCGTAAACAAAGGTATTTGAACAGTAGATGGTTTTCGATCAAGCAGTTTCTCTGTTTTGGGATCTGTTACGAGTCCCAAAGAGGCGAAAGTGTCCATGATGACGTTGACCCATAGAAGCTGAACGGGAGAGGGAACTGAACGACCTGTGCTAGAAGCTATCGCCGTCATGAAAATGAGCAACCCAGCAGAGACATTGACAGTAACCATCATCTGTAGGAACTTCCGGATGGCGTCATGCATGTTCCTTCCCCAGAGAACTGCTTGTATGATGCCGCTGAAATTGTCGTCCATAAGAACAATGTCGGAAGCCTCCTTTGCAACTTCTGTTCCAGAGATACCCATTGAAAACCCGACGTGGGCAATCCTAAGGACAGGGCTGTCGTTAGCATTTTTCCCTGTCACAGAAACGATCTCGTCGAGCATCCTTAAGACCCTGATAAGGAGATCCTTGTCTTCCGCTGAAGATCGCGCTAACACCTGAAGGCGTGGTACAATTTCAACCAACTCTGCTGTTGTTAGCTGGCGAAACGTGGGTCCTTCCATGATGATACCACTGGGTGTAAAAATGCCACACCGTGTCGCGAACGAACGGGCAGTCAGCACGTTGTCCCCTGTACACAGCTTAATGGATATTCCAGCACGGTGGCACTTCTTGACATCCTCTTCAGCATCAGGGTAGAGCGGCTCATCGAGGCCTATAACGCTCAGAAGAGTCAGATTGTGCAAGAGACCATCAAAGGGTACCTGCGAAGGCTTATCAGAAATCGGTGAGTATAAGGGTATCAGCACGTAACGTACCTCTCCTTCGTCGTCCAGCTCTTGTCCCAAAGGAGGCCATGACGAAAAGTCCCGATAACAAAGCGCCAGAGTGCGTAGACCTTCATTGGCATAATCAATTGTTGTTTGCATGATTTTTTCCCTGGCGAGATCCTCGAGGACGCTAGTCCGTATGGTGCTTGTAGGGCGCATGTTTTCTCGAACAACGACGTGTTTCGTGGAAACATTCGCAAGGATCTCGCTGGCGCCTTTAAAATATGCTCGATACTGGCCATCCGACAGGGTCACGACGACAGCCATACACTTCCGTTCGCTCGAGAATGGGAACATTCGGACGACCTTGGCACGATCTCGAGTCCTAACGACATCGGAGGCGACCATCCCAAGGGATTGTCTGGCAAATTTAAGCAGTGCGACCTCGGTCTTGCTTCCCTCGAAGGTTGTTTCTCCGTCGGTACTATGTGTGGTATTTTCGAAAGCGGTCGAATTTACGACAAGCGATTCCGTGAAGGCCTTCTTGAGTTCCTTGGGAAGAAAGCCGGAAAGTTGGTCCTGCTTGAGAAAGAGATGGTGGGGGCCGAGGTCGTGTTGAGTGCCAGAATGAGGAGTGTGGTCCGCTGTAATCGTGTGGCCTTCTCCAGAATCACGACTAAATTTAGCGTGTATCCCAATGGTCCCGGAAACGACTGTTAGGCGATCCTCATTCACGAAGGTGGCCTTGTTGGAGCAGATTACTGATATGCCACCCAGGAATTCAGAGGCATGCACAGTACGGACGAGAATTCCTTCTCGAAACATTCGCTTCGCTGCAAAGGAAATGGAAAGGATAGCCGCCAGCGGAAGGCCTAGGAGAAGCCATTAAGCTTCGGGTGCACGAGAGAGAAACGTGCATGCACCCACCTTGAGGAACTGCGACGACAACAAGTACAGTCGCAACAATGAGAATGCTAACAATAGCAAAACCTTTCTCAAGTGGTTGCCTTTTCCAAGGGATCAACCCCATAAACCACACTTGCGAATATGATATACTGACCGTTGTGGGGCATCCTTGCCGAATTGAACGAGGAGACGGAAGAGAAGGGCGATAAACAACGCGAGACCTATGCAAGAGCCTATCTTGGCAACCAATGTCGCAAATCCGTTCAATTTATCTTGCAATGGTGTTACGGTTCTACTGCTTTCCAGTGCTGCACCGAGAGTAAGCATCGATCCTCGCAAGACAAACGACAATATTTCACGCACACGTTTGGACGCGGCCGCTGAGAGATCTTCGACCGACCGCGACGACAATGTACTTTCCAGCACCCTCTAATACCTTACTGCCCGAAAGGATGAAGCAATCGCCGTAACTGTGGGGGACTTCGACCGAGGCGTCATCCTTCTCGCAAGTTGGAGTGGTGGCGACTTTAGTAAATGGGTGTTTGCGTATCGCGTCCGATTCGCCAGAGAACCAAGATTCGTCGCACTTGACGTTATGACCGGACAAAAATATTCCGTCGCAAGGAAGAATTTCACCGGGTTGAAGGAGGCCAACGTCGCCAACGACCAGGTCCTGGGCATAGAGTCCTTCCGATAAGCTTCTTCGAAAGGAGGTCAGAATACGCACCTTGACGTCAATCACTTGTTCGACACCATCGCGGATGACCTTGGTCGTTCTTTCGTTCTTTCGTTCATGGAGGAACTGAAGTTGTCGCTCTCTGTTCCAGTCATTCAAGGCGCCAACGAATACCTTTCGGAAGAAGCGTTAATGATAAATAACAATTTTGGAGGATACATACGATGATAATGATGCCCACGAGAACAGCCAGGCCTTCCACCCAGTATGCGTTGTATGTGCCCTTTGGCGAGAGAAATGCGCCTATTACAGCAGAGACGAAAGCCGCAGTGGAGAGTAGGATCTTTGGAAGATCAAGTCAGGTTGGTCCTCGCCGCCGATGGTGGGTCCGCGCACCAGAACGTTATCTTGAAGAGCGAGCCAAATGAGAAGCAGGAGTGGTTTACTGTTGCGTATCGGGACAACGTTTCTTCCGTAAACCCTCCTCCGTTCCTCGATAACCACGTACGACGCCTCGTGATCCGCTTGGCTTTCTGTCGGTGTCGGTGCTGTCAGACGAATCGCCGGAAGTTCTTCATCGCTCTCGTGTTTCTCTTCCAGCTGTCGCTCACGTAGTCTCGACTCGATTACAGGCCTGCCGTTCTCTTCGACTGGAGTCAGTTTGGTCACTATACCGTCCTTGGTGCTGGTTTGAAGGCCCTCGATGACCCCAGAAGCACCACCTAATGCCATCAGTCCGTCAAGGCTCTTAAGCTCCACCAGCGATGCGAGTTGATTTGGTTTGAAGGGAAAAGGAGAAGGATCAAGGTCGTCATCAATGAGATCGACCTTGTTGAGGGTTTGAGCTTCGAATTTGTCGGTTAGAGATTGGTCCAGTCTTGGATCAAGATAGCGAGGGTGGTGATTGTTGAGAAATGTCGCCGAATTGGCTACTGAGGTTGGACGTTGAATCTCGGAAGCCAGTGTCGCAACATCACTATCCACGTTGGGGCCTCTTCTGGGCACCTCCACTATCTCGGCTATTGCGACGACATCGTTTTAGCTGCCAGATACCCAATACGAGTGTTGAAGACGATAGTGGACACCCACCTATGAGATTGCCAGACATACCGAATCGGATTGGGTCCCCAGAAGGATGCCCGTCGCTGGCGGTCCCAAAGCCACTGACCGTTGACAAGAGGGCCAAGGATTGCGATGAAAGGAAGAAGGGTGAAGACAATTGATGAACTCTGGATAGTCACGCCCCACCCAAATCTCCCACCGCACGTAACGTGTTTGGGGTCTTGATCCGAATTTGACAGTAGCGCCGGCGACGGAGGAGCAAAATTTTCAGTTCAACTCTTCTAAAAATAATTCACTGGGTGAAATCGGGGTGAAAAGCGAGATCTTAGGATGCGGGAACGTAGCTGCAACGTGGGCTTGAGGCGTGAGCGCGATGGCAAGTGTTCGCGGCGATTTAAGCGCCCATCTGCTCTCCGAATACTAACGCCGACCCAACTATCGGACGGTGACTGAGTCTGCATAATTGGGATACATGAATAATTTATAACCATAGCGAGGAAGATTTTTGAGGACGAACATTGAAACTGATGCTACTTAAATAGAAATGGGAAAATGAGGCGAACTAGGTAGACAATCAGCGAGCGAAGCGTTGTCCTGTGGTTTTTCGGTGGAGCCGAAGTGACCACCTGGTCATTATCGGGAGGGGTTTGCAAAAATCCAACGGACTGCCAGTATCTCACCCAGCTTCTCGCGTCTAGAGCGCCAACAGGCTTCACAAGCCTCATCGTGACACTCACGTCCTGCGCTTTCTTTGTCTCGAATTGGCACATCCCGCCAACCTCAGCTTCGTCCCTTCCGTTGCGGAGAATCTCCGCATCAGCCCTAGCCATATTCCGATAGAAGTCGAGCAATTTGATTCCGGGCTTAATAGGCAGCGGTAAGACTCGCGCAAAGATATGAATCGTGAAAAACTCACCACAAGCTGGAGATCCGCCTCATCGCCGTATTTGGCTCGTTCTTCGAGCCTCTCGACCCACTGTGAAAAGGGAACGAAGGGTATTCCATCCACTCCATCCCTAGGTGGTATCTCCTTCGCGATCGCCTGCATGATATCCTGCCATAAGACCGGCCGTGGATGGACGGCGTTCAAGGCAAGGGGCGGCCGTTCTGGCGTGAGAGCAATGTCGAGAATGGCTCGGGACGCAGCGTCCATGGTTAGCCATGAGACGGACTAGAGACAACCGTCACGACAGGCAGACAGAGCGGAAAGAAAAAGACATACCCCATGTGCCTGGGGTAAAGCGCCTAGCTCGACGCTCGACTTAACGAGGATCGGTAGCCATTCCGTACATGCCCAAGCGCCGTTCGGTAGTCCACCACTAACTTGACCTAACCTGATTGAAGTAGCTTGGAGGCCGCTACGCTCTAGCATCTGCCGTCATGTCATCATAAAGAAAGAACGAGGAGATTGCAACCACTCACCTTCTCAGCGACGTACTTGCTCTCGCCGTACCCTGTTCCCAACGCAAACGACTCATCGCTGACAATCTCCTCGGGGTAGGAACCTTTCGCTTTGTCCCAGCCCTGCGCAATGGCCACGGAGGAGATGAAGATGAATCTAGTGTTCGCCCCATGGTGGCTGCTCCGAGCGAGATCCACGAGGTTGCGAGTTCCTTTGATGTTTGATTCGAAGGAGGTAAGGCCAAGGTTGAAGTCGACCCTCCACGCAACGTGGATGATAAGATTCACGGCGGCTTGAACCTGCGAAGTCGCCAAAATCTCGTGAAAACAAGTATGGACCAAGAAATGAATACCTACCTCCTGGTGAAGCTCGGAGGAAAGCCCGAGGCGGTCCTCCGACACGTCACACTGCAGTAACTTCAATTTGTCGGTTCTCAGCAAGCCGACTTCGAGACCCATGTCCTCGAACTTGGATTCATGGCGCCGCAGAATCGGTTCTGAACCCTTTCCTGGCCGATTCAGGGCATAGACCCTGCTCACCGAGTCGTCTCGCAGAAGGTCGGCAAGGACTTGAGAGCCAACGCTGCCTGTCGTACCCGTTATCAGAACAACAGAACCTTCGCGCTGGAATGCGGACTGATCATGTGTAGTGTTGATCGGAATGGGAGCGTCAAGGCCGTCGGTATGTTTTTGGATCATCGCAACCAGGGCCTCCTTCCCACGATTTGCGGTTGTTCCACTCTCATCCCCGTCAATGACAAGGACAATAAAACGTGCAAGGTCTTGAAGAATAGGGTGGGTGTAAATCGTGTTTTGACCTATTTTCCGCGTATGGTCTCTTAGTGTGGGCGATGAGTGGAAGGCGCCGACGATGCGTAGACGGAGGAATGTTGAGCTAAGGCTGAGTAGATAGCGAAGGCAAAGTCAATATCGATCCGAGAGTTACTAGCAGTGGTGTGCATACCTGTCGAAGCCTTGGTCGAACAAATCTCGAGACGACGAAATATCCTGGCGAGACAAAATATCGTTCGCCTGGGTCGTAAGCCAATAAAGAATGCCATCAAAATCCCAGGTTCTCGGAGGCTCGACAACGTTTCTCCCTGATGTAACTTCAACAGAGGTGTATCTAAGAAAGTATTCGCGTTAGGCGTTGCGATGCTTAGAACAGTAGACGTACAAGTCCTCTATCTCTACCTCATAGAGCTGAAGCGCAGCCTTGCGCATAACTGAACCTTTCGGGGACCGCGGTAGAGGCTTCTCTCGCTTGGTAATGAGAACCATTTCCTTGTATATCTTACTAAATGCCGGCGCGACTTCGTTGGCTTCCTCGATAGTTGGCCATATCTCGTTTCGGAATTGTGAGACTTCCTCTAGATTTGCGGGGTCAACGTTCCGCCCCGGAGCGGGTTCTATAAGGATGCCAGCCTGATCATGGCTTCGTCCAAACATTACCGCAGCATGAATCCTGTTGGAGAAACAGCATCAGCATTTCTCCGAGCCACCAGAACGTTTCGAATCCGCTTACAATGGGTTATTAATAACGATGCCTTCCATGGGGCCAGGTACTGTCTTCTCTCCAGTCGAATGCATAATCACGTCGTCCATGCGGCCAACACTGATACCGTGAAAGAAGTCTCAGAAATGTATCCCTCGGGCGCAGCGGTGACAGCGAACTCACACCTTCCACAGATTGGGCTCTGTGGGATGTTTGATGAACAAATCTGATGTCGCGTACCCTCGCGGGTTTGTCATGTTTTCGATGGCTGGGTGGTGCCTGTCCGTGGTCTAGGTGATTGTCAGTCCATGGACACCAGGATCGAATGAGGTCTTACTAGGAACTGACACTCGTACGTGCCATCGCCTTGGTCGGCCCAGTTCACTGTCGTTGTGTCGGCGAGGCGGATCCATTCCCAGTCTTGCTCGCGCCAACGTTGGAGGCGTATCAGAGTGGGAGACCCGAACTCAGTCCCACCGTACGATCCGTGAAGGTTCACGCCAGCAGCCACGATTTGATCGCCAACTTTCTGAGAGAGCGGGCCGCCGCCGTAGATCTGAACAATGAAACATTGAGGAACAAGTCACGGAACGTGGATGGAGATCTTACAACGAAAATGAAGGATTTCAGCAACTCGACGGTCTCGTCCAGCTGGTTCTGCATCCAGAGATGGAGCCATGCAGGGACGCTCGCAAGGCAATTGCACTCTGTTTTCTTCAGATGCTCGAGGATGTTGTCCGGCGTTGGTAGCATGGGGTGCGCATCAGGAGAACGGACGATGGGGGGATAAACCGCGGCGCTGACAATCCCATACAACGGCAAAAACGTTTGCAAGTACATCCCTATAGTGTGGAAGGAGGGTAGGGCCATAGTTCCCATTCGAACGCGCTCATGGTGTGCGATGAGCTGCGGCAAGCCTGGAGAGGTTTTTTAGAATAGCGTGCAACGTCACGAGGTGAACAAACTCACTCATGGTGGTCCATTGGATCAATATGCGGTGGGTTTGAGGGATACATTTTGGGAATCCAGTGCTTCCGGACGAGTGGAGGTACATGGCAACCGCGTCAAGATTTGGTCGGCTTGGAGGTGGCGGATAAGGTTCGAAAGGGTCTGTCTCGGACTCTGTCCCGAGCATCGGGAAAAGCGCGTCAAGGGTGGGTGACTCCAGGATATTCAAATCCATGCTTGATATTCGGGCGAGCTCGTCGAAGAGGCCCTTGAGTGTAGTCCGCGTTCCGACGATGGTGGAACATGACGCGTCTTGGAGCAGCTTGATGATTGCAGGCGGGGCATTTCGTGGCGATATCGGGAACGGCTGCGTTAAAAGAATGAGAACCAATCGAAATCAACGTAGACCATAGGCGACGCACCACGAAACCAGCCTTCACGAGTCCGATCGCGACGGCCTGATACACAATCGTGTCGACAAGAGCAATGACCGCGACAACCCGTCCGTCATCGCCTCCGCGACCAGGTCGGATAATATGCGCGGCTCGGTGGCACGCTCTACCGAATTCTAGATGAGACAGCTCAACGAGCTGAGTCGAATCATGAAAGACATAGTAAGGCTGGTCCTTGTTCCACTGGAGGTTGAAGTCGATGGCTTCAGCGACGTTGACTGAGCCGTCGCGCGGAGGGGGCACGGGCTTCGCGTGTCTGGCCATTAGCACGAGTTTCGAGTCGATGGTGACAGGGTGGGAAACGATGTTCAAAGGTCGTCGAGCCTTATATCTAGCCCGTGAGATTGACCGGTGCCCTGATGGGCTCAGATCCCTCTCACGCCCAAGCGTTAAGAAGACTAAATTCCTGTGAGACAAAGTTTCGGCTCTCGAACTTCCAGGTCCAAGCAGACTTGATCGCACTGGATAGCGTGCATTATCTCCTGCAGGTAACTTCAATTCTAGTGATGGGGCATTAATACGACCGAAAAGAAGACAGACCAGTACTGCCGCCAGGTTGTTTCAACTAAGTACTTATTCCAGCGTGGTGCTACTAAACACGCTCGCGTTTGGGGGTGTCCATATGTTTCTGATGTACGAAATTAGAACAATAAATTCTCTGATAATAACTAACAATATGTGCTCACCTTCGCTAATACAATATTGCTTCCCATGCGAAACCCTATAGACCAAGGTATCTGCCCAATCATCACGGGCGTCGAATATACTTCGTGTATCATGGGCGACGAGACAGATGGGCCTCCATCGGCGGAAGCTGACAGTGGTTTGTAGAAACTGAATAGCAGGAAGGACTGGTGAATGTGTGCTGATGGAGCTAAAGAATCGTCCTACTTAGCTAACCTTAATTGCGACGACGACGACACAGGACGAGAGCTTCTAGCTCTCTCTCGACCAACCAGGCAGCGAGGTTATGCAGGTCGCGGAGCACTTGATGATCAGGATCGTAGCCATCAAGGATGACGCGGTTCGTGGAAAAGACGAGTTAGAGTTCACGCATTCATGGACTTCGGGTCGGAGTTTCAATCGGCTCATTTGCCGACAACCCGATTCCCACCCCTGAACGATCAAACGACTCAAAATTCCCCATTCCCCGAATGTAGAAACCTTTGCTCAATTCGGAAGCGTCATAATTGAATATTCAACGTTGATTCAACGATTAATCTTCGTTCACTCTCCGTATTGCATCGCTTTGTATTCATTTGTATACCTGTGCTATTCCTCTTTGAGCATTTTCCCTTCATTTTATGCCTGGGATATTCACTCATTTCATTCCTGTTTTATTTGTTCTAGTATTCGAGTATCTAAGTACTCGCGTCGTCTTCTCTCAGCCCTTCTCAAACGGCTGAGACTTCGTGCCAAGATTCTTACAGACAGAGGGTGGTGCGGGAGAGGAGCATGCCTTAGAGAAAGCAGCTGGTAGTGCTGTTCGAATCTCTTATTACACAAACATTCATGGAATAAGACGTGCGTCACATACAGCTTGATTATTGAAGTCGCAGTAAGTATTATTAAATTCAAAGCACAAAGATGAATGGAATTCGTCGATTAGACCAGGAAGCCGACCCCTTTCCAATACGCGATCCACCGTTGAATGTCCACCTCTGCGATGGGCGGCACCATCCTCATCGTTTCGCTCACGTTCTGGATGCAGCTGGTACTGAAATCACCCATCCCTGCACTCTCCATGCAGTGGTTTCCCGGTTTCTTACCCAAGATTTGGTCAGCCTTCGCCAGTTTACAATAGAAGCTGAGGAGCTTAATTCCAGGCTACCGGAAGAATAAATTCGTCTGAATATTTTCTAGTGGAATGAAGGGACTTACGATCTTCTCAAAATCATTAGCGGCCGGATTCTTCGCCCTTTCCTCCACCTTCTTGAACCATTCGTAAAATGGGATAAGAGGCAATGGTGTTGTCGACCCGCTCACAATCATGAGCTCGGATGAGATCACACCCATGATTTCTTTCCATTTCGTTGGTCGAGGGTGAACGAGATTCAACGCGAATTGGGCTTGCTCCTTGGCGAAGGCTACATCGAGGATGGTTTGTGCAGTAGCGTCCATAGAGACCCACGAGACCACCTTATTGAATGTCAACTCAGGAAAAAAGAGGAAGTAGGACTGTACCTACCCCTTGTGCATGTGGAAGCGCTCCTAGCGCGAGGCCAGACTTGACGATAATTGGCACCCAGTCGGTGGTAGCCCAAGCGCCGTTAGGCTGTCCGCCGCAGACTTGGCCGACACGGATCGAGCTGGCCTGAAGGCCACTATGTTCAAGCACCTACAAAGGGGTGAGACCGAAAACAAATTCGAGAGAAATGGCACATACTCGTTCAGACACATATTTGCTCTCTCCGTACCCATTGCTGATGGCATACTTTGGGTCGCGGACAACCTCCTCTGGGTAAGGTCCTTTCGACTGATCCCAACCCAGCGCAGAGCCAACCGAAGATGTAAAAACAAACCGAACGTTGGACGCGTTCGGCCCCTGTCGCACGAAGTCGATGAGGTTCCGTGTTCCGCGGACATGGGGCTCGAACGATGAGAGCGTGAGGTTGAAGTCGAGTCTCCAGGCGATGTGAATAATACTCGTAACACGTTCTTGGAGCTAAAGGAGGAATCAGAACCGCGTAGCGACAATGGAGATGAGGCAATACCTCTCGATAACTCTCGACGCCCAACCCAAGCTCGTCCGACGCCTCCCCTTCCAGGAGGTGCAATTTCGGGTGCTTCAGTAATTCGACATCAAACCCTTTATCCCTAAACATAGCCTCATGTCGGGCAAGCATACCATCTGTGCTGCTCGGCCGATTAAGCGCGTAAACCTCTTTCACGCCTTCATCTTGAAGCAAGAAGAACAGGACATGGGAGCCAATATTCCCCGTTGTTCCCGTAAGAAGCACTGCGTCCTTGGGGGATGACGTTGATTTAGACAGTGGGAGTGGTGCGTCGAAGCCCTCGCTATATTTCTTGATCATATTCTCGATGGCGGCGACCTTGCCCTTGGTGGTGTCGCCGTCAACCGGTGTTTTCAAGAGATCAAGAATGAATTGCGCAAGATCGACGATGACTGGATGAGCATAAACGACATTCTGTCCCAGGGAATCCTCCACTTTGGCAAACTGCTGAGCCGTTCGCAAGGCACTGGAGATGCGCAGATGGAGGAACGTTGCACTTAGGCTGTAAAATAATCAGATACTAGGCCCAGGAGGATAAATAGGGGCATACCTGTCGAACCCTTGATCAAACAAGTCTTTCGAGGGGGAGATGGCGTTGCTGGACCGTATGTCATTGGCTTGCTTGACCAACCAATTCGTGAGACCGGCAATATCCCAGGATTTTGGAGGCACGATCTTGCCAGTCCCTGCAGTCGACTCTACGACGCGATATCTAAAAAAACATCAGCTCCCTCTATCGTAGAATAGAGCCTGAAAACTCTCACATTCTTTCAATGTCCTCCTCGTATAAGTTCAGAGCAGCCTTCCTCATGACTGTGCCTTTCGGCGAACGTGGGAGAGGCCTATCGCGCGATGCGATGAGAACCATCTCCTTGTAGATCCTGCTGAACGCCGGTGCATTTCGATTCGCCTCCTCGATTGATGGCCATATCTTGCTTCGAATGTCCGCGACCTGAGCTTCGTCCAAAATGTCTATTTCGTGGCCTGCAGCTAGCTCAACAAGAACCCCTGCTTGGTCATGGTTGCGACCAAACATGACGACGCTCCTTGCTCTAGAAATTCATCCAAATTAGCTTGGAAGCGAAACTCAGTGTAAGAATAGCACGCACATAGGGTTTCCGAGAATAACTTGCTCCATCGGCGCTGGGACAGTCTTCTCGCCCGCGGAATGAATGATGACATCGTCAATCCGACCAACACTGGTTATTTTCTCTCAATCAACACGCTGCTCCAAAGAGAGAGGAATCCCAATAGGTAGGACTTACATTTTCCAAAGTCCCTCTTTAGTGGGGTGGCGCACGAACGTATCGGACGTCGCGTATCCCCGCGGAGATCGCATATTTTCGATCGCAGGATGGTGGTTTTCCGTCGTCTAGTTTAAGCGCCGGTGCGTCAGCACTCAGTCGTCAGCGCAAGCGTGTTATGCGAGATCGTTTCTCACCAAGACCTGGCATTCATATGTCCCGTCGCTCTGAGGAGCCCAGTTGACGGTTATTTTCTCGCTAAATCGAACCCACTCCCAGTTAGACTCGCTACCGCGTCCGAGGGCAGGAACTGTTGTGATGCCAAACTCTGTTCCTCCATACAACGAGGAAAGGTTGATCCCGGCTGCGAGGAGAGCATCACCAACCTTGGCCGAAATCGGCCCACCTCCGTACCCCTGACAAGAGTGTTCTCTCAACAACAGATCTTTTGAAGCTGATTGATTGTACTTACGACGAAGACGAAGCTCTTCATGAGATCGAGCGCTTCTTGCGAATTGACCCAGGCATGCAGGAACGCAGGGACGATGATCAGGCAGTTTGTCTTCGTACTCTTCAAGTGTTTTAACGTATTGTCGGGGGTTGGGGGCATTGGCTGATCTCCTGACGAGTGTACCACAGGCGGGAAGACGCCGATTGGTATGATTCCGAACAGCGGTTGGATTAACTGGAGATAAATCCCGATTGTGTGGAACGGTGGGAGCGGCATGGTACCCATCACTAGCCGTGGCGTGTAGGATTTCATGTCAGGCAAACCTGCGAACACGCTAAGTAACATAGTATAGACAACGAAGGAAGAGGATACTTACTGACAGTGGTCCATTCCACCAAGGTGCGGTGCGTTTGCGGGATACACTTGGGAAAACCAGTGCTGCCGGAGGAGTGCAAATACATGCAGACCGATTCGAGAGACGGCCTTTGCGCGAGAGTGGAATAGGGTACGAAGGAATCATCTTTAACTTCTCTTCCGAGCTTAGGGAACAAATCCTCCAGGGTTGGAATTTCGACGAAGTCCAGTTTAAACGGCTCGCCGGCGGCAGCGACCTTCGCTTCCACCTCATCAAAAAGATTGCCCACCGTGGCCCGAGTGCCGACAATTTTGTGACACGAGGATTCCTGAAGAAGATGAATGATTGCCAGCGGGGAGTTTCGGGGCGATATAGGGAAAGGCTGGGAGATAAACTTGTGAGTATCAATCTGGACGAGCTATATATCATTTGATAAACACACCACTAATCCTGCTCGGATGAGCCCAGCGACGACCGCCTGATAGACTATGGTGTCAGCAAGAGCGATGACAGCAACGGTGCCGCTGCCCTTAGCAGTAGCAGGGTTGAAAATACGAGCAGCTCGATGGCAAGCTCTCCCAAACTCCAGATGGGAGACCCGAACGATATCTGAGCCATTCTTGCCGACGGAGAAAACGTAGAACGGGTGAGTTGCGTTGTGGTACAAGTTGAAGTCGATGACTTCTGGGATAGTAAGAGAACCGTCGAGAGGTGGGAAGACTGGTGCGCTGAGTTTCGACATTGGGAAGAACTGTTGTGGTTGTTGTAGTTAGTTGAGAGGCAGCCAGCTTTCGAGGGGAACAATTTATACCAGCGAGGTTTATGTCGTATGAGTGATTCTCCAAAGCGTAATGCGATCAGTAAGCGGGAGATGCGTCCGATGGGTCCTTCATCCACGACCGGTTGTCGCTTATTGTCACCGCCGTAAGTGGGATGTCAACGAGGCCACAAGAATTCCACGGCGCAAACTTCATTTGTACTGTTTATATCCATGGTTTGCCGGTGCACTTGAGGTAAAATTAGCGATTCACGATATTCATAGAACAGAACGTCATAAGAAGCAAAACATACCCTCCAACGGCACCGCACCTGATGGTATCGGCAGCTCTCTGCACTCAAAAATCTTCGTTGGTCGGCCGGCCTCGGTCTGGGTCAGAAATCGGTGTTTGAGTAGAATGGTAGACTGTGATCTCCCCACTGTGAGTTAGAGATGAGCACAACAGACACGTAACAGCGTAATCAAGAACGGCACGAACAAGGGGGGTCAATATGTCATCTGTCCTCGGCGGAGGACGGGGCTTCGAAGTGTGAAAACCCAATCCAATCCCGAAAGAGCAACATAGAGCCGTTCCTTCGGAGGCCCTAGAAGTAGCATCGCCGTCCAGCAGCAGTAGACAGTAAGCACACTTTCATCGTGGCCAGTAGGCGCGCACTCGATCTCGGCATTGAGTACAAATACTTACATCAAGAACAAGTCGCGGTTGGCTGCTGAGTCAGAGAGCGCCGGGCCGAGTTGCCGTCTACGGTGGGCGTGGGACTCGGAGCGATTTCTTTTCGATGTGGTACTTCTGTCGTCTTTCAGTATCAGTTCAGCAGATGGATTCTATGCATCGGAGTGGTGCCAAATTTCCAGTGGACAATGATGAGGGAGCTCTGCCTATTTTTGTATAATTGCCTTAGGATAGAGGCACTCCGGATCCTGAGCCAAGCAGAGGATTAATTGATTCCTTTGAAGCTTTGAACCTGATCCGTGCAAATCCACTACATGACGCCGGGATGAAGTGCCAATTTAGAAGTTTCAGAGAGTAAAGCGATTCCATAGCCCCAGAAAGTCGACCGAAAAAAAAAAACCCGAAACCCTATCGAAATATTCGTACTCCCGTTTCATCTACCTCCTGCCGTTCCACGCATTCCACGCACCCTGAACGGCGCTAGGCTGCACTGCTCTCCCTGTGAAATACGTGAGGGCCAACGCCCCTCCTACTCCAACCGCATTGTCCGAAAGCCACGTTCCCCAGGAATTGTCATTAGTGCGACGCGGCGCCACCAATGGCCTCGGTGGCGGAGGAGCGTTGTTCGCAACGGCAACGGTGGCGAGGACTTTCGTATGGTATGCTGTGGCGACAGCCCGCGCATGACCCAACGCCTTCTGTGTCTGTTTCCCAAAGCTCCTCCACCCTATGACTGCACTTATCACTTGCCCGACGACTGGTTTAAGATGAAGGTCCTCGTGCGAGGCGTGCATCGCAGCCTCCTTGCCGAATTCCTGGTTGAGGAAGTCCATGAATTGCTGATGGAAGGTCGGGTCCTCCCAAATCGCCTTTGCGCTCTCCTTCAGGAACTTCTTTGGGAGTTCCTCGTAGAGGTGTTTCTTGAAGTCGGCGACGCTCGTAATGACTCCTCCCTTCGAGCACGCTTCGCGATGGTAGCGCGCGACGTCTGTATGCTCTCCCATCCCGAATTGATTGAGGGCGCGATCGGCAAAGGCGATCGTATTGCCCGTCATAAAGATCATCTTCCCCGTCGGGATGACCGAAAGGGCCATGGTCCCAACCCGCGCTGCGAACCGCCCGAGGCCGAAGCGCATGTCGTCGTATTTCTTCTGCATTGCGACCTTGACGATACGGTCAAAATCCAGTTTCATGACCGCCGGACTCGTATAGCGCGACTTTATCTTGGCGGCGAGTTTGTCGTAGTAGGCCATCCAGGCCTTGGTAGAGTCGAGGTCTTCGACTTCATGGTCGGAGACGAGCTGGTCGATTTCTGCGTCAGAGAGGACGTTAAGGGAGAACGCATAAGGGAGAGTGAGGGACATGGTTGTATAGCTCTGGGAAGGACAGGATAGCCCGGGGTGCTCGACAACTTACCAGGCCGACTTTATCATAGCTCGCAGGTAGGCCCACATAGGCGCCCATCCAACAGCCTTCATATTGATTAAGGTACCAGTCCTAATGCACGGGGTCCTTCCTAGACAAAATATCCATGAGATAGTCTGCGGCCTTCCAATTTAAGCACAGCGTTGTGGTCTCTTGAGATTCGAGGCCGTTGTCGAAACGAGTGGCATAGGCGCTCAGAGAGTGAAAAGGCATGTTATGTTCTTCAGCGGTACGATACCTTGGCAGGGCGCTATCGTTCTGTGTCCCGTAACAAACACAACAGATTAAGGGAGCCTGGCACAGTATAGGCTTAGATGTTTGGTGATGAATTAGAACTGTTAAGGACTGGATATCGAGGCGATTCAGCAGGGCCACGGGGCAGAACAGGTACATGTCACGTCTCCTACCGAAAGAGGCCCGCACTGCGCCAATACCGAATCCATCGTTCCACGTCCTCGTATTCCAGCTGGCGGACATTCTTCATAGTCTCGCTAAAGTCCTGAATTTTACGAACGGCAAACCTCGTCAACCCCCCGACCTCGGCATCCTCGACGCACTCCGCGTCCGCCATCGCCTTGAAGAAATCCCGAAGCTTGACAGCGGGCTGGGATACGGGCACATGGAAAACGTAAGAATTACAGCTCGAAAACGTACTAGCTGTGGAGCTCACTAATTCATTTGATATGTCGTGTTCGACGGACGACGCTTGACGAGCTTCCAGCATGCTGAACCATTCTCGAAAGGGTACGAGATTGAGGGGCTTATCAAGGGACAGCTCCTGGAAAAGGGCACGTGCGGTGTGCTCGATTATTGTGTTCCAAGGAACAGGTTCAGGGTGAAGGACGTTCATGGCAGGGGGAAGAGTCCTTGAGTCCGAATTCATCACCAAATCCAAGATGGAATTGGAGACGACATCCATGGGAAGCCATGAGACAACCTACGAATGAATATCAGCACGAGCGAAGTAGGCCAATGCAGAGCGAGACGTACCCCTGAAGCAAGAGGCAATACGCCGAGTGCCACACTCGACTTGACGAGGATAGGGACCCAATCGGTGGTCGCCCAGGCTCCGTTCGGTAGACCCCCACTGATCTGGCCAATCCGAAGGGACGTCGCGTTGAGCCCACTAGACGCAAGGATCTATCGTTAGGTGGTCAGTGGGAGTCAGAGTCATTCACATGGGGGACACATACGCGCTCTGCCACGTATTTACTCTCTCCGTAGCCATTTCCCACAGCAAACGAAGAGTCAAGAACGTCCTCTTCAGGATATGGACCCAAGGCTTGGTTCCAAGAGAGTGCTGATGCAACTGAGGACGTGAAGATAAACCTGAGAGCTTCCGGGCCGACGATCCGGTCTGCATGCATCCGAGAAGTCCGAGCCAATTGGAGGAGGTTGTGCGTGCCGCGAATGCTCGATTCGAAGGACGCAAGAGACAGATTGAAGTCGAGTCTCCAGGCTGTGTGTATGACGACGTTCACGAAGGCTTGCAGCTGTAGCCTTGGAATGAGTTCGACAAGGGCATACAAAAGCCAAGAAATATACCTCTTCATAATGTTCGTCACTCAGCCCTAAACGATCCTTGGCCAGCTCGCCCTCGATCAAGACGAGTTTCCCATCCACCAAAAGGCTGTTGTCCAATCCTTTATCCTCGAATTTCTCTTTATGCCTTTCGAGGATCAGTTTTCCTGGTGTGGGAGAGGGCCGATTCAGGGCATAAATCTGTTTGACTCTTGGATCCTTGAGCAAGCCCGCGAGGATCTGGGCTCCCAAATTGCCAGTCGAGCCGGTTAGGAGAACAACACTGGCGGCGTCAGGACTGTTGTTGGCAGCTGGCTTGAGTTGGTACTTGGAGATCATAGAGTCGATGAGATTTGTGCGTTCGTGAATAGGATCAACTTCCGGTTGGGTAACCTTGGAGCCTAAACCGGCGATAAGGCTGGCGACGTGGTCCGTAAGGCGTTCTATGGTAGGGTACGCATAGATCGTATTTTGAGCAATAGAGTTCGAAGGAGTGTTCGTGGATTGTAGAGCAGCAGCTATTCGTCGACGTAGGATCGTCGCACTGAGACTACTCGATTGTTTAAAATTTGATTCAGGAAGGCAGACTTGGAAACCTACCTGTCAAGCCCTTGCTCAAATAAGTCCTCAGTCGGTTGGACGGTCTTCCCATGAAGTAAATCCTGCAACTGAGCGACTATCCACTGCGTGACCGACTCAACGTTCCACTCCGTCGGTGCTTCGATATTGCCAATGGTTTGAGTCGATTCGACGGTGTTGTATCTGACGTACTATTAAATGCGTAGATGTCAATCCAAAAAAGGCGCTCACAAAGCCTCGATCTCGTCGGCATACACCTTGACAGCCAACTTGCGCATCACCGTTCCCTTTCCAGACCGCGGAAGTGGCTTATCCTTGCTCGTAAGCAAAATCATCTCTTTGAAGATGCGGCTGAAAGCTGGACCGGCTTTGTTGGCTTCATCTATGATGGGCCTAAATTGACGCGTGATTCAGTAAAGGAGTATGAAGCTCAAAGAAAACCACCGACCAAATGAGATTTCGGAATTTGGCCACCTGATCTTCGTCGTTGACGTCGATGGCGTATGCGGGCTTCGGCTCCATAAGCACTCCGGGTTGGCTGTGACTCTGGCCAAACATGACGACGCCCATAACACTGGACAAGCATGAGCGAAACGAACAAAGGAAAACAGAAATCGCTCACTAATTGCTGCTCATGATAATATCCTCCATCGGGGCTGGTACTGTCTTCTCTCCCGATGAATGGATGATAACATCGTCTAACCGGCCAACACTGGATTAAAACAGTGAGAAGCGACCTGAAGACGAGAAGTCCTGCTTACATCTTCCAAAGATGTTTCTTCGTGGAATGGGGTTCGAAGAGGTCTGACGTCGCATATCCTCTGGCGTCAGGCAAGTTCTGAATCGGCAACGGATGGTTGTCGTGTGTCTAGAAGCCAGCAAAAAAAAAATTGGACAGACTCGCCAACGAGTGAGGATGTCGCGTACCAAGAACTGGCATTCGAACGTCCCATCACCCTGAGGAGCCCACCGAATCTTACAGCGCTTGTCAAACTCCATATACTCCCAATCAGCTGCATCTTCTTTGCGTTTGAATGGGTACGTGGGGGAGCCAAACTCCGTCCCACCGTACCCCGGGTTCAGCGTGACGCCCGCGCCGACCATGAAGTTGCCAAGCCTGGGCACAACTGCACCACCGGAATAACTCTGACGTGAAGCAATGAGATTCTTATCTTCTGTGGGATGAGAGAAAGGAAGAGCATACCACAAATTCGAGCTTGCTGAGCGTGTCAACAGCCTTGGGATCTTGTGCCCATATTTGGAGGAGGGTCGGAATGGTAATAATGCAGTTCGAGTTGGTGTTTCTGAGATGCTCGAGTATGTTGTCTGGCGTTGGTAAGATTGGCACCATTTCTGAGCTTTCGACGACCGGGGGGTATAGAGCCATCGTCGTGCATCCGTACAATGTCCAAAGGAGGTGGGCATAGATTCCTAGGGTATGGAATGGAGGAAGATGCATCGCTGCCATGCGGATACGCGGAACACGATCTCGAAAGGAAAGTGTAGGAGCTGATTGGGCAAACAGTTATGAGAGTACGAACTAGGCGAAGCAATCGACGCACTCACGCATAGCTGCCCAGTTTACCAGCGTCCAATGTGTCTGAGGTATGGCCTTCGGAAATCCGGTGCTTCCTGATGAGTGGATGTACATTCCGACTCCGTCCAGCTTGGGTTTCGGAGAAGCTGTGTACGGTGTGAACGGGTCCTCCCCACGTTCTTCGCCGAGATTTGGAAAGATTTTGCGCAATGGAGGCACTTCAAGGATCATTAGAGTAAAATCTGGTTCGTTCAACGCCATGTCCTTCTTGACTTCGTCGATCAGTTCCCGCAGGGTTGTGCTTGTCGTGACGAGGTAATGGCAAGATGTCTTCCGGAGAAGGTTGACGATGGCAGCGGCGGTATTTCTGGACGATATAGGAAAAGGCTGGACCGGGTAAGTGCATGAATCGCGAAGAAAATTGCATTCAACGTACCACGACTCCCGCTTTCATGAGTCCAACTGTCACAGCTTGGTAGAGCAACGAATCGCATAGCGCCATCAAAGCTACAACAGGCCTCGAGTCGACCTCGAAATTGGGAGCAAGTTCATGAGCAACACGATGACAAGCGCGACCGAACTCCAACAACGAGATCTCCTTTACCGCTCCCGTGACCGCGTCGTGAAAGGCATAGATAGGAAGATCGGCATTGTGAATCCAGTGGAAGTCGATAGTCTCTGGTAAGGTGACCGAACCGTCAAGAGGAGGATGGACGAACTCTCTGGTGTAAAGAGGCATGGGAGCAGAGTTGATGATGCGGTGGTGGTGATGCGGCATTTCTTATACGCGCCTTGTAGAGCGGATATCAGCGCAGCAATCTTAAATTCAGCCTACGCCCAAGGACAAGGGTAGAACCTGTTGCATCCCCGGAGACGCGTTTGACAAGAGACGGACAGGAAAGAGAATGACCGGTGCCGGTGACTTGTGAGTGAACCGTCTCAAGAACAGATAATCCGAACTTCTGGCCTATGAGATTCTTCCGATTCCATCAGGTACTGCGGATAGTGTAGAATAGCAAGAAACTCACCGAAAAACAGTCTTTACGGAAAGTTGAAGTCTTGGAGAAAGTGTGTGCATGTTGAGGCTGAAGAAAGTGGCAACGTCAAAAATAAGACTTAAGAAACATAGGAAGTTAAGATAGGTGAAGAGTATCAATATAACGAGAAGTGAGCTCTGAGGAGAGGCTACGCGTCGAACCTGCACGGACCAATCACGTGCCATAATGTCGGAAAGTCGCCGAATGCATGATTAGGCCGATCATGTCACAAATGCGGTCACGACATGATCACGATTTCAGTTAGGCGGAACATGCCCCGGCCCACTAATCATGATGGGACCATAATCAGTGAGATTATAAAAGATTAAGACCTGTTCAGTGTCACTACTAGTAACATTACAAACGAGCATTACGAACTGTTAGTTACTGATCATCTGTAATATTTTATTATCTCGTAGTTATTTGCCATTAGTGAGACTTGAACGTTGTGCGAACGGGCTTACCTAATACTTGTCTCGATGTTGATAGTTACCACTGAGGCAGAAGTTATGTATTACCCTTGAAGGGGGATTTCCTTTGTCACGTAAATAAGTTCCTTTCCAGAGTGCTCTTCCTTCTCGTTGTATTACCGCTGTGCTGCTTCACCCCTCTTCTAGTGCATCAAGAAATGAGTACAGCATTGAGATAGTCTACATTAAATACATTCCAAGCCATTCTATAGAGCTCTGAACGCCGTGAACGTCTGCGGCAAGTCTTTGTTCTGTGTCGCGTTGAGGTCAATTTGGGCCAACCGTTTCATGGACTGTTTGTCGATTGGGAATAGGACGACGAAGCTGAGGGATGGCGCTAGTCTATTTTAGTATAAAGACGAGTGTTTTGTCAGGAAACAAGCAAGAAGTAACACTCATGGGTATGGCACCATACACCGCGGCCAGAGGCCTGTACATGCGGCTACGACGCGCAGCTCTACGAGTAATCGGTTAGACGTGGATGGCGCTGTGATCTTCCATTTTACTGACTTTATACTCTGAGCTCCCGCAAATTCTGTGGCGATTGCAATTTGGGGTGGTATTGTTCGAACTGTGGACGACGTTGACATTCCTGATCTAATCGTGGGCTATCTAATCAAATCCTCCATCCCTGAACATGCGGCCTAAGCCACATCGGCGTGATGCCAACCTAATCATGCCGGTCGGCGTCGCCTAATCATGGCAAAACCTGGCCTAATCACCGGGCCGGCTGATCATGCACTCTGGAGGTTTCCGACAATCGTGGACAATTTGTACCAAAAGTGGAAGGACCGAGAGTCGAGACCTGTGGCGCACCAGAGCTGAACCTTACACTCTGACCTTGGTTCGTTGTAATGATAATTCATCAACGCCAGAACCCCTTCGAACAGGGCAATCGTCAAAATCTTCTTGTAGGGCTTCTCCGCTGTAGGCGGATGATTTTGCAGGTAAGCCGAAATCTATCATCTATCTCTCTATCACTCCGCCCACTTACCCTGGGAACAATTTTCAATGGGAGAAGAACTAGGAATGCCCATATCGATGCTATATTGATGCCATGGAACACCTTGAGTGGCCTATTGGCTCCACAAACGTGTTATTATGACGGTTCAGAATCCGAAGTTTTGGTCATGGGGTACGGTATTAACCGCTCTAAAGACCTAACATTTGCGGCATATGAAGCACGCCGTGGATCGTTGGAATCTCGACTCTTCCCACACAACTCACCCCTCAAGGAAAATGGACAGAGAAGCTGGAGTTATCGCCGTGTTGCTGGGCGTTCTTCTTACCTTTTTTCTGAGGACACTCATCTCCAAACCTCGCGTCCCTTACCCTCCTGGACCTAAACCGAGGTTCTTCGTTGGCAATTTTCTGGATTTTCCGGAGGAAAACGCAGCGGAGAATTATCTTAAATGGGGAAGACAGTACAACAGTAAGCTTAGATACTTTTACTCGATCTCAGTGATGAAATTTTTCATGCAGGCGACGTCGTACACATCATCGTGCTCGGAAAGCACACCGTCGTTATCAATAAACGCAGAATAGCGGAAGAACTACTCGACAAACGAGCTCGAATCTACTCCGGTCGTATGGAGCTACCCACTCTCAAAGCGTACGCCGTCCTGCCCTGATTTGTGTCTTTCGGTTCACAGATTTAACAGCCTTGGATGGGAATACAATTTTGCTTTTATCAACTATGGCCAAGAGTGGCGCAACCGCAGACGAATGTGCCAGCAGCACTTCAACCGACAGGCGTCAACCACATTCGAACCGATTGAGATTAAAAGAGTCCGCAAGATGTTGTCTGCGCTCCTCCATTCCCCAGAGAAATTTGACGTCTATAATAAAGTGTGCGCCTACTTAGTATTTTCCTCGCTGATTCCCAGAGTTAAAAGCCGCGTAGCCTGTCCGTTTCGATCCCTCTCGACATTATGTTCGGCTATGACATTGCATCTCTCGAAGACCCAGTCGTCAGGGCTTCCACTGCGGGCCTCGAAATTGGCGGACCCCTGCTGCTGCCTTTTGGCTCGCTGATCAACATCTTCCCCCTTCTGCGGCACATTCCTCCCTGGTTCCCCGGGGCGGTGTCTCAGAGAAAGGCTGCGAAGACCCGGCAACTCGCCCGCGAGATGAAGCGCATTCCGTTGCAAGATCTGAAGGAGCGGATGGTGAGCTGTGTTCTCGTGATGTTACAACGGAATCTTGCTGATACCAGGCGACAGGCAAAAGGCCAAACATCATATTCGGTGATAGGAAACTTCCTTGAGCGACAGGCCAGCATTGAAAGCCCCCAGGATGAGAAAAGTCTAGACATCCTAAGCGATATTGCGTATACTTTGTACGGAGGTACGTTACGGCTGAAATACCTTCGACATTTCATCGTTTCCACTTTTTTCTAAAAATAATTTAGGCGCTTCGGACACGGTAAACCTATTATTTTATTCTTCAGACTCTCTGACCGAATCCCATCACCTCCGTGACACCCAGACGATCTCCGCGACTGGTTCCTTCCTCTATCTTATGGCTACGAACCCCGATGCCCAGAAGAAAGCGCAGGCTGAAATCGATGCCCTTTTAGGAGCTCAGCGCCTACCGGAATTTTGCGATAGGCCTTCGCTTCCCTACGTCGAAGCTACAGTCATCCACCGGCCAATGAGACACCACCGGCTAATGATACACCTCGGAACACCATGAAGGATTCAACTGTTTGCTTTGAAAAAATAACCCCATTCTCTATAAGTCTTTAATACATTGTGTATAAAATTTTGTGGGTTCTGGTGAAGTCAATGCCCGGTAATAAAATCACCAAAATATTCATTTTGGTTGATTTTGTCACACCAGTCACTGATACAGCATCTCTGGCTGTTTCTGCTCACGTTTGGTTGATTTTATGGCATACAACTGGTATAAATTTATTTTAATGGCTCTATTACACTGATTCCAAGTGGTTTTATGAGAATCCATGGGCTGGTTGAGTTCTGGGATCAAATTTAAATTTCAGTGTATCAAATGATGGTGGATGACTGTATATATCGAGAACTGATGCGGTGTGCCCCACCCCTTCGTCTTGGCATTAATCATTTACTCGCGGAAGATGATGTGTACGGGAATTACTTCTTGCCTAAAGGTAGGAAATTTCTTGGTAACCTCTTAAGGAACATTGGAATGCTTACTTAAAGCATTGCTAGGATCTGTCGTCTTCGCGAATATATGGTAAGGGGCTGAAGGTTACCATTAAAGTTAAATTGATCAGGGCAATGACTCGTGACCCGGAAATCTACGTGAATCCATACAAGTTCATGCCGGAACGCTTCTTTAAAGACAATGGAGAACTCGACGACGACGACCGTATTTTAGCCTACGGATTTGGCAGAAGGTAAAACGCACACAGTTGATCATCTTGCCTGAAGCTCAAGGGCATGATTTACAGAATCTGTGTAGGGAAATATGTAGCAAGCTCGACGGTTAGTTGACTGCCTGAATATCAGCTTGTGATACCAAATCCCTCACAGATGTGGATGGTCATTGCCTCCATCTTGGCTTGCTTCAACATCGATAAGGCACAGGACGACTTCGGGAACGACATCGAGATCGACGACCGATACTTGGATGTTAGTCCTACATGGTACGATGGCAGCACTCCTATCCTGCACGCACTGGCCAATGACTTGCTTTCCTTCAGTCATAAGACCCCCTTCAAATGCTCGATTGTACCCCGGTCAGATGTATGGAGAAGCCTTATCGAAGAGGCAATGGCCGAAGCGAAGATATGAAGCTGTATCTGCCTGGTTTGTGAAGGAACGGCGTCCAATCGAGCGGAGAGAGCACGTTGTATGTAGTCTTCCCTGTACATGTCGTCGCACTTACGTATTTCATTATACTTCTGACTCGGATCTCTCCACTCCGACTCTCATTGCGGGCACGCAGCCTTCTGGAACGGCTTTCTGACACCGTTCCTCTGACTGAAAGCAAGAATGCTCGTAAAGCGCGCTTTCTGATTGCCAATGCTCCTTATTGGACTGACAATGGCATGGGAATGCTGAAAACCCCGCAGACAGATATAATCTGAGAGGTTCAGGTAGCTACAACCGCATGCACAATTCCACAAGATTATAGAGATGGATATCGCCATTCCTTTGGCCCTTTGTCTTCTCATACTCGGTCTCTCTGTCGTCGTCTCGAAGCTAATCCAACAGTTTCTTCGTCCTCGGAAGAGTCAAGGTCGGTATCCTCCCGGGCCTAAACCTCTCCCTCTCATCGGAAACACTTTGGACGTTCCGGTGAAAGGTGTCGGCGAGAAATATCTCGAATGGGGAAGACGGTACAACAGTAAGGGTGCCATCATGCTGAGCCGCTGAGCGGTGTAACTTATACGGTTACTCAGCCGACCTCGTCCACATCTCGACACTGAGCGACCATATCGTCGTTATCAACAAGAGAGAAGTCGCCGAAGAGCTCCTCGAGAAGCACGCAGCAAAGTATTCGGGTCGGCCTGATATACCCGTGCTCAAGCTGTTCGTAATTTCATTCTTCCTTGCCTCTGTATTCGGGAAATAACTCCTCATTCCAACAGAATCGGTTGGGATTGTAACGTAGCGCTTATGGACAACGGGCAAGAGTGGCGAAATCATCGGAGGATATGCCAGCAGCATTTTAACAAGCAGGCGGCGCAATCTTTCCAAGACATCCAGCTCAATAAGGCGCGCAAGATGCTCCAATCCCTGCTCTCCTCTCCGGAGAATTATTCCTTGTATAGCAACATGTGAGTGTTGGGTTCCTCTTCTTTCCCGAATCTAGTTCCGAGTCTTATCTTCTGCATCCAGGTTCTCCACGTCGATCTCGATGGCCATGATGTACGGCTACGAGGTCGAGTCCTTGGATGACCCCGCCGTCAAGGCAGCCAACAAGAGCATCGAAGTCGGGTCTCCGCTGACCATTCCTGGGGGGACCTTGATAAACGTCTTTCCGTTCCTGCGGCACATACCCGGATGGGTGCCAGGCGCCGTCTCCCAGAGGCAGGTGGCTCTAGGTGCATTCATGACCCGCGAGATGCAGCGAATACCACTGGAAGATCTCAAGAAACGAATGGTGAATGGCAAATCACGATTGTCTCTGTTCTGTGCGTCTTTCTGACTAGAGGTTGACCAGGCAGAGGGGAAGGCATCTCCATCGTTTGTTTCTAATTTCTTCGAGAAAAAGAACACGGTCGGTGCTTCAGACGAAGAAGAAAGTATGACATATAACATCGCACATACCGTATATGCAGGTAGGTCTTCTCTATTTATGAGAGAGAGAACGCAAGTCTGACACGCTTTTAGCTGCATCTGACACGGTACGCCGAGAACGATGAATCTTTTCTAAATCGTACACTTACTGGTTGTTCAACAGACCATCTCTGCAACTGGGACGTTCTTCTACTGCATGGCCGCCAATCCTGCAGTTCAGAAGAAGGCACAGGAAGAAATCGACAGAATTACAGGAGGCAGCCAACTCCCTGATTTCAGCGACAGAGAAGCCATGCCTTATCTTGAGGCCGTATATCGCGAAGTGATGAGATACCGCCCTCCGCTTCCTCTGACGGTGTCTCGCAGTCTATCGGAAGATGACCATTACAGGGACTATTTCTTCCCGAAAGGTAAGTCGTCGATGAATAAGTTCGTAGGGGAGAGGTGGCTCAGGTTACATGTCGCAGGAACACTCATATTCGCGAACATCTGGTATGTGTTGAAAATTTACAGTTAAAACTCCATGCGATATTCGTCCGGCAGGGGCATGACGCACGATGAGGATGTCTATCCTGAACCCGATGTATTCAAACCAGAGAGGTTCTTCAATGTTGATGGAAAACTGAACGATAACGACCGTATAATGGCATTCGGCTTCGGTCGAAGGTTGTCTTCCAGGCCTACACATTTTGATGTATACACCTGACCACCCATATTCCAGAATCTGCGCCGGGCAACACATCGCAAGTTCAACAGTCAGTTTCCTCTCCACAACTCCAAAGCTCTGCACTTACAGAAAGTCTATCCGCAGATGTGGATAATCATCGCTTCAATTCTTGCTTCCTTCAACATCAGTAACGCGAAGGACGAGTTCGGAAATGATATTCCTCTCAACGACGAGTACGACGATTTCGGCCTCCTGGTGTGCGTTCTGCCTCCGATTTCCGGCTCACTCCCTCCCCGGCATTGACGCGATCACTTGTAGGCACAAGAAAACGATGAAATGCTCGATCTTGCCAAGGTCGAATGCAGCGCAAAGATTGATCGAAGAGGCACTGTCGAGCTAATTGCTTCCTGGGTGGCAGTGTACATGGAGGCGAAGGGGAGTAACAACCGCATAGCGTGAATTCTCTGCAAAATATATGAAATAGGTGCAGTCAAGTATCATACGTCTGTCATTACCACATCATTATCCACGAGTGTAGACTTTTCTCGCAACGCTTCAGCCGCCTGCTTGATGATTGCCAACTTTTCCCTCATGACCTTGATCGCCTCTGGAAGCAACCTTTCAGGTCTGTAAGCACTTTCCGACTCGACGTTGACTAGCAGGGTAAAGTGAGCAAAGAAATATCAGTGGCAGAATGAACACGTACAGAGGAAATAATCGCGAACGCGGCTGAGCTCTACCGAGTCCGCGAACTCTGGGTGCCGCAAGACCTCCCGGCTGACAGTATCTTTCCGTGCACCGTTCTCGTCTACGCTGACTTCCTGTGTCTGAGGATTGATTTTGATAACGCCTGGAGAAAAGCACTTTTGGAATTTCTCGGCGAGGTGAGTTGGTATTGGCTTCGTGATTTTGATGTACGGCAAGAGACGGTAGGAGGCGGTGGCTAGTATGCGTCAGGTGGGAGGTAGAAAGAAAAATTGAACTGACGTACCGACGGGACTGAACTTCGCGTGATCTTTCCCGACTCCCTTCACCGCATGCATCTGGTAGTGGACTTCTTGCCCCGGCCGTAACTTAGCTAGCACGATGTTCGGATTTGTTGGTGCCGGAGCGTTGTCCGCGAACACCTCTGCTTGTTCTCCGGCGGGCGACCAGGTGATGTCAGAAGAGAGGACTTCAGGGTTGATGTAGAGCTCGTTAGGGTCTGTTGAGCCTTTCGGTGCCTTCGGGTTGCGTTGGCAGGTAACGTCCACCTCGAAAACGAGCGTATTTCGATCAGTTGGAGGGTCATCCGGACCTATGAACACGTCAGGAGAGGCATAGCAAAACTACAAGGAGACGTACCTCTCATCTCCATCAGCGACGGGTCCACGTTCAGCGGCACTAGTCCAAAACGGTGGGCGAGGACTTCGTCCACTACAACACTAGTATTATTGAACGCAAAGACGTTCTCGATGCAGATGGTGGGCACCTGAGATCCGTTTCAGTATGTTGGCAAACCGAGGACGTCGATAGCACGCACCTCAGCGATCATGATTCGCCGGAATGCGTTGGCTATTGATGCATCCACCCCAATGATATCGAATTCGATCGAGTAGTTTGATAGTCGTTGAACCTTCACTTTCAAGTTCTACCCTTGCGAAAGGGCTTTGTTGACCAACAATCGGCGAAAAAGTGAATTGAGGAGCGCACCTTTTTGAATCGTTGCAGATTCCATGAGTGATCCTCCCCTGGGTAATGTCCTGGAAAGTCCCGACTGGAGACGTCCGTTACCCGTTCTGCGTGCACCCCGACAAGTCTACGGGGGTCCAGTGGTTGAGAAGACATTGAGATGAAGGCGATTGAGGTAAGAGATCAAGCCAAGTTGAATGAGACAGTTTTCGCAAATTATCTTCCCACGGTCAACAAACACTGATGATTCTGAGCCAAGTCCACACAAGTCCACATGTAATCCGAAATTGTACGTTATCAGGTGCCCTTCCCCCTATCATGGCGCTGTGCCAGTCACTGAGATGCTCAGCCTTAATTACCAGCCCCCGGCACTGTTCTTTTTTCAAAGTTAGAGCTGAATTGGCGAAGATGACGGCGTGCGTACCATTTTTTCCTGCCTTTTCGTCTCAGAATAAATGAGAACGAGTATCAGGAACACTTCATCACGCGACAATGCTCCCTTTCCAAGGTTTAATACCACAGGTTTCGTCTTTCCAAAAATCTGCGGCCGGTACGGCACGGTGAACGTCGCCTCAACCGCGTTGGTGCCCGTGCAGGTAGCCTGAAACTCTGGTCAGACGCATTGAACGGACATGAACCCTACACGCACCTTCCATCCGTCCTCGAGATGAACGATGCTGTACTCCTCGTGGTCATCAGCCCATTTCCAAAACCTTGATCTCTGGCGGACTCTACGGACGATAAGCACCTGGAACCCCGCCATTGCTCGCTCCTACCTATTCTTGAGCCCCGCTGGCCTCCGCCTGACGTCGTCTATCGACTTCCATGTCCCATGGACCTCGAATTTCCTCTGCTTCCAGTGGATAGCGCCGACTCGGGTGTTCGTCTCGACTTCACCGGGCAACGGGTTCTTGTCCCACAGTTCTGTCAACGTGCGGCCCCACATCGTCTGCTTGGTGTTGACCACATAAAGGACAGAGTTGTCGTGGGTGGCGTGCACTTTTGCATTCAGGACGTTCGCCTTGTTGTCGAAAGTGGCCTCCATGGTCGTCGACGTAATCGTTTGCTCGTAGCCGGGCCGCTTCGCGGGAAGTGCCCGATGTCGCGGTCTTGCGGGGAAATGCCTTGATGGTTCACCTCTCCGCTACCTGGGTTCGTCCTCTGCCTGTGTGGGCGCTGGGCGCTGCTCAGCAGACGGGGACGGTGTTGAGGAAGAAGAAGGGCCTTCTGACGCCGCTCTATATAAACTCCTCGGAACTCAGGCCATAAAAGTGTGCCTGCCAGCTGCCTGCGTGGCCCGACTAGTCGAGCCATCAGCAACAATGACCGCCGGTGTTCGCCATGTGAATAAGCAACTAACCCCAAATACCCTTGGTGGAGATAAGGGTATTGGAGGAGGACGATAAGATTTCGACATGGGCGCCTAGTTATAACGACCGAATGTCGTAACCGAAGCGCTCATCGACTACCGGCAAAACATATCGCCCAAGCTCACTCGACTTGTTTTCCTTCAAACCTTATCCGAAATTAAGCTTTAATGAAAATACATCAAGAACATGTGTGCATCCCGGCTCTGGGCACACGCCTTGCTTCTTAATCAATTGTGAAGTCATAATCGCGGCATCCACTCTCACGGACGCAGGTGGCGCTCTGCATCCACAAAGTGACAGCATCCTCCACTAGCCTCCTCGCCTGGTCGGAGCGAGGGCTGATCGAGCATTTGAAAGGCTTCTTGTGGCTGGTATGCTTCAAAGTCAGAGGACGTTAGAAACGAGGGGTCATAACGCACATAATCAGACCCTCATCCTCATATTCCCCATTCACTTCGTTTCCATGTTCGTCTTTGGCCTTGCGAATATCGAAACAAGTTATGATTGAAGCGAATGTGATCCACAACTGCACACGGTGCGTGAGATCAGATAAGCGCCAATATCGAACAGACATTTACCGTGGCATTGGCTATGTGTTTGCCTACCCAGATCCTGCGTCCGAACCCGTATGCTAGGACCTTATCATCACCATTTAACTCTCCATTCGCATCGAAAAATCGTTCAGGCTTGAAATCCTCTGGGTCTGGATATTTCTTTTCGTCTCGCATCATTGCCCTAGGCCATTTCTTCTGAATAGAAATTCAGTGACCGTTGCTGCAAAGTCCATACCAGATGTTTCCCAACATCGTGGCTCCTATCCGGATGACGTTCAACATAAGATCAGCTTCGTACAAAATATATTCATCGGACATACCTTTTGGTATGAAGTATCCATTGTAGGTGTCGTCCTCTGACAGCGCATGTGCCACACCGATGGGGGCTGGCGGCTGGTACCTCAAGACTTCGCGATAAAGCGCCTCGATGTAGGGCAGGGAAGCACGATACGAAAATCTGGGAGCCAATGCATCCCAAGGACACCATCGAGCGTTCTTGAGCCTTCCTCTGCGCCTCGGGGTGGGTGGCCATGACGTAGAAGAAAGTTGTAGTGGCTGAAATGGTCTGTTCGACGGATCCATATTCTAATAATGGCAGAATTTTAGATTTTCAGACGAACCGTTTCGATTGCAGCTATGGTAAATAAGCGAAGAAAAGAGACGGAGCGGACACTGACGGACATACCACTATAAACAGTGTACGCGATATTCAACACGATAAGCTCCCGTCTCTCGGTCGCATTTTCCGTGTATTTCCTCTCGAGGAAGTTTGAAACGAAAGATGGAGGCGCAGTCCCGTCACGCAGAGCAGCCTTGACAAACTCCAAAGGGATACGCTTCATTTCTTTCCGCCAGTAAAGGGCCTCTTCGCTGCCTTGTGTGACACTGCGCCCGGAACCCACGCAGGAATATGCCGGAGGACAGGGAACAAATTTATCAGGGATGATTCAGGAGATAGCAGTGCCAGTCCCAATGAACTAGCTTTGTCCCCTGTTTCCATGCAGGGGTCGTGGAGGGACTTGACGTCGTACCCAAACATCGTTTCCATGCTTATCGACACGGATAGCCTAGGAATAGACATAAACGACGGATTCTCTCGAAGAAGGGGCATACACATTTTGTTATGAGGATGTGACCACAGCAATACCAATAGGGTGGCGCATTGTGCGTTCAGGATTCTCAACGGTTGCAATATGCACTTGGTTGTCACATTTGACCATTACGAGAAAGTGCTCACAATCGACGATACAGATTTTACATCACATCAGCGCTTTCCCCACTTCACGGAAACAAACATTGTCCCTATCAGATACAGAAGAATTGTCCTCGCATTAAGCGATCTTATCTATCTGCTGAGGGCACCTGAAGACCGCTATGTTAAATATGCACTGAAAGACTCGATAGACCTGGCTGAGTGGATCACCAGGCTGGATAATGGATATCCAATATGTTCTTGCCAAGCTTCCCTTCCATCTCACGCAACCCCTCGATCTTAATGACCTATCGGTGCAATCGGTGCAACGAGTCAGCGAGGCAGTGGTGGAAGGAATGAAAGACCATATTCAACAGGTTGTGGATAATTCACCCAAGGCTTATCTTCTTATAGGGCGCAGGGAACCAGTCACCTCGCTCGCCGCATGTACGGCGATCGTGAAGTTAGAGCGAAGGACCTTATACTTTAGACATTATCTTGACGTCCATATCCACGAACACCGGAAGGCGATCACTTGCCTACTCCTATCATGCCATTGTCTCGCAATTGAGAGAATGCGGTGGATTCGACCCCCAGTCCCGAGAGAGCAACACCTATGTCGTCTCTGCAGAGTGCACGTGGAAACTCCCGAGCACGCGCTACTACAATGTGAGGGCCTGCATGAACTCAAGGATTTGCGCAAGAGATTCTTTGAGGATATTCAAGTAATAGATCATGGGATACTCGAAGAAAGAGGGGGGTTAGTCGAGATACTGAAAAAGCTGGTAGCATCACGGGAAACCATCAACAGAGTGGCACGACATGCATATGAGGTCCTTAGCTTGTATGGCGGACACCCTATGGTGTACTAATAGACGAACACTGGTTTAAGCGCCTACCTATAATTCGCCGAGCGTGATGGGAAGCGAGCAAGCAAGTAATTCTTGAATACATTCTCTATATATTTAGCCCACCTACAACCCGTGTACTGTATCGGAGATAGACGTCCTGAAACATGGATAGCTCGTCAAAGAGAGGTGCACGGGCCGAGACGAGGGTGCAGGGAATTCCCCTGGAGTAGTCTCGAACCCCGGTGTTCAGAAATGGACCATGCCGGGTATTCCTCACCTCACCCAGTATGTACCTCAGCTTGTCGGCATTTGCCGGCCAGGACCCTGACCAACGCGCTCTGGCAATATCGAAATAGGGTTCTACCTACTCTGCCCCGACGTGGCAACGCTCTCCTTCACGGCCTCGCAAGGATGGCATGCAGCACCAGGGCGACAAATAACACTACAAAACGCGTGGTGGAGGCCGACAAACCTGAGGCGAATGAAGAGGATGTATTCGGGGACAGCGAGCTTAGTGAGTTGAGCGAAGATTCCTCCGACGAGGGGAGTGACTACGAAGCAAGTGCGTCGAAGGCCCTTTTTAACCCTTTCTCCGTTTTATGCTGACGTACTGTCATCGTTAGCCAGAAGAAAGTCGGGGAAGGCACCTCCAGCGAAGAAGGCGAAAACAGGTCCTGGCGCGTCCAAGTCAACGAAATCACCAGGGAAGAAGGGCTCTAGGCAGACCAATAGCCTGAGCCTACTCCCAACGATGCCTTTGGACGTCCTTTTTGAGGTCTGCTGTGGCAGCATCTGTCTGATGGTCATGGCTGACAAACAACCAGGTCTTCTCGCACCTATCTCCGAAGGACATCATCAACCTCGCGAGGACAAGCCGCATGTTCCGCGAAACTCTAATGACAACAAACGCGACCACGGTTTGGAAGACTGCAAGGGAACAGGTCGGGGCTCCGGATTGCCCGTCGTATATGAGCGAGCCGCAGTGGGCCGTTCTCCTCTTTGGAAACGTTTGTCAGGTGCGTCAGGCTCGACATAGCGCTTTCGTTCCTGGAGCTGAAACCCTCACATAGACTTGTGGTGCGAAGAACATCCAAAGAGTGGACTTCGGCCTTCTCCGGCGCGTATGTACGAATTGCAAGAAAGCACAGTGAGTCTTGCTCTTTTTATGTTTACCCGCCTGCTACAATCTGACTCTTCTTAGTCTTGTTGTGGAATCAAAGTTTGAAGCACGTTTTCCTGACATCGACGACGAGGTCCTCGGCTTTGTCCTGTACACGAAGAGTAAGCACTCACTTCAAGCCATCGCGTGCGTCAGCTCATCTAATGTAATGCAAGTTGGCGGCTGGTCGCATGGATATGCCCGTAGCAGCCGCTTTTTCTGGGCAGCCGACATCGATCGCATGGTCCGTAAATTAGCTGAATATCAACATAATGTGCACCTTCGTCGTGCAGGAGCCCAACAGGCGCTCAAAGACTTCAAGGCCCGGCGGATGGAGCTGGTTCAGGATGTTCGAGAGGTTAGTTCGGCTTTTGCATTTCACAAGTTGGACTAACATGCGGTCTAGAACATCAAAGAGAGAGAAGATTGGTGTGATGATTTCTTGATTGGTCGTTATAGGGATAAACACGCTGTTATCGAAGAACGAACTGAGGCGTATGTCATAATTTTTATCTGGCCTCTTCGTTGCTAATGAGCCATCTCGTTCCTTAGCATCATCAGAAAGTTTATCAGCTTGGGCTACATGGCCTCTGACGTGGAGTGGATCCGTCATCAACGCGAGTGCCAGCAACCAGCTTTGCTCACTGATCGAAGTAGGGCCATTTCCATGTATCGTCGATGCTCTCCTGACCTTTTTGATGTCTAGTTTGGACACGCATCCGCCCGCTCCTGGAGCCGGCGGTTCTGCAAAAGAAAAGAGAACGCCTCGAGCGAGAGATGAAAGGCATTCGATCTGCTAGGAGAACCATTGTCCACACTTCTTACCAAGAGTTCCAGACAACGTTGATGCCGTCTCAATGGAAATACCTCCCTCGAACCGTTGACATCTGTGCCATGGAACCTTTCGCTAAGGTCGTAGATGCGGAGGCGGACGTCACGGTTACCGTAGCGGATTTTGTGGAAGCCTTCCGCCAGCTACCTGACCTGCTCTCTGCAGCGTTGGATGCTCGCAAGCTGACGGTCCGAAAGTTGTTCGAGAACCGCCACCATCTCTACCCGTTCGAGCTCTGGGAATCGAGAACCAAGCAACCTCCTCCGAGTGCGCAGGAACCAGAAGCAGGAGAAATCATCGAGGACGCAGGACCGCCGTCTCAGCCACTGGACCCCCTGGACCTCGCTACAACCGTCTTTGCTTGCCAGGAAGAGCCATGCAGTGGCTACGGCAGTACGGCCCCCTACCTCTTCGGCTGGGACGGTATCGCGTCGCACAACAACTGCAGACCAGACTCGTTCTCACCTGCGGCGGACCGAAACCTATGGTATCTGCAGCGAATCGAGGTCAGCCCTGCCCCGCCCAAGGTCGCCTTCAGCGTTAGTGGCAGTACCGCTGTACGTGCTGTTGTCAAAGCTGCTGGACTCGATGAGAAGACTGCCACGGTCTCGGACATGGATGCAAAGGATCTTCGTTTCGAATGTTCCGCTTGTACCGCAAAGAAGAAAGTTGGGGCCACGTCCTGGACGAAACCTGGATATAAATGGCGGGACTTCGTCAGTATCTTCCGCTCCGTATTCTATTGCGATCATGTTCGCTGATGCCTTTTTGCTCCTTAGACCTACCATTGCACTGTGAAACACCATAGTTCGGTGGAGAATGTCGTCGTAGTTATCTCTCCTGAAAACTGTGTAAAGGTCAAAGAAGATGAAATGAATGACCCCAAGCGAGCGAAGAACCTGTGGACCTGTGGACACTGCTCGACATACCACAACCTGGAAAGAAGAGAGGTCGTTCTAGAGCATCTCAAGACATTGTATGTGTCATGACGCTTGTGTCGTCTTGGTTGCTGACTGATTTCCTGTCAGGCATAACATCAGCACAGCTCGTGAACCTGACGACTTATTCTTCCTTGAGCGAACAATCTCGAAGGACATCTTCGAGGCAGGCTACCCCGTCGATGCCCCTGTCACCGCCAATGGTTCCGTGAAGACGATCAACTGTCTTGTATGCTGTAACGGCAAGCCGTCTGGAAAGAATCGCGTGTTTAATCTTTGTGGTGTGAAAAGTCACTTGAACGACAAGTAAGTCTTCCGCGTATGACGCTCTCCTTTTGTGCGATGAATGTTGACGAGCATTTCTAGGCATAAGATCCACGCTCCAATTGCCGATGTCCACTATCGTTGACCGCTCAAGAATGCGACGCGGTTAACGATCATGTATCATACCATCTTATTTGCAAATATCTACCATCATTTTCCCTCCCTGTTCTGCAGTAACTTGTATATATTCCCAAAGACACCTAGAGTACATAAGCTTATTTCCTGTATCATACATAGTTTTGCGTCCAACCGATACCACGATATGTATATAGCGTAGAATGCAGATAGATAGTTGATGAGAGCAGTTCATTATGAAGTTATTAAAGTGAATGTTTTGCGAAACGGCAGACCGGCCTCCTCCAGAAGGGTGGCGAAATGGGAGAAACAATTGAGGTTGCTCATAACAGCATCAGACGTGAACGTATCCCGGTCCGACGACAATTGTTCTCCCTCTGTTGAATCCGAAACTGCCTTCCTGAAAACATATCTTTCTATCCTCTGAAGTGGTGAGACGTGACGAGGACTGCCTTTGTTTCTCCGAGATTTGAGGAATTCCATACAATCTGCATGAGAGAGAACGAAGGCAGGCGTGTAGACCAGCAGAATCCTCAGTTTGGGAAGAAGCACCACGTCGGGGTGGGCCGTCCTACGAGCCAATTCAAGAAGCACCTGGCCTGTTAGAACTGGGGCGACTCCTCGATTAGTGACTTTCAATAGGAACAAATGTTGTAATGCCTCGAAGCAGACGAGGACATCTTTGAAGCGCATATTGATACCATGGAGCTCAAGAACAGTAAGTTTGCACCTCGAGGCGGACACGAAACAAGCGATGTCGCTCCCGGGAAAATAGGCCTCGGAATGGCGGTCGTAAAGAAAACGTCTTGAAGTGATGCTGAGGATGTGCAAGGAAGGGGCGGATAAATAGGAGAGAAGTGGCGTCATGGTATCTGCGCCATTGAGGAATAGACCCTGCATTTTTGGCATTTGCTGTCGAACTCGAGGATAGGAGGGTGGGGGTTCCAAGTTGTTGCCGATCGAGGCACCTTCAAGAACTATGACACATAGGACTACATTGATCGAGCGTTGTACGATGGGAAGGAGGTCGGCTGCTTGAGACCATGTTAAATGAAGATGGAGGAAAGCAAGTTGATTCCAGGGTACGCGAAAGGTATTGACTGACACACCACCGATGGCGCGAATAGTCAGAAAGCGGAGAGCGCGCAGGTGCGTGATGTCGAACGGTTCGTTTTCAATGTCAACTTGTTCGTCTTTGACGTCCATAATGAGCTCCTGAAGCATATCCCAACGCGTCCCATTCTTAATGTCTAAAAGAGGTCGAATGAAACTGGGGGAGTCGAAGTAAAGACTTTTCCAACGCTCCTTCTCCGGGGTTGCCTTGAGGCGGTCCTTGATATCTACGCCGCCGACAGAAACATCTCCGCGAAAAAGGGCGACATGGACTCCAAGCGCGCCTGAACGTGAAAGCCGAGCTTCTATGGTCTCTACGTAGGCATCGTCGTCGACGTTGGCCATGATATCTGTCCAGAGCCGAGGACTCGATAACGCTGCTTGCCTCCAGGTCTTGCACACATTCATGAAAATGGGGACACCAAGAGGGAGGTATTGAAATATTTCGCTCCAGATCTCCAATGGGATGCGTTGACAGAGGCGCGGTCGTGTGTCGGCCTTTTTCTCAAAGAATTTGAGCAACTTCAGTTGCTTCAGGCGGGAGATTAAACGCATGTTCGTTATGAACAGTTGCGGGGATGTTCTGGATACAATTCGCAGCGAGCTTGGGGAGTCTCTGCAGGAAGGAAGCGTAAGGCCAATGGAGAAATGGAGAGAAGTTGCTCAGCCAACGAACAGAGTTAAGCCTGGTTGAGCGTGTTGAGAGAGCGTTGATGGTCTTTGAAAGCGCCACAAGGAGCCAGAATGCTTTAATAGTGCTCTGCTATGTGGCCTCGGCAAGGGCCGCCACTGGCCACAGCCTTGGCGCGAAATCCACCTTCAGGCTTGGCATCCAAGCCCGGCGCCTACTCGCCATCAGCCCATCGACCTATGGGGCTTCAGCTACTCTCAGCGATGACATTCCAGAGAGCCTGCGAATAATGGAAGGTCGTAGTATCAAGCTTATATGTTTGGCTCTCAACCTTCGAGTCGAAGAACAAAAGAGGGGAGCTAGATTGTGCGGGGAAATTTGAGGGGCTAATAACTGCTCAAACGTTCAATAGGCATCTGAAGGAGGTAACACACGATGCCTACGTACAGACAGGGCGCAAACGGCGGGGTCTCCAACACGGGCTTTTTATTTTCCCGGTTGGAGACGTCACCAGCGACTCTAGGGACCAATAGCGTGAAGTTCTCGGGTTTCTTGATGAGTGCCCATAATATCGGATCCGTTAGGCGTACATCAAGCCTAGATGAAGGTAACATCTCGGACAGGAATAAGTTAGAATACGGATTGAGATTGACCGAATTACACTATCCGCTATTTACCTCATAGCTTCAACACCGAACTCCGCGTATATAGGGATGCCATCCGAGTGGTTCTTAGTCCAACGGCGTTTCCTGCTTATCAGGCGTGTTACGCACTTCCCTGCTCATCTTTTCTTCAGCCTCCTTTCGATAGACGAATAAGGAACCTACTGGTGCTCTCTCTCAAAATATGAACGAAGACAGGCCACACAAGACCCAGAGGTCAAGAGGAATCTTCCTTAGAGTCAAGGCTCTCCTCCATGTCTTCCACTCGCTCGCATCCTCTCTACGGTGCAAAGGCCCATTTCACTCTAGCCGCCGGCATGAGCACACATCGGCACACAAACAGACGCCCTCGACGGGCACCTCCGTGACGAGCAACCCAGTCCCGATTCTCATCGAAGTACCCATTTCTAATACCGGAGCAGGTCCACCAACCCGACGCATGGAAATCTACCCCCCAGGGCACCAGTGGCAGGCCTTGAACAATTCCGAGAGATATACCTCGCTTGCTTGTCTCTGCACACACCTAGGCGATCAGCTCCCACTCCAACTGGTCAAGCTCGTCGCGCGGGACGTACTTCGTGGCTTGAGAGAGGTGCACGAGAAGACGGGAGAGGCATATGGTGGTGCGTAGTCCTACTGAGTTCGAGTTTCAGCTTGGATACATTTAGTTGGAGGATGGGTTTGACCATATTAACCTTGGATGCGGATTATATAGGTATATCGCCGACGAACATCCTCCTCTCGCAGAGGGACCTGCGCGCGCTCGTTGGCCAACTGCGGGCTGACACAGATCCGTCTCTCTACCGTTTCGACTTGTCCACGGCATCGTTGGTGCAAATACCGGAGCCGAAAGAGACAGAGAACGAGGGTTGTGATGGCAAAGGGGTGTTCAGCCTCGCGGAGTTAGGCCCCGTCCGTGAGCGGTGTTTCTTCCAACTTTGAGCTTTGTGATCGATTGAAGGGTTTAGGTAGTATGATTAAGCCGGAGGATGACCTTGTGCAGGCATTGCGAGCCCCAGAAGCGCTACTTGAGGCACCCTGCTATACGAGCATGGACGTATGGGCTTTGGGGTGTCTGGTGCGTCATCGAACTCACACTCTGCGCTACGCATTTCAGCATACTAAAAAGAATGAATAGTTGTTCGAACTACTCACAGGCGAACCGCTCTTCGATCCCAACTTCCAAACACGTGAACTCGATATCTCGAGAGAGGAGTCGCACCTCATCCAAATGATCGAGCTTTTCGGTGAGATGCCCAAAGAGCTTGTCAGGGCTGGCACGCTAAGTGAGAGATGGTTCACCGAAGACGGTGAGTACCCGGTGATAGTGCTTAGTAAATATACTCAGACTATGCGCAGGCTGCCTTCGGATCGAAACAACGTACTACCCTGTTTCACTGCGGTCCGTGCTGCAGAGGCACATTGATGCTTCGAACGTTGAAGGGACGACTGAGTTTCTTGAGATGATGTTGAAGCTTCGTCCGGAAGTCCGAGCCTGTCCGAAGGATATGATCAATCACCCATGGTTCAGCAATTGACGGAGATGTGGTTTGCGGGGTCTTTCAGAGACACAAAGTGACATTATAGCGTAATACGTACGAATGACATTCACTCGTTGGGCAGGTTAGGCAAAGGAAAGTCCTTCTCCATGTGCTCCGTCTGCGAACATACGTCGATGAAGACCAGAAGTAATCGTAGTATATACGCACATAAAACCTAAAGTGAACCGTCTTCCCCACATTGGTTAGCTCCTCGATTTCATTTCGCTCCAGCAGGTCCGGCAGTGTGGCGATCTCCCCGAGGCTCTTGATGCGATCCGGATTCCCGCTTGCGGTGACTGCGACGACGCCTTGTACACGGATCCATAGCAGTAATACAACTGTCGTGTCAAGGTTCTTTCCTGTGGCTTTCGAGATCCTGGCTGCGATGCGTTCCAGGACGGGCTTAAGTGGGCCGCCGGTGGGGTAACGAAGGATAGGCGTCAGAGATCCATAGGATTCCGTGACGATTCCGTGTTTCGCCTGGATGTCGAGGACGGGTTGGAGATGGACAAGGGTGTACGGATGATACTCGAGCTGGTGGGATTGTCGATACGAGAGGGAAAAGTAATCTCCCATTGCTCACCTGGTTGACAACGGGTTTGTATCTCGCTCCATCGAGGATCTCCTCAAGGTCCTGAGGCCTGAAGTTGCTGACACCGATGCTCTTGAGCTCCCCTGCCGCCTTGAGGTCTTCAAGGATCTTCCAGAGCGCCTTGAGCTGGCCGGGCGGGACGACGAATGGATTGTGCACAAGGAAGAGATCGGGAATGGTGCCTAGACGTTCAATCGATTCCTTGACCGACTGTACCACTTCGCTGATAGGAACGGGATCGTCGTTGTCACCGGCGGATACTACAAAAACGATCAAAATCGGACGCATATATCCCACGAAAACTTACATTTCGAAGTGATATACACCTGATCCCGATTGAGGTCCGACTTCTTGATCGCCTCTATCGTTTCTCGCTCTGTCTTGTACAGTTGAGCGGTGTCAATATGATGAATCCCGCTGGCTAACGCGAGTTCGCCACATCGAAGAGCCTGCTTTTGAGCCTGCCCTGTACCGTTACCCCAAGCAATCCACGGAATTTTAGTTCCGTCGAGGAGGTCAAAGGAGGGGACAGTCATGTTGAGAGAGTCGATAGGATCGCTGTCCGAAGGGGATGTGGTCTAAGTTGTTGACGTCAGCTAGCTTGTTGCACATGGAAGGTTTCGTCGAATCAACGCACTTGAAAATTCGTCATGCACCATCGAAGTACAAGTTGTTCTAGTTCTCATATCGCAAGACCGTCCCTTCAATGTATCAAGGTAAAGAAACTGCCCTTTTCCTGTGAATTGAGGATGGCGATTCGTTGTCGTCGTTGTCGTGTCGTGGTTGGAAGAAGGAAGCCGTGGGAAGCCGACGCATTACGGAATGGACCGAACCAACGGCCCGCTTGGCCGTTTATCGCCCCTAAGCAAAGGAAGTACAACTTCAGTTTAGACAACACTCAGACAACACTCAGAATGAACATTTCAGCCACGAAGGATCATGCCGACTTGGAGAAAGTGGTCCAAAACTAGAACCTGGTGACAAGTTTTCGTCTTTCTAAGTTTGTTCAAAATCCCAACAAAATCCTTTCCAGGAAATCGATTTTCCAGACTCGGATTAACATTGATCGTGGCGACTACGTTCAGCTGTGCTTTATACGTCCTTGCAGTCGACGGTTCTCTTCCGGTTGGCCTTGTCAACATCATCACCAGTCCCGTTTGGAGGGCAATGGTCCCCAATTTTGAATGATCCGCCCGAATTCGCCACGTCTTTCCGGAAATTCACTCCCTGAGGGAAGCAGGAATTCTGGGACTTCGCGACAAGATGAGTGACGCAAATGGGACGCCCCAGCCTGGTCTGAACAAAGAAGCTAGCAGTGCTCCTGCCAGGTAAGTTGAGTTTGATGGCTGCCTTGCACATGGTCTCCACATCGGCACGAGTATACCCCCCTGGGCGGTCGTCCCAGACGGTCTTTCGACTCTAACGAGAAAGGGAATATCAAGCCGATTGAAATTTCGCATCGTTGTGAAGGGACTTACAAATTTACAAATCTTCGACTCGTCGTTGCACTCGCCTTTCTCGCCCCGGTTCGCGGCACAGAATGACGAGAGAAGATGGCGCCCTGACTTGGAATTGCGTGTCTCTCCCAAGAAAATGTGGTTCCTCATCCTGTTGAAGGTATCGTCAACGGGATTAACAGACTGGGAGGGGCGAGCAGGAGAATTCCTGCCAGGAGATCCAGGACGAGGGCGAGCTTTGCCAATTTTCTAAAGGGATACGATTAAAACCCTCCGTACGAGATATCTGCCCTGGGAACTGCTTACCGCTCGCCTTTCCCTGTATTTGGGGAAGATGGATGAATAAATCTCTTCGAGAAGAGGAAGGGATTCAGACGTACAAGACAGCATCACGAGAAAGGTGGAGCCCATGGACCAAAAGAAAGTAGAGCGTAGCTGGAACAAACCAGATCGTAAATTTCATTTGTGTCGGCCTGCGACAGAGTGTATCTGGGCGTTTGCTAGAAGATCGACCCAGCGATGGGGACGCAGATCAAGATGATGTCGGTTTATAAGACTTCAAAGCTTCAGCGCTCAACACTCAACATCATTTAGGCCTCGTTCCTATTGAAGCGGATTGTGATAACACCAGAAACGTAAGTTATGAAAGTTTAAATCGACCCATTGGCAGTGGCGGTGACTTCCGGTGTCACTGTCAGTGCGCGAGCAGATCGGTTCCCACTTAGTAGTAGTAGAAGGCGGTTCGGCGATAATGGCGAGTCCATATCTTCTGAATCACTTGCCTTCAAAAATCAACAGCTCACCGGGGGGCGATAATTGCGCTAGTGAAAACTAGAAGTGCTCATGCATATGTACGCCTTCAGCCGTGAGACAAAACAAGCGCCCGCCCATCCGCCGACATCAGGCTTTCTGTCAGAATCGAGGTCCTAGCAACCCGCTCTCTACGCGTCATAGATAACGCGCCCATTCAGACCTGTGTCGTATCTGTGCCGGTGATCTATTTCAAGTTGGCTATGCTGTTCTTGCCCTCTTCCTGAGCACAGCCAAGGTCGTGGATATCATGATGTAGATACGCCATCGTCTCTGGTGTTTGCCACAGTCTGAATACAATACAAATAACGACCGCCGAGGTTACTTGGAAATACCTCTCAATCGCCACCATCTTTCTCCACCACTATCTATCTCTACCAGTCGTCGAATAAGCATGTCGACCTCACCAACGACCGTTCACACAATCGACCATCCGTCCCGACCTGTGTGGTTCTCTGAACCATATTTAATTACTCGCGATGCGAAAGACTCATATCTGTGGCATTGCATACCGTCCGAAGAGCCCGTTCTGCACGGCAAATTGGAGGGCAAAATCTCTGCTCACGCAGAGCACCACGTAGTTTCAAAGAACCACCTTCTGACCGCAACCAAGCTGCAAAAGGACGATCAGAGGTGGGATGAGCTGCTCGTTCACAATCTGGAATCTGGGTCATTGGTGGACCAACTATCGCTTGCGCTGTCGGAGTCCTCCGAGTCGCGCTACGAGGCAGGCTTTCTCGGCGTTGACAATCGAACGGCAGCTGTGTACAAGAAAAGCGATGAGGAGCGGAGGATAGAGGTTTACACCATCTCCGAGGAGGGCAAGTTGACGCTGGAGGAAGCGCTCAGCGAGCCCTCTCATATACCCGACCAAAGTCGAATGAACATCCACCATTCAGGGTACCCTTCTTCTACCCTCATTCGTTATGCACCAACTGGCCTCGTCGAAGCAGCCAACTATACAGTATTCCCCTCAGGCGTGCAACTTACCGCCTGGAGCTCGAATCCAAGACATACACAGCACGAAACGGTCGACTTCGTTCGAGTGCTCGACGCACAAGCTGATCGAGAGTCCCACCTCCTCGGACACATCCTCATACCACCGTTGAACACATTTGTCCTGGCGAGCTACGAGCACGCCCTCGAACAGCCCGATCCGCAGCCAGCCACAATCCTTCGGTCTTTCGATTCAGACACCCTCTCGTTAAAATGGACGACCACCGTCCCCCAGAAGACCAGCACACTTCATTTCCTTCCTACACGAAACGTCATCCTTGCAGTAGGGCTAAGCTGGTCCATCGACGCAGATTCATCCGGAGGGGTTGCAGAAACCACGATCGCCGTCATCGACGCTGCTTCTGGGGCCGTTCAAGGCACACACGCCGTCAAGAGCCCACAAACCAAATGCGCCAACCTCGGAATATCTGTCGGCGACGCCAGCGTAACGCCCTCGGGGGACCAGGTTATCGTCGTCTTCGGAGATGGACAGATCACTGTAACTTCCATAGACGACTTCCTCGACAATGGATTCAAAACGGCTACAAACGCAGAGGGCAGGTTTATCACCCACCCATTCCCCGAGACGTCGCTCTCGACGCCGAAGAACAAGAAGGAGCATAAAGAGCTTGACCAAGGATACTGGGCCTGGGTCAACAAGGCCTTTTATGGTGATAGGCAGGTCATTTTGCGAGCTGGTCGTGGAATGAAGGAGCCGACAGGCTTCGCGGTGGTTTCTTGGAAGTAAATTTCGACAATTCTTGTCTTTGTTCATGTAGAATTGGGGCCGTAAATGATATGTCGTTATTAGCCATCTGCCCTGCGTATACCCACATAACGTAGAACGGCGAAGACCGGTTGAACATCCCCGAGGCGTTACCTTCCTTCAAATGGTGTCGATGCCTCCTCAATCAGTTTCTTCACCGCATCGAAACGAGGGGTAATTGAGCACTTGAACGCCTTCTTATTTCTGGAAGGGTCGGCTTCAATGGGAAAGTCCCTAAATATGTGCTGAATGGAACACTTACACGAGGGCCCCATCATCGTACTCGCGATCTCCCATAGTCGTCCTTCACCTTGCCTATGTTGAAGCAGGCCAGAGTTGACGCGATGACCCACATCTATCCGGACCAGATCAGCCTTTGCTTAATGCACTTCAGCAGTAAGGGCAACTTACCGTTGAGCTTGTAACATATTCGCCGACGCAGAACCTGGAGGGCGAGTTACTCAGTTTAACACATCGTGAGTTCGTCGCATGCGCACCTTCGCCCGAACCCATAAGCAGAGACACGGTCATCGTCGTTCGGCTTTCCGTCTTCGTTAAGGAAATGCTCTGGCTGGAAGTTGTGTGGGTCCTTATGCACCTTCTCGTCGTGAGTCATCGCCCTACAATCGACGCCTCTCGAACACAAATGAAGAGGTACCAGATATTGGCGAAGACTTGCGACCCTAAACGAAACAGAAGACTGTGAGCGTCACTTTGAAGGACTTGGGTTATATTCCAAATTGCACCTTTCGGAAGGAATATTCCCCGTAGAAGTCATCCTCGGTGAGGGTGTGCATGACGCCGAGCGGTAGAGGAGAGGAATATCATATAACCTCTCTATAAACGGCCTCTATGTAGGGCTGCGACATACATCTTGCTGTGAGAGTCGTACTTCTCGGTCAGGCGGACTAATCCTAAGAGCATATTCCTCGTCTTTTGGATTTGGATGGCCGGAAAGACAAGCTTGGCTGTCAAAAGGCTGCTGGAGGGATCGCATCTAGAGTAAGTAGTAAGCAGTTAGAGAGCGAGAATTCACGAGTGTCCGCAGGAAACGAAGTGTCGTTGATGGAAAGAACAGACAAATGGGATGACGAACTGTGCAGTTTGTGCGGAAATCGCCGACAACTTTCCCATAAGCCAAACCCACCTTCAAGGCCGGCAATGCTTGGTGCGATTTTCTTGCTACAGATCCAGATCATATACACGTCTAATCCTTATTGACGTGTTCATATATGTACAATTTATGATACCAACTGGAAGCCTCGCTAAATATGATACAAAAACTAATATTACACATCAAAAACATACTCATAGGAGAGGGTCAAAGGAATAACAGGGATAGATCTGCAGGAAGATGGTAGGATACAATAAAATCGTGGGGTAGTGCCCGCTGTTCAAACATTCAACGTTCAACGATAATGGAAGTTCTCAATTGGATCGGTAATATCATGCCTAGACCATGTCTATCAATGCTCACGACAGTGAACATAAGGTAAGGACTCACTTTTCTGCCAAGTGACTTAGAACGCCCCTGAGGTTAAACGTCCTGTTCCGTTCTTCCGGTGTGCCTCCACCACAACAGATACAGTGCCGACCTCTAGCTCGTGCATGAGGGATCACAGGGAGAGGCACAGGTGACGGCGCGGGGTAGGTTGCCTCGAGGATGTCCTTAAGACGGTGACGTTCGAGGAGGAATAGATCCTCGGGCTCGCGAGGTGAATCGATGTTGTGCCTACAGAATAATTATCAATGGAATTTGGGCGATATGAGTGAAAGTCGCATACGTTGACTTGAGGTGCTCAATAACGGCTTCTCGAATTTGGAGGCTATCGAGATGGGCCGCGCAATGTCCACAGGTCCAGAGCTCCTGGGACAACCTCGGGTCCTTCATCTCCTGTTCTTTGATTATGGCAACCTCTTCAGGAGAGAGGACAACGACGGCAGTGGCTGGCGCATGGGACTTGGCAGTGCAGTGCGTAACCTAAAAATAAAGGGCCGAATGAAATCGTGCTTTACGAACCAAAGGCAAGAGACTCACGAATTCGCGCCATTTATATCCCACCTTACACCACTCAATTTCCCCATCCTTCAGCGTAGATGGGCAGACGGAGCATCCAAAACGAAGATCCTTCACGTCCATATCCGCAATTGTAGCCACCTTGTCGTCCAAACCTACAGCTCGGACGATAGCAGCAGCCGCCATGCTTCCAGAATCGTCCACAGCGATTGTTAACGCCTGGGGGTCCAACTCCATGCAAGGAGAATCCGAGTACGTATCGGGCCTGCATTCATGCGAGGCAACCTCGTTCCAGCCAAATAGATGCGACGATGGCGGGTAGAGGCCGAAGACGGAGCGGTAGCGGGAGGCATGGCACCTCTCGAGGCAGACGAATGCCGATGTAACTAGATCCAAGGGATTAGGCGGCGGGGCCTTCGCTGTCCCTGCCTTCGCAGTTTCAGAAGAACTCTGATTGAGAGTTGACGTCGACGCTGATGCCAATGTCGATGTCACCTTCTTGAGCGAAGCGGGGGCATCCTTCTTGCGCCGTGCCAAGGCTGACGACAGAAGCTTAGGCAGTTGGCGCATGGCGTCCTCAAAATGAGCGGCAGCGTTGGCGCCAGCGTCGAGAACTTTTATGAATGGCTCCATAGCACAGATGTCAACAGTTCGCGGAAGACATTTCCATTGCGAAGGTGGCAATGTTTTCTTGTATCCTTGGTACAAGGCGTGAATGATCGCTCTCCTTCCAGCCCGGATGGGTCCCATGTCGCGTTCCAATCGTTTTCGTTTGGAGTGCAGAACTATCAGTTCGAGGGTCGGCCGGACACGTGTCCAAGCTGAACATCATGAACACTAGTCAGAGCTATGAACATTGCCGGAGACTTACTTCTGTCTGAGAGAGGCGTTGCTTGTTGACACTCGGGCAGCCAATGAATGTCATACAAATCCTGCTCCATGTATCCCAGCTCGAGGAATTTTGCGCGAATGCTGGGATATCTCTATGAGAGAAATGTTGTAGAATGTTGTCCAAGTGACTTACGCATCCATCCGTTGTACCTTCAAAGTTTGCTTGTCCTTCAAACGACCTTGCGAAAAGTCGTGGCACCAGTCATTCCTCTCCTCAATGGTCTATAAGACACGTAAGAAATAATCAACATATGGAAGGAGAGCACAAACCTCTTGAGCGTCCTTTACCATCTCTTTCTGCTGGGTCCGGAAGACTTTAAGTGCCTTCACAGCTCCTGCTCGACGACGGCGAACGTTAGATTGGTATTCTTCTAGTTTGTTTTTCATGCGGTCGATATCGAACTCCCAGAAGAAACGACTCTTCTTGGTGTAAGCCCATGTACCAGCTTGTTACTAGATGAGCTGACTCATACGATGAGCACAGTGGCTGCTTACCGTGTGTATATGGAATCAGCTCCAGGACCTCAGAGTCAACGCCAGGATAACGCCGCTTGAATTTTGATTCCACGACAAAGCTTCAAATACTGAATATGTGGAGCTTCGAAGAAAAGACAAGACTTACTGAGTCTTCTTGCAAGCGGTACACAAGCGGCGCAGGAGGCCGAAGTCAACTGTCTGGATGTTCTTCACACCACAACTCTATGCGAAGGTATTAGCTCAAGCCACGAGCACAAGAAATCAAACATGACGCACCTGACAAGAGGTCGCAAAGAGGAGGGCCGCCCACTGCGGCTCGTTCAAATATGACGGGCACTCAGGAGCACCGAACTGCTCCCTTGCTGACTTCCAAACCATAGTCGCGTTTTTTGACATCAGAGTCTCTCGGAAGATACGGCTCGTTCTGGCGACATTGATGATGTCCTTGGGAGACAGATGCGAGAAGACCTGAAGATGAAACCCTCAGCTATCTACCTCGAGCTGACAGACAAATCTTACCGAGAAAAGAACATCCAGAGGCATCGTCGGAAGTAGGCTGAGGGTCTTTTTCTGCCTAGAGCCAGCCTTCACAGGCGGTTTCTTGGACGGGGCGAAACTTGTTTTCGCCTTCTTCGCTGGAGATGCTTTGCCCAAATTTCTTCTGCTTAAACAGTTTCACTATCTCAGAAGGCAAAGCTACGAGAAAAACGTTGTTGATGTACTTGTTTCATAGTCACTTCCTTCGTCTGAAAACCCCTCGTTTGACTGGCCTCCGCTTTCCACATCATCGTCTTCTGCTCCGGCCTCAGACTGTTCGTCGTTGACAACTACACGTGAAATTCTTCTGTTCCTTGTTCTTGTACCGGGTGTCGTGTTATTTTGCGAGGACACAGCACGGCGGAAGTAGGAAGTGATCATGGTAGGAAGGAAGGAAGTAAATACTGACGAAATGGGAACAGGCCGGTCTAGTGTTGCCTTCCGGAAATAATACTAATAAGATAACACACATACACCCCCAGGACACCCCCACTCGGGATCTACGGGACAATGGAGGCTATCTAAGTATCAAATAGTACTGTAAAACTGCGGACAACAGCTTGTGAGCATGCCGGATGATCGATGAAAGACTCAAAAATGTCCGCGACAATTAAGCAGTTGGAGGAGGCTGCGGTCAACGGCGAGTGGTCGGATAAAGGGCGCAGGACGAGGCTTTGGATAATCCTTGAAATCTATTGGATAGACGGAAACGCTGAAAGCGTATACGGGCCAGCCAAATTGTCAATACCATTTCTCATGACATTCACTGTCAGACAATTTAAGAAACATCATTCGTATTCTCAGTCAATTTCATTGGCTAGTTTCAATTTGTGCTTTGAGGTAAACGTATCGCTTAGATATCGCTCCACACAACAGTCTGTCTCGACGCTGGTTGCGCCCAGAGCATCAGGACGTGCAAGCGCCTCGGAAGCTACACAGACAATGTCTTCAGAAACGCTGCCCTATCTCGTAAAGAAATCGACCGGACTCACGGATAAAGACAGCTGTGAAGTCGGGACTCTGCATCTTCGGGAAGAGAAGCAGGCGATCCGGGTTGAAATCAACAAACGAGCAACTTCCAGCAGGAGTGGTAAGCTCAGAAAGGCGCTTGTAGCTGATCTCTCCCCACGTCTTGATACTCTGGTCAGTGTTCAGCTCGAACGTCGCCTTCTTGCCAATCGCGGGGACGGTGAGCGTCACGGTGTTCTCGTCGCTAGCCTTCTTGATCATCGCCTGCGCGGAACCTTGCACAAGAGTGGTCCAAATGCCCATCTGCCCATTGTCAATGGTGTAGTCAACAGTCATGTTTTCGTCTTTCGCGATGAACTAGCCGATTTTAAGATGAATGACGACACCGTTAAATCAACGGCCGAGAACACTGACCTGCGCATAACACCTGCTGGGGTCGTTGTGGAAGAATTTGACAACGACGGCGTGCTCGGTCTTCGTTTTGTAGACATTCGGAAACATTATGTATCGACTTGATTGGTCAGGGTCGAGGTCGTCCACATCCTTGTAGAAGAGATACCCCTCGGGATCTGCCAGTGCAAGTATCAGCAAGGCCGGAAGAGCGAGACTATAATCACAAAGTCAAGGCGCACCACGTCCAAAAGTCATCCGGTCCTTGAATTCGCGCATGAGGCTCGGAACTTCGAGACGCATGGCTTGCTGTCCAGCTGGGTCCAGAAGAGCGCTGAGGCTGGGACGAATTTGCGATGATATTCAGTCTCGAGCTGGGAGAAGAGCTGGTCGTAGGTGAGGTTACTGGGGGCAACCATTGCGACATCAGGAAAACCCACAACGGTTAATTTAGCTAAATTTACCATATTCACCCATTTAACCAATTTAAATAGCTTTCAGCTAAATGTTGGAATATTCTGCATACATCTACATAGATTCTCCCTTGATTTACCTATTTCCAAAGTGTTTTTTTGTGCTCCGGGATACACTGAGAGATTTCAAAGGACACCCTTAGTTTTGTCTGTGGTCCGATCATATTTCGATGGCTACTACCAGCCGTGTTTGAAAGATAGGTGTCTGTATACTATGAGACATCTCTGTCAGGACACCCTACAGCCGTTCACAGTCACCCTAGGATTCACTATCCTCGCGTGTCTGTTACCACTGGCCGTCAAAGGTGGCTGATGGCGCTCAAACCGAAATGTTCATAGTCCACATGACCTACCCTAAACATTCCCAGGCCCCCTAATCAAGTCCAACTTGACCGAAAAGGTAGTTTCTTGCTCTTCACCACAACCATCGATTCGCAACGACTTCAATCGGTTCTTACCCATTCGCCTCACCCCTTGTGCCTCCTTTACGACCACGATGCAGATATCCTCCGTTTACTTCTCGCACCCTCATCTTGTTATCGCCGCGCTGCTTGCGTAGTGGTGCGTTCCATAATCCCATAGCCTGGGTCTTGATGATTTGCTTTCTTTCAGGCCAATCGGTGGTTGGGCGGAGAGGGATATAAGTAACAGTGCATGCAGGATACAAGGTAAGCACTTGCTGGCACTTTTGATATAGACGGCTGTCAAGCCCTTCCCTTCCCTGCTTTTTAGAGCTCCTTGAGGGCCTTGTGCCTCCCTCTCTACCACCTCTTCGTGGATATTCACGCACGTCGCCGAGTCGGTAAGCAAATTGCTTGCGACCCTTTCTTCCTGCCCAACCCGCTTACCGTTGTTCATCAAGGAACAACTTCTCCCCAAACCGAGCTATTCAGACACGTCGAACAGAGCAGGTACGTCCCTGCCCAACTTGCACTCGCCCTGTCCTGACCTCAAAGCCCATAGAAACCCAGCTCACGAGCTCGAGTCGATGGCTTGATGGTACGTCGTGTTTGCCTTCCCCCGTGCAGCTTTGCTGACATTGACTGGGTAGCTTTGTCTGAAGACGAAATGGTGGGATTGCGGCGGTGGTAAGCAGAGTAGCTAACATACGACTCCACTATGAGATAGACGGAAGCCGATGCCATCAGGGATTGGTCGGTCAGTCAATAGAACCAGCTGCGGTGCGTACGGGCATGTCGTCACGGCGATACGCTCTCCGCCTATCATGCCTTCACCTTCACAGTGTCCGACTCCTGTCCTCCCTCGTGCGCCCTTTCGACTCCGTCATGTGTCACGTAGGTGGTATATGAGACCCGGAACAGGTTGTCCATGTTACCGAAGCTCTGTTGTAGTATTTACATGTACGTAGACTTAATACATATCGTTTTCTGCCCTCTCTTGCTGTCCGTTAATGGGTCCCATGAGTTAATTTTCAGTCTGTTAAGCTGGCACATACTGTGAAGAATAACGTTGAATTAACCAAGATTGAACTAAATAAACGAGGAAAAAACTGGAGACCTTTTATTTGGCACAATGGATGACTTTCCTTAACGATCTGGAATTTCTAACTCCTTTTCCAACACAAATTCTTCGGGATTGCCCGAGTTTTGAAATCAAGCAGAGTGCTTTACAGAACCGTAACCACTTTTGTATCTAGAACTCGCATGCAGGCGTAAGTTGTTTGCTGCATTCTGTGGCTATGCTGATAAGATAAGAGATCGCATGGCTTCGGGCCTCCTGCAAGCCTCGCTACTACACCCATGGGCGATCTCATTGACACCTTGCTCAGCCATCTCGCTCTCGAGGAGGACGAATATTGGGATGAAGAAAACGATCGCCTGCAGAATGCAGGCCTCTCTGGGACTGCAATCTACTTGGAAGCACAAGAAAATCGGCGGCACCGCTCAGAGAACCGCAAACGCCTTTACCTCATCCGAAATGAACTGCTCCCAAATCCACGAGAAGGAACACCATGGCAGCGCTTGCATAGCAGCTCAAGTGATCGCGGATTTATTACGACTATGGGAATTGATGTCAGTACATTTGAGTACCTCCTCCAATCTGGTTTCGCTCTCCTTTGGAACACTACACCCATCCCCCGGCCTGATCAGCCTATGACAGCCCCGCCTCGGGTGAATAGTCGATCCCTTGATCCTGCTGGAGGCTTGGGGCTGATCCTTCACTACCTCAATTCGACAATGCGCGACGTTAGCTTAATGGAGATCTTTGCTCTCATTCCCAGCACCGTCAATCGCTACCTTGACTTCTGCCTCGACATTCTTCTTTCAGTGCTGCGACAAATTCCCGAGGGTGTTATCAGGTGGTTAGAAGGAGATGAATTCCAGGAGAACAACTCTCTTATTGTAGCCCGACACCCCCTCCTCATGGGGGCATTTGGTACCATGGATGGCCTCAATCTCCCTGTCCAGGAATCACCCGATCAAGAGATCGAGAACGCGACTTTCAATGGATGGCTCCATGAACACTTCGTGAGTTCTGTCATTGCTTTTGGAGCTACTGGTATGTAAAGTGCTTCCTTTCTCAATCTCGTTCTTACACAATTCTAACAGGGTCTATTATTGCTTGCCGAATGAATGCGCCAGGTAGTTGGCATGATGCACGTGTGGCTCGCCCTATTTTTGAAAAGCTACGCACGAAAACACCAGAGGGTTATTACCTTGTCACGGATACAGCCTTTCCTCGAGGAACAGATCAAATACAAGGTCGTATCAAAGCCCCAATGAAGAGCGGAACTGAGATGAATGAGAAGGAAAGAGCCCAAGTCAAGGCCTTTGATCGTCAACTCCTCTCACTTCGCCAGGCAGCAGAATGGGGGATGCGTGGAATCCAGGGGTCCTTTGGGCGTCTCCGTATACCTTTGGACATAAATCATGTGTCTCGCCGGGGTGACATCTTGGAGGCCTGTGCACGGCTGTATCAAATTCGGGCTCGTCGAGTCGGCATCAATCAGATACGCAATGTGTACATGCCAATTTGGATGGAAGGAGATGAGCAAAGGCAAATATGGGAGCATTTCGAGGACATTTTGTTCAAGGATCAACGAAAACTTGATCGCGTAGCCCGCTTTCACTTGATAGAAACAGAAGAATAGATATATTGGTCTACATACTTTCCATAGTCTAGGGTGGGTATTCAAGAAAGTAAGAGGCGAAGGCGAGAGACACAATACTGGTAAGAAAGATAAGAGAAAGATGGTTCAATAATGTAATCTAAATTCTAAGCATCAGTGTTGGTGTCATCACGAGGAAGACCCTCTTCATCAGAAGGAGGGGCCCGAGGAGCACGGGTTGGGGTGTTGTCAATGGTAAACCGAACAGCAGGGGAAGTGTTGCGATAAAGTGTGGTGAGGGGATCTGTGGGGTCATCATCATCACTCCCCCCGGCCCAAGTGACATGACGCCCACCATCAGGATAAAGAGTTTCAAGGCGAACACGATGGCTGGGACTAGTATACCGGGGTGTATCACGACGATTGCTGAAGTGTGGCGAGCGGCTAGAGGTGCGATGTGGAGTCCTGAGGAGATGGTGCTCTCGACGGCGACGAGAAGCTGATGGGCTTTCAAGCTCGTGTCGAGTGAACTGGCGGGTAGCAGCTTGGTAGGGATGGCGATCACGATCTGCATTGTCGTTACTGCGGCGAAAGAGGGACATCAACTCGATACGATCCGCCTGACGTTCCGCTTCATATCTTGCTCGTTCGGCCTGCTGGAGCTGGGTGCGTAGGCTTTCAATTGTGGCATGTGCATCGCGGAGTTGTTGGCCCATTGTGAGCAGCTGAGTCGTGTGCAATGAACGCGAAGCCCGATCCTCGTCGCGGGCAGCCTGAGTTGCGGGATCAAGAGCAGTAGAGATTGAGGACAGTAGCTGCTGGCACGAGGCTGAAGAATCTTGTCAGCTGGGGGGCGGCGAGCCATGGGCCCACGCTCTTCAGTGTCCTTCTTGATCTTCGACTTGGTTGCACGCTGCCGTTGGGTGTTGGTAGAGTCCTTGCGCGGTGGGTCGGCATCTTCTTTGTCGGTCTCGTGGTCCTCATCCTCGTCCTCAGATCCAGAACTGTAAACG